GAATTTGCTTGTATATAGCCCAGGCCAGCCTTCCTCATGGCAGTCCTCCTGCCCCAGCCTCCTGAGTGCTGGCATTACAGACATGTACTACCACAACCAGCTATTATTTAAACATGTACCCACATAGTATTTATATACAATGTTCACAGCAGCATTGTTCACAATAGCCAAAAAGCAGAGATAACCCAGCTATCCAGCTTATGAATAGATAAGTAATGTCATGTATCTATATGCTAGAATATTATTTGGCCATTAAAGGAACAAAGTGCTAATACATGCTGCCATGTGAACACTGAAGACATGGTAAAAAAAGAAACCAAGGCTGGGCATGGTGGCGTACCCCTGTAATCTCAGCATTTGGGAGGCTGAGGCAAGAGAATTGTTTGCAAGTTCAAGACCAGGCTGAGATACAAAAAAAAAAAATCAAGTACAGAGGCTTTTACTGTATCAGTGAGTATTCCCCAGAGAAACAATCAGTCCACTTTATTTTACGGAATTGATTATGGGTAGCTGGCAAAATCCAAAATTTGTAGGGCAGGCTTGTAGGCTGGACAATGAGGCAGGATTAATGCTGTGGTCTTGTAGAATTCTCTGAACATTAGAGACCTGCTCCGAAGTCCTATAACTGATTGAAAGAGACCCAGTCTCATTATAAAAAATAATCTGATTCACCTAAAGTTTGTTGATTATAGACATTAATCACATTCACAAGATACCTTCACAGCAGTGTTAATCAACTTTACAGAATACCTTCCCAGCAGCATGTAGATTAATGTGTGGTCTGGGCGTGGCACACGTGGATTTTATGGCATGTGAACTTGCCCCCCAGAACTTGGGAGGCAGAGGCAGGAGGATCACTATTCTGGGCTATGCGTAGTGAGTTCAAGGCCACCATGGACTACATAGCAATACCTTGTCTCAAAAAGACAACAAACAAACAAAAAACCAAACACAGATGAGTGGCTGGTTACATAACTGGTACTGTAGCCTAGCCAAGCTAACACACCATTGGGACCATCTATTATATGAGTTCGTTTATATGCAGTAGCTGGGGTGGGTTAGTCCATAGGGACAGACAGTGCAGTAGTGGTTGCCAGGAGCTGTGGGGAGAGGGGAATGAGTAACTAATACAGGGTAAAAGTAACTAATACTTATACAGGTTCAAGACAGTGAACATATTCTAGAATCAATAGTGATGGTTGTACGACTCTGAATATATCAGAAATTGCACATACTAATTGAGTGGATTTTATGGCATGTGAATTAAGTCTCAAAAATGCTAAATAAAATGGTGACCCAGCTCTTTCCCCTCCCCTAGGTTTTTAGGTTGTAACCTCATTTTTCCAGTTTCAGGGAATATAAGAAACCATTACAGCTCAATTTGTGCAAACAAGATTAAGTCAGTAAACAAAGTTAAGCTTTACCAAAGCAGAGCTGACCCTGCTCCATCTACAGCTTGTTTTTCAAGTCATTTCCTGGCAGGTCCACAAAACAGACATTTAGTAGATTTGCTGATTCCTTCTGTATAGAGTAATAAATACTGGGTTAAATGTGAGGCCAGCTTTAGTAGCTTTAAGACTTGCTGGGTTTTTTGTTTGTTTGGTAGTTTGAGATAGGTCTCACTCTATGTGGTCCAGACTGGCCTGGGACTCCCGGGGATCCTTCTGCCTCAGCCTCCTGAGTGCTGAGATTCTAAACATGTGCCACCACACCCAGCAATACTTAGTGTTATTAAAAGAAACAGGATTTGAAATATGTATGTGAATTAATGGGAATGGTGAATAGTTTGAAAAAAGCTAAAAGTTTGAGTAATTCTTTTCAGAGCACAGTTATGTGAATACTTGCTTCCTGGTTTGTGTGCCTTTCCTGTATTTTTGTCCCCTAATTCAGTGTTAAAGGGCAGTACATAGAAGCCTGATACACATGATTTCAGGTGATACACAGATCCTATGTATTTTAATAGTTATATATTTTTATATGAATTTTTTTATGTCAGTCATTTCAGGATATTAGTGCTGAAGTAAAGCTCAACAAGATAGACTACTTTAAATTTTTAAAATTAGTCAGTAATAGTACAGGAGCCAGACATGGTGGCACATAGCTGTAACTCTGACACTCAGGAAGCTGACGCAGGAAGATCCCATGTTCAAGGCTAGCCTGGACTATATACCAAGATCCTTTCTCAAAAAACTGAGGGGAAAACGTACAAGTAATACACTGAAAAGGCAGACATCATGAAGGTAATGTGCAAGTGCTGGACACTTGGTTAACACTGAATCAAACTGTATGCCCCATGGACACTTTTCTCTTCTGAGTAGGAGTATTCATTGAGGAGCTACAGAGTGGCTTTTCTGGTAGTCATACCCACATTTATGTCTCTTAAAGTCCCAGGTTAAGGACAAAAGATTTCCGAAAATTACGTTAGCTAAAGCTCAGGGCTCTGATAACCCAGACAATAAATTGTGTTCTAAATGAGTAATGTAAACCATTACGGTCACATTTTTGCTGAGCAAATCCTGTAGAAGCTGTGGTTTGGCAGGTGACTATGTACTGTTTGCTGTGGTGCTGGGCATCAAATCCAGGGCCTTACACATGCTGGCAAGTGCTCTGGCACTGAGCTTCACGCCCAGCCTTCTCAACTGTGTAAGTAGTTAGGCAGTAATGGGCAAATATTAGTATCTTGGCAGCAAAGATCTAAGTTTCTTCTTCCAGATCTTTCTGATGGATAGAGGGGTTAGTGTGGGGCTGTTTATGGGTCTTTTTATGTATTTATCAACTCAGATTAGGTGTTTTTATTCACAGTAGCATTGCCAACTGGATGAGGCCCATGTTAAGTTTCTCTTTTAATTTTTTTATTTTTTTGAGCTTCTTGTAAACTTCATGTATCTAATTAGGTTAGCAATATTGTCTTTCTCTTTAATAAGTCTTCTGTTCTCCTCTTTTTTCCTTTCTTTTAGATATTAGGCTCCTATTCATGATAGAGTCTATAACTCAGTTTACAAAGATATGGACTAATTAAGGGATCTCATGTACCCGAGGTGGCTGGGAAAAGGTTGGATACTGCCTTGGATTTCTCTGTCAGGGATGTGTCAGTTCTCAGCATTGCTAGCGTGCAGGATTTTCAGGTTGGATTAGAGCCTGCCTATTTAGTTGCCCAGCTGCTTGATTGGTAGACTAATTTAGTTGGAACTTAGCCTGTTCCAGGAAAGTTTATATTTGGCAGCCATATAAAAAGCACAAATCCTTTGGCTTTCCTCAGTTTTTGCTTGCTTTCTTTTATTTTATTTATTTATTTATTTATTTATTTATTTATTTATTAATACAAGATCTCACTCTGCTGCTCAGGCTGGCTTTAAACTCACTTTGTAGCCCAGACTGGCCTCAAACTCACAGGGATTCTCTTGCCTCAGCCTCCATAGCTGGACTTATATAGGCTTGGGCCACCACACCTGGCATTTCTTTGGTTTTTTTTTTTTTGTTTTTTTTCCCCTTTGGTTTTTGTGAGACAGGATTTTACTATACAGTTCAGGCTGGCCTTGAACTCACTTTGTAGCCCAGGCTGGCCTTGAACTCACAGCGGTCCTCATGCCTCAGCCTCCTGATCCCAGTCTCAGTGCTGGGATCATAGGCATATGCCACTGTGCTTGGCTCCTCTAGGAGTTTCATACATGTTGTTAGAATTCCTTTTTGTTGTTGTTGTTTTGTAAGTTGCTCATTGTGGTCTCTGGTTGTTTTTCTACAAACACAGCAGCAGTTTCAGTAGATAAGAATGGCATACATCTGACAAGACAAAAGAAGGAGAATACTGTAAAATCTTATATCCAGGGCTGGAGGTGTAGCTCAATGGTAGAGTAGTTGGCTAATATGCACAGACCCTGGGTTTGTTCTCCAGGACTCCAAAAAAATTACTTTAAAAATCTTATTTCCTGGCTCGTAAATTTAATGTAGAATGACCCTAAAGGTGAATCATCTCTTGATAGCTCTCTGTTTATCATACTTCTCTAATAGATGCTTATAAAATAGAAATAATTTTCCTTTCATAGTTCAAATTAGTACTGTTTTTGTTTTAGTCATTTCCCTGTGGAGTTACATAAAAATTGAAGTTCAGAAAGGTATCTTCTGTGACAGGATAGTATTAGCACTCATGGTAACTTGTCTGAAACACAGTTTGTGTTGCAAATTGATAGTTAATATAAGCTCTACAGATAGATTAAAGGTTGTAGAGAATTGAGCTCTGTTTAGGTCCCCCCAAACCCACCACCCACCCTGCCTCATATTTATGGTTTGGTAGTAGAGATTGAACCCAGAGTCTTAGCACTGAGTTGCATCCTTTTTTATTTTTTACTTTAAGACCATCTCACTAAGTTGCCCAGGCTCAGCTTGAATTTGTGATCCTTCTGTCCCAGTCCCTTGAGTAGCTGGGATTACAGATGTGTAACCCCCATATCAGCTTCTTGTACTTACTCATTATTATGAGGGGAGTGCTGGGAAACAAACTCAGACCTCACACCTGCCAGGCAAGCACTGCTTGAGGTTTCTTTGAGGTGGCCTAGCCTTTGCCTATGATATTAAAATCCTAGTGTTTCCATGTTCTAAGCAAATAACCTTTGTGTAGTGTATATCCCAGCTAGATGATCATATGGCAGCCAGGCAAGAGGGGGCACAGCTGTAATCATCCCAGAACTCAGGAGGCTGAGGCAGGAGAAGCACCATGAGTTTAAGGCCAGCCTGGGCTACATAATGAGTCCATGCCAACCTGAACTACATAGTGAGTCCTTGTCTGGTGGTTGTTGGGTGTGTGTGTGTGGGGGTTCCTAGAGTAAGCATAGTCAGAATAGAAAATAGTTATACAGAGTTTTTTCTGTTTCAAAAGTTGAACTCTTGAGAGTTCAACTATTTCTAAGGAAGGCTTGTGTTTTACCTCTGAGCTACATCCCCAGTCTTAGACAGAATGTTTTGAAAATCAAATTGCTTATAATAATTATTCTTTTTATTGTTAGAAAAGGTATAGTTTGGCAGTGGGACCTCCTAAGAAAGACCCAAAAGTTAAAGGTGTCCAATCAGCAGCTGTACAAGCGTTTCTTAGAAGGAAAGAAGAGGAGCTCAGGCAAAAAGGTATGTATCTCTGTTCTTATTTTCTGTTTTAAAGTCTATGATCATGTCTAGTTTGTTCTTAACAATGGGTTTTTAAATTATAATTAGCACATGTTTACAGTGCATAAAGGTTATATTCATTATGGGGAGTTGGCACATGGACATAACTTCTTTTTTATTTTTGTTTTTGTTTTTGTTTGTTTGGTTTTTTTTTTGGTTATTTTGAGACAAGGTTTTCAGGCTGGCATTGAACTCACTTTGTAGCCCAAGCTGGCCTCGAACTCAAAGTGATCCTTATCCTTCAGCCTCCCAAGTGCTGGGATTATAGGCATATGCTGCAACAGCTGTCTGTTTTTAGTTATCTGAGGATATCAGCAAATGTTTCTAAAAATAGGTCAATGAGGTGTGTGGGTATATGTATGCTTGAATTAACTTTATTGTCTGGCTATAATGCATGCTCTCACGTTGGTCAAAATTTGTATAGACATTTTCTTGTAGCTCCCATTAATTAAATGGGGGCTGGGCACAGTGGCACACACATATGGTTCCAGCTACTTAGGAGGAGGATCTGTTGAATCCCAGGAACTAGGGACAAGCCTGAGCAAGACCTTGTCTCTTAAAAAAAAAAATAATGAGGAACCAGTTAGATTTAATGACCTTGTTTTTCTGTTGGCCATTGTAATCCCAAAGAACTTTATTCTTTAACCTTGCTTCTGAAATTGTTCCTCTTTTATGTTTTTATTAATAAGAATGCTATTTTAAAAAGTTAAAATAAGTGATGTTTTCAAAACTACAAAGTTCAAGGGCCAGGAATATAGCTCAGTGGCACAGTGCCTATGTGGTGAGCGTGAGGTCCTAAGTTTGATTCCCAGTACCACAACTATAAAGTTGAAAATGTATTTTTGCTTCATCAGTAAAGAATTCATTAAGTTTAAATATTCTTTGATTCATAATTATTAGCATCATGTTAGTAGGTACTAATGTTCACTTAACTTGCTAATTTATTTGGTGTAAACTGTTTTCTATATTTAAAATTGAAGACTAAATCTCCCACTTGCTTAGTCATACAGAAAGCCCTATATGTGACTCATTGATATGAAGATGACTCAATTGATACTTAATTCAAATGACTTCCTCATTTGATTCCTAGAAATCTTCAAACTTCAACTTGAACATTGTGGTTTGGCTACTGGTTTCAGATGTGTAGTCTACTGCCTTGGTATCTTGGAATAATACTTTCTTGTTCTGCGCTTTTTAGCCTTAGAAGAAAAAAGGAGAAAAGAAGAACTAGTGAAAAAACGAATTGAGCTCAAACATGACAAGAAAGCAAGAGCTATGGCCAAGAGGACAAAGGATAATTTCCATGGTTACAATGGGATTCCTGTTGAAGAGAAATCAAAGAGGAGGCAGGCAATGGAAAGCCACACCAGCCAGGGAACAGACCAAGAGTACGCGATGGAAGAAGAGGATGAATTCTTGGAATACAATCAGGGAGAGTCGGAGCCCGAGTATGAGGAGGAACAAGAGCCTCCTAAAGCAGAAAGCAAACCAAAGGTCCCCCTTAAAAGTGCCCCACCACCAATGAACTTCACTGATTTACTGAGGCTGGCTGAGAAAAAGCAATTTGAACCAGTGGAGATCAAGGTGGTAAAGAAAACAGAAGAGCGACCTCTGACTGCACAAGAACTTAAGGAGCGAGAATTTCTTGAACGAAAGCATAGGAAAAAGAAACCGGAGTCAGACACAAAACTACCTCCAACTGTATCTAAAAAGGCACCCTCTCAGAAAGAAGGTGTGGGCACAAAACTTCACAAAGTTCCTGGGGACAGACATCCTTCTTCCAGAGGAATGCCCTTGCCTCATACTGAGAAGAAATCCAGACCTAGTGCAGCCAGTGAGAAACATTTAGCTTTGTCTGCATCCAAATCTGTAGCAGGAGAGAGGACCAAGGCAGGGTCTGGCAGTAGCTCCCAACCTTCTCTTCATGAGGGTCATGACAAACCTGTTTTCAATGGGACCAGGAAGCCCCATTCCAGCACCTATTCACCAAGTGTCCCAAAGACTTCTGCTAGTGGGACTCAGAAATCTGCTGAGCACAAAGCCAAAAAATTTCCTCCTTCCCATCCTAGCCATTCCAAACCTGGGCCCACAGTCACTCCCCAGAGTAAAGCTAAAGGTCCAGGGATGAGGCAGCCAGGCAGCACCTCCAGCTTAGCCCCCGGGCGGCCCAGTCCAGGGAATGCTCGACCCACACTTAGTTCTGGCCCTGTCCCCAGACGCCAGAATGGCAGCTCCAGCTGGGCGCCTGAGTCAGTCAGTGGGACTAAAAAGCTGTCCAGTGACTCAAATCCCTCTGGGCGGACAGTTAGTGGTACAAGTGGCCCTGGGCGACCTGCAAGCAGTGCAAGTGGCCCTGGGCGACCTGCAAGCAGTGCAAGTGGCCCTGGACGACCCATCAGTGGCTCGGGCAGTTTCAGGAGACCTGTGGGCAGCTCTGGAGGCCATGGGCGGCCTGTAAGCAGTTCACTTGATCGAAGACCTGTAAGTGGCTTGGGGCCCCCTGGACGGCCAGCCAGTGGCCCTGGACGATCTGTTAGTGGTTCAGTTCCTGCTGCACGGACTGTTCATAGTTCAGGCCTGGGACGACCAGCAAGCAGCTTAGGACCTGGCCGAACAGTTAGCCCAGGTCCCCCCGTAAGGCCCAAGTGTACTGTTGTCTCAGAAACAATTTCATCCAAGAATATTATTAGCCGGTTCAGCAATGGACAGATGAATGGAATGAAACCTACTCTATCAGGCTGCAGATCTGCCCAAGGTACAATTGCCTCTCACCCTTAAGTGTGTACATTTGTCACTAAGAACTTAGGAAGAATACTTTGTTTTGTATGACCAGGGACCTCGTGAACTCTTGTGCCTTTTAATAGAGTCACATTGGGCTGAGGATTTAGCTCAGTGGCATAAGCGCCTGCCTTGCAAGTGCGCAGTCGAGAGTACGATCTCTGATACTGATTTAAAAAAAAAAAAAAAATAGAGTCACATTGATCAAACCTGATACTTTGTTTTGCCTTGTGCTTGAGAGTTCCTGTGTTGATGGTGGCTTGGAAAAGTCTTTAGAAAGGGACTTATCTGGGTCCTTTGTTTACACCTGTAATGTTTTCAAGTATATTAAACTTTGTCATTTGTGAGAGTGACTCTTACATGCCTTAATTAGGTTTCTTCATTCTTCTTGAAAAAGATTATCTTCAAAAATATAATCGCACTCACTGTTCATTCAGCAAAATTTGTTAAGAACCTCTAGTAAGCCCGGAGATTTAGACTGTCCTTGTGTTTCTGCTCCTTATCATGGGTGTTTCAAGTCCTAACCGCTGGTGCTGTAAGTCTGCTGTTCCAAGATTCTGTGTGGTGTTTGCTTCATGCTAATAGGCGCTTTTTAAGAGTACTGTACTTGTTCGAGACTAGCCTGGGCTACAAAGTGAGCCCAAGCCCAGCCTAAACTGCATAGTGAGACCCTGTTTCAAAAGACAAAAAAAAAAAAAAAAAAAAACTATTTGTTAAGCACCATGAAGGATGCTTATATAAAAGGAAACCAGTGAATTCTTTAGTTTTCTAATTTAGCTAGATTATTGTTTCTCAATCAAGGGTGATCACCCCCCCCACACACACACACACACACACAAGGGGATAGCTTGCCATGTCTGGAGACATGTTTGATTGTCACAGGGATGGACAAATGAGGGTATGTTAATGATAATCTAGTGAGTGGGACCCAGGGAAGCTGCCAACAAACAATGCCCAAGACAGCCCCCAAATGTTAGTGTGCCCAGGTTAAGGAACTGAGCAGGGTGATAGGCCATGCCTATTACAAATACTTATAGAAGAACAAAAGTGTCTAATCAAAGACCAGACAGTAGTTCTTGGATGTTGGCCTTTTGATCAATGCCTGTCTTTTGCAGCATCTTAACAAAATGGTAAAAATGAGGTATGTGTTTTTCCTGAGGTCAAACTTAGTTTAAACAATTATCTATAATTCTGGTTATCTTTTTTTACTTTGTTGGGCTTTATTTTTTAAACAGAACCTTGCTGTGTTGCCTAGGTGGCTTAAAACTCCTAGGCTTGGGCCAAGGATTTAGCACAGCCGCACAATCCCCTGCCTAGCCAAGTGCAAGCAGAGTCGTGAGTTTGATCTCCAGTACCAAAGCAAAAAGCAAAAACCAAACTCCTAGACTCAGGCAGTTCCGTCCCAGACTCAGGCAGTTCCGCCCCAGCCTCCTACCTAGCTGAAATTACAGGCATGCACAGGAGTTAAGCTTTTTAGGCGATGATGATGATGATGATGATGGAACTTAGAAGGTGCTGTCTTTGATGGTTAATAATTCTGTTGCAGTTTGTAACTTTTATGTACTCTATGTTAGAAATTGTACTGATTGTTGAAATCCCTGAAGTATGGACACTACTTAGCAAGTGTAGCATTGCTAGTAAACACTGGGGTAAGTGGTATTGGGCTTTCTGGGTTACATGCACAACAGTTTACTTGAGGAAATTATTTTTAAAATGTTTTGGAAGGGTTAAATGAGATTGACTGTAGTGACACCATGCCAAGGCCCAGTCTGCTGTCTGCTTTCTGCAGTTTAAAGGCCACTGTCATAATGACTTCTCAGAATCTCAATTTACATAGAACTCTGCTGGAAAGACCTTAAGATTTAATGTTTTTACAAATGGTTTCTGTTCATAGGTCCTCCAAGGCTTCCCTTGCCTACTGGCTACAAAAGGCAGCGAGAGTATGAAGAGGAAGATGATGATGATGAATATGACTCTGAAATGGATGATTTTATTGAAGACGAAGGAGAACCTCAGGAAGAAATATCGAAGCACATTCGAGAAATTTTTGGCTATGACCGGAAAAAGTAAGTCTAAGTGAGCTTTAAATAAATATATTCTTTTTGAGTAATTATGAAGTTGAAAGAAACACTACATAGAGCCATTGAATACGTAATTAGATAATGTAATTAGATGATAATTAGAAATCCTTAAGTGATTGTTTTCAATAAATCCAATGGTTTTTTTGTCTTTTTGAAACAAGGTCTCACTATACAGGTCAGGCTGGCCTTGAGCTCACTTTGTAGCTCAGGCTGATCTCAAACTCACAACAATCCTCCTGCCTCAGCCCTACAAGTGGTGGGATTATAGGCACATGCCACTGTGTCTTGCTTAATAAATTTACTGTTCTAGAATTCAGAAGAGTTGGTATAGTTATTTACACAAAGACTAGAAAGTACCTCCTTTAAAATGTTGTCCTAACAAGATATATTTGAGGAGAATGAAACAGTTTTGTGTAATAAATTGGTTTTGAAGCCAGAAGGCTATTCTGATGTGATAGCTACTTTTCTTTTTCTTTTTTTCTTTTGGTACTGGGGATTGAACTCATGGTTTGCCAGACAGGCACTTATGCTGCTGAGCTAAATCCCCGACCCTATAGCTACTTTTCTTTGGTGTAAAGTTTTACTTGTCAGGGATGTGGTCCCAAGAGAGCTGTTGGGCGGCAGCAGCATTGGTAGACTTGAGAGTTTGTTACCAATGCAGCCTCTTAAGCCCTGCCTCAGACCCTCCTGAATCCAAATTTGCTTTATAGACAAGTGATTTTATATATACATGTACTACAGTTTGGGAAGCACTGTGGGTTTTAAGGGAAGACCAGAGTTTGAAGTTCCACTACTTAATAGCTAGGTAAACTCTAGTAAATTATTTTTAAAATGACATTTTGGAGAGTTAAATGAGGTTGAATATATGTAAAACAAATGAGACCTATCATAGTCCCTATAAATTAGTTGTTGACTTAGAACATGAGACATTAAATGACCATCTGAAGAAAGGTCATAGAAGTGGAAAGAAGAATGAGTTAAAAACCAGATCTAAAAATTCAATCTGGAGGGGCTGGGGATTTAGCTCAGCGGCATAAGTACCTGCTTGCAAGCAGGCGGTCGTGAGTTCAATCCCTGGTACCGATAAAAAATGAAAAAGACAAAAAAAAAAAAAAAAAAAATTCAATCTGGAGAGCTGGGCATAGTGGCACACACTTGTAATCCTAGCACTTGGGAGGCTGAGGCAGGAGGATCATTGCAAGTTTTAAGACCAGCCTGAGCTACAAGGTAGCCCTAAAATGTATAGTGAGACCCTGTCTCAAAAAGACCTCCCCCCCCAAAAAAAAAAAAATTCAGTCTCGGTGGTAGAACAGTTGCCTAACATGTGTAATGCCCTGAGTGTGAGATGTGTGCCAGTAACCCCAGCTACAGTACTTTGGACACAGAAGGATGAGGATTGCAAGTTCACAGCCAGCTTGGGAGTACAGTGAGACTTGTCTCATAAGACCACCACCAACAAAAGCGCTGTCAATAACCTGGCTATCTGTTCTTGGTTAAACCATTCTCAGGTGAATGGAGATGAGTTGAGGAAGCATTGTTGTGTTAGTGACTTCATCAGTGTTAAATTCAGAAATAGTTGCCTTCTGAGGGCTCATGAATTTGTCTTTGGGTATTGACTGTTTTTAAATGAAAAGATACCGTTCTTTACAAAACTTAATTTGGGGCGCTTTTTTTAACATTTTGATTTCCTTCTATCAGGTACAAAGATGAAAGTGATTATGCCTTACGTTACATGGAGAGTAGCTGGAAGGAGCAGCAAAAAGAAGAAGCAAAGAGGTAAGCACAAAATGTCCTAAAAGTTCTTTTCTGTTTATTGATGCACTTTTGGCACTGGTAGCAGGGGCTTCGGACCACACAGTTACAGATTATAATCCTCCTGATAAATTATATGGGCCTTAGACAAATCCCTTAGCTTTTCTGGATGTTTTCTCATTTCTCTTTTTTGAGACAGGGTTTTGCTGTGAAGTTCATACTGGCCTTGAGCTCACTTTGTAGCCCAGGCTGGCTTCAAATTTGCAACAATCCTCCTGCCTGAGTCTTCTGAGTGCTGGGATTACAAGCGTGAGCTACCACGCCTCTCTTTTCCCATGTCTTTAGATGAAGAGATACTGTGCTGTGTTCCTGGAGGTATTGGACAGGTGAAGACAGTAGAATAAGGTGCTCACCACGCCTCCTGGGGAGCATAGTAAATCTTAGGGGCCGTCTTTCTCTACTCATGTTTCAAAGCTTTGGTTTTCTTTCCCCATCAGATTAATTTGTCTTGCTAATCTGTGACTTTAATCTTAGAGACCCAAGGAAGGTATATTAGATTCTCTCCTGATTCCTGTTAGGTATTAATAGTAAAGGAGTGATAATTTCTCCGGTGGGAGTAATAAAAACAGTATTAATTATTAATAATTACTATCTATTATTATGAGTAAGTAGTTCACTCGCATCTCAAACCACCATGCTAAACCACATTTTTCTCTTGACCTCTCCTCCTGTAACTACTGGTAGCTAAAGTGTCAAACTTTGGTGTTACATACATAAAATCCAGTATTCTAGAGGCCAGGGCAGGAGAATCAAGAGTTTGAGACCAAGTCTGGGCAACATAATGAGGTCTCATCGCAAAAAAAAAAAAAAAAAAAAAGTCAAACTAATTCAAAAAGAACAAACATAGAATTTTGATAATGGGAAATTTTTTAAAGCTCTCATGCTATTTATCTTTTATTAACTTAATGGAATTGGTAAGATGTTTGCTGTGAGATTGTTTTTTCTCCCACAGATTTGTGACCTCTGAAAGTCCCTGCTAGCCTGTGTAAAGATATAAAGCCTTGGGGCATTTTGAGAGCACAGCACAATCCATCCCTGTGCTTGCGCAGCTGATTTCATTCTTGTCTTTTAAAGTGATGACCTCATGTATATTGATGAATGCCATTTAAATTTTTTTTCAATAGTTTAAGACTAGGTATGCAAGAGGACTTAGAAGAAATGCGGCGGGAAGAAGAAGAAATGAAACGTCGAAAGGCCAAGAAGCTGAAGAGACGTTAGCTGCTGCTTTTTTATTTTTGTGAAATTCTGGGATCACTGCTGCAAGGATTTCCTGCCTTCAGACTGAATGAAGTCCCCTTATCGTTTTAGATTTATACTTGAGTACTCAAGGAAAAGGAATGCATATTGTCATTTGCAGGCTGTCATTTGAGCAGGATGTATTTCAAATACTCAGAGTGAAATCTCTAGTGCAGATGATGTCATGCCCACTGCGTGCCCCTATGAAGTGAACTGTCCACAGATGCCAGCCTTGATCCTGATGAGCTATGCACTCTAATGCAGGGCCACTCACCAGTCAGCCAGTCTTTTGTTGTTCCTTTGTTTCCTTAAAAGGAAAAAAAAAAATTGTCTCTTGACTCATAATTCTGCTGATGTGAGTAGGACACCTCTCAACTCCCAAATTTAACTTCTTTGTGAGAAAACTGGCCCTTCAATGAACGTTGCCAGCAATAAAGTGACCTGTGCTAAGCTATATGTTTGGATTATGAAATCTAAAATGTAGAGTATGCTTTAAATTATCACATGGATGTCATCCTTGTGACTTTGAAGTACAAAATGCAGTGAGAATACTATTACTGTATTCTACATTATTCTGGATTGGATGCTGAGCATTCTTGTTTATATAGGTGATTAGGCAATTTAAAATTTTTTTCCACAGTAAAATACAAATTGTGCCAGTATAAGAATATTCTGAGTTTTCCAATTTACTGTTAAGTTTACTTTAGTGTAAAACAGACAAGGTCACTGTGCTGATCTTAAAAAATTCATTTTTATATTTAAAGAAAAGTATTTTATTCAAATATTAGATTTAAAATAATAATAGTTTGAAAATAAGGAAGTGACATGTGAGACTCCTCTCCACCTTACTCTTCTTCCCAATCACAAAAATATTTTGGAATCCCAAGGTACCCTTGTGCCTCTTGATATTAATGACTTTGCATTTTTAGCTTAAATTCCTTAGCTAATATTAATAGCAAAAAACCAAAAACTAAATCTGTGTGTATTAGGAGCAACACCTTCTCTTTTTGCCCACATTGCACTTTGATTCCAAACTATGCACTGTGAAGAGCTCATCCCCTCCCCCATGGTGGACCAGGTGAGGTGTCCCTGGAGGTGTTCTCCTGGGCTGTGGAACTTTCTTCGTCTTCACCCTGCTGTAAGTCATCCCTATAGACTTCACATCACGTAAGCCTCCACTCCAAACATTCCAGTCAGGCTAACCAAGGATCTGGCTCAGAGAAACCAAGTCACAAGAACAGTCAGCAGCAGAAGCATCGTGCTGCGTTGATGCTAGAGAACACTTGTCATTGACTCTTACATGTGGAGGGCTTGGAGGCAGGCTGAATTAAGCTCATTACGACAATTCTGCAGTAACTGTTCTGGGTATCTTAAGCCATTGAATGGGAAATAGGAATAAGGGAGGTTGCCCTAAGAATCCTTATGGTTCACCAGGCCTGGCATTTTTGTGTATTCTTTTTTACCATAAAGCCTTTTTCAAGTTTGGGAATGCAGATTACCATTATCAGCCCCCTTTAATGGGACCATCTGACCCAGTCCTTAAAGACTGATTCATTTAGAATTTAGAATTTTGAGCTATTACCACTCAGACTTTGAAAGTGCAAGGATTTAAAGTTGAAACCTATGAAATATATCTTCATTCATTAGAAATAACACTCTGAACTCTTCACAGAGATGTTTCACTGGTAGCAGAAAACCCCATCAACTTCTCACCCATCAGTGAAAATGATTCAAGGATAGTGTAATAGTTCATTTAATAAAATAGGTGTGGAACATTATTTTCTTTGTCATCACTTATGTGCCCCCACTAAACAATTTTTCTTGGGTATATATTTTTTTAGTATTCAGACCCTGAAATTAATTACAATCCAATCCTTAGCAAAGCTGAAAGATTCCTGGTGGCTTACAAGCTGACTAGCTGTTAATGATTCCGTGCAGTGATTTGTACAGAAAAGAACCATTGTACTCGAGTCCCAGAAGTTCCAGAACTTGGTTGGAAGAGTCAAGTCGTAATGTGTATCACTTCTCAGTACATTTCATATATGAGTGATGACATTGACAAGAATGTCTCGTGGCTTATTAAAAAAAGAAAAAAGACTTTGTTTTATTCTTGGCCTTGTTTCCAAATCTTGTCTTCCATTTCATTGTTCTGCACTTCCTGACCACTCTTAAGAAAAAATCACTAGCCTTTGAAGAAACTGGAATAGGCTGTTATTTATCAAAGTTTACAAATTAAGTGCTTGATTTTTAATGTATTCTCCATGTTTTGATTTTCAGATTTTCTTTTTTTTTTTTTCCTTTTTATTGGTACCAGGGATCCAACTCACGACTGCCTGCTTTTACAAGGCAGGTGTTTATGCCGCTGAGCTAAATCCCCAGCCCCTCAGATTTTCTTAATATTTGAAGATGTGCCTTTTATTGGGTAATGTTAATTCACGAATGTAGTCATGTGATTTCATAGTTGTAATGTTACATGATCGTGGGTGTGGCATTCTCTAACACGATGTGAAAGGAAAGTAGTTTTCATAAAACAGCTCTGATTGCACAGCCCTAGTGGCTTTTGATGTTGCTGTGTTAAAGCAAAGGGCACTTTCTTTCAAAGCTACTTTCAGAACTTGTCTTTGTATTTTCTCTAAGCTATAAATGCAGTTATGTCCATTTGGAGGCCAGGGTACCACATGTCACAGGCGGCCTTACATGTGTGCCGTGAGAAAGTTCAAAGACTGTTGACAAAAATGAAAGTCTGTGGGAAGTCAAAATTTCATTTTTTAAATGGTATCCCCAAGATTTTCTCCAAGAAATAAATTGTTATTTTGTATTTTATAACTCAAAAGCAGCTATTAGTACATTTCTGAGATTATAGCAGGAGACCAAAACATTTTTGGAAAGAGAATAAATATATGAAGAGAGACTGGTGGTTTTATTTTCAGTGTGCTGAATATATTAGACTACTATTTATTTTGTGAGTGGATGTGATGAAATAAATATTCAGGTGTTTAGTGTATAATTAATGGAATATAGATTTCTTTGGAGTTATTAAATCCATCATGTCTTACATAATGGACAAATCAAATTTAAAAGAACTTTACATAGCTTAGCTTGTTTTTTGGTGCTGTTGACCTGCAAGAGAATATACTTTTGCATATACAGGTGAATGTTTTACAATTTATGTATACAAAAAATTGTAGGCATTAAAATATTTTATTGATATTTTTATTGGTTTGCATTTATTGATTGAAACTTTGAGCTGTTACCACCTTAAACATTTTCCCGGGTAGAAATCTCAGTTGACTCATTAGTGTGTTGGTTTTGGTTTGGCTCCTGAATACACTCTGCTCATTCTGTCTTACACATTCACATCTTTTCAGTCCCTTCCACTTATCCCTGTCCTGGTCCACTGCTAGCTTGGGGTATCGTATGCTGTCAGACAGCTACGTTAGGAGAGCTGTTGGGTGGTTAGAGCAATGGAGTCTAGTTTCGTGGCCCATGCTCAAACTGGAAGGAAGAGGCAGAGCTGTTATCTTGTCAAAATGAGTAGGTTCTGATCACCTATTGTAAGAAAATGCCAAGCCTGAAGGGTATATATGTGAGGTACAGTGGGCACAGCCAGAGATGTAGACAAAAGCCTAACTACAATGTGTTGAGTCTATGTCAGCTAAGAAATACAAGAGATGCTAGCACCCAAGGTTCAGAAGTTTAACAGTTGTATTTATGACATTTGGATTCATTTTATTTTCCATAAAAAGGGCAATCCAACATCAACACAATGAGTAACTTACAAGTAATTAAGCAAATGTGTTCCAAATAAGTAACAAGATCTTTTCTGTGTACCCAAAGGATTGCTTTGCAGAAAAAGGGTGTATTTCTCATGAGCATGTAAATGTCGGTCATCCCCATGTTCCCAGTCCCTGTGTGAAATCTCCAAACCACTTTTAAAGGACTTACTGAGATCCTGGAGTCTGGACACCTAGATTTACTAGTACATCTTATTCCATTCATCATCTTATAAACTTCTTGCATCATATTGACAGTAAAGCAGTTACGGTAGCTTTTGTTTCTATACCTACTTATCTAAAAGGATCATCAGATAGCTTTACTTTTCTGATGAGGACGACATTTAAGTAGCAAAATTGGAGATACAATCCCAAAAAGCCAGACGACATTCCTGTAATCCCAGCAGTCTGGGAGGCAGGAGGATTGCAAGTTTTTTTCTTTCTTTCAGGTCTTAATCTTGGCTACAACAGAGTCTTGATACAGGCAAGATACTTAAGCCTCTCATTTTGCTACTTTGTAAAATGAAACTAATACTTAGCTTCAGAAAGTTACAAGGGTTGAAATAAAAGTATACTTTAGTCTGTCCTCAATACTAAACCTTTTCCCATGTGGGGTAAGCTTTGGATTCCTAGTAAAATAGCTAAGAAAAGGTTAATGAAAAAGAGAACAATAGGGTTAAAACTGAGAGAATGTCTAGCACTTTCTGTAATATTCTTCACCTTAACCCTGGACTCAGGAGGAGGAGGGCATAAGGGAAAATGTCTAAAGAGCTCTAGAGAATCTGAGAATCTCTGCCCTTAGAGGGAACAACTGAACTAGGTAGGTATCTTAATCTTCATGGTTTGTGTCTGGATGTCCTCCCAAAACCTCATGCAGGTCATAGGGGTAGGCTTTTTGGAGGTGGCCAAATCTAGAGATTGGTTCATTGTCTAGTGCTGGGATTAGGGGTGTGAATGCTACACCTCTAGGACAGGTAGCCTGCACCCAATATAAGAAAAAAAGGCATGTTTCCCCCGTTTTGCTCTTGTTGCTTTCGCTGTCTGATACCATCATGAACTGTTGCCCCTCTGCCATGACACCCTGCCTTGGAGCTGCTGATTATGGACTGAAACCTTCACAAATTGTGAGCTAAATAGTTTCTTCCTTAACTTTGGGTGTTGAGTATGTTGTCCCAGCAATGAGAGAAAAGTATCTGATGCACTGACAGAAGGAACCCAGTGATATCCCACTGACTCCCCCTTCCCACCCTGAATCTCCCAATTATAAGTTAACAGAATACCAAGTCTTTGTAGTTACCAAGTGTGTAACTACATATGACAAAATAGCATGCAATTACTTTATGTGAAACCATCAACAGGAACTATACAGCTAGCCAGGTAAGCTTCAGAGCTGCATTACTTCACCGGGATCATCCTTGCTTATTTCCACAGGGGTCTGATGGAGAAGAAAAGAAAAGTATGTCAGGCCAGTCTAGTGGTTGCTCAGGTGTAAGCTGAGGCAATTGCTGTTCTTGCCAACGACCGGGGTTGGCTGTGTCTGATTTGTCTAACCTAAAGCCTCAGCCAGGAGAGCTCAGCTGTGTGGGAACTGCTGCCAGTCTCTTTGCTTTTTACCAATGAGTGTTTACTCAAGAAACATTAAATAGGGCTTGCAGAAGTGGGCTAGTAGACGAAACTGTTCGGAAGGCTGCACATAAAAGTGGCCATCATGGCTGGTCCGATGGCAGTGAGTTATCAGAACTTATTTACATTAGTGTTACTAAAGTCAGTATACATTCCCCCCTCCCAATGCTAAATTTGACTGGCTTAAAAAAAAAAGTGGCCATCAATGTAACAGACTAATCACCCAAGTCTGAAAGCTTCGACTGGACCACAAATAGCCTTTACCTCCACTGAAGATCTTACATAATACTCCAGAAAATATGAATAAAATGTGAAATGTTGAGAACTCTTGCAATTCCAAATAGAGAATATTTAATAGAAGTAGATAATAATCAGTGGATGCTATAATAATATGGTTTTTAAATACAGAGAGGAGTATTTGTTTCTGAAATGACTGGACTTGGACTTCTGTGCTTTAGTATGTTAAACTGGGGGACAACAAAGTAAGAATAGTGAAGAAAGCTGAAAGAACACTCACCCCTCCAGGGGGATATTTAAATCCCTTCCACATGGTTCCTGCAATGAGAAGCAGCCATAAGACAACGATCATTGTAGGAGTTGCTCAGCTGCCGGTGTTTGCAGGGGGAAACAGTGGTTCCAGGAGGTGTGGTGTTCTATGCTTGAGGCCTGGGAAATGGGCTGTCTTCATGCAAGACCAAATGATGGGCGGCCCAACATGGCAGCTCCTGGCTGAGGATCTTTGTGGTCTAGTCTGAACTAACATGACTCCATGGCCATTCTGGGGAGCAGGGCTCAGATACCAATTATGACATCAGTCCCTGAGACACTGGGGACCCAGTCAGAGTGAGCAACAATGGGATGGGGGTCCAGGATGCCAGATGTGTTAGGGCTGAATAAACCTTAGCCAAAGGGCCTTGTTCTGTGGCCACTGTTTAGGACCTACCTGGCATCACATCCTTAATAACTTAGCAAACATCAAAATGTTCAACTATTGCCTTTATGCAATCTGATACAAAAAACACTGCAACACCAAAAACAAAACAAAACCTTGGGTTTATTGGGAGAACTGCCTATGTATACCTTGAGCAGTTAACTTATATGCTTAAGACTGTTTAAAGAAGAAAAACCTTGCATTTTTATGAAACAGAAATTACCGCATTATGCAGGGCAAGCCTCATCATAACTTCCCTGGGAAGGGAAGAAAGATGGTCTATTACGTTAATTTCACAGCCAGAGGAAGTGAGGTCTGGAACAGTCTGAGTGGTTTATCGGGATCACAAAGTGGCAGTGGCTCAGCTAAACAAACCCACACGCAGTGCTTTGGACCTAAGCTGTCTCAGAAACCCTGGGACACAGGGTTGGAGAAAAACAAGACTCACCTTCCTTTGCTGCTCTCAGTACGCCTGGGACTGGGGCTTGCTACCTACCGTTTGGAGGACCTTCTGTAAGCAATATTTTATTGAAACTATCAAGAGTTAGTTTTCTCTAACAATGGGAATTGCTCTTGAGAAAGACAGATTGAGTGAAACGGAGTAAGAAGCAAGAAACTCCGAAGTTGGACTGCCAGGGGGGCCGCTGCCACTGCTGTTTTTTAGGCAGGCAGAGTGGAGAAAACACGAGACACAGTGCACTGCTGCCTGTATGGTAGTGGATTATGGTGTTACCAGTAAATGCCTGCTGAATTGTTTATTATTTTGTGAATATTTCACTAAATACCAACTGTCAAGCTTTGCACTAAATGCCTTCCATGAATTCCTAAATATAATCTTCACAAACACGGTAAGACACAGATATTTCCTATGTCCAGATGAAGGAACCAGTTTAGACAGGTTACAACTTTCCCACAGTCACATGGCGAGTAAATTGCAAAGTCAGGACTTGATCTCAGGGGCTGGGGATTTAGCTCAGCGGCATAAGCGCCTGCCTTGCAAGCAGGCAGTCGTGAGTTCGATCCCTGGTACCGAAAAAGACAAAAAAAAAAAAAAGGACTTCATCTCAAATTCTTATTAACTCTAGTTTCACCATCTCCCAATCCTGGTATTAAAAAATATTGGTCTAGTAGGGTGTCTGTGAGGAGAAAATAATACATGGGAAGTGTTCAAAAGGAATACCTAGAGGATGTCGTTATCACCAGACTTTTGAACGCTGGTCTGCTGTCCCCAGCAGTTGTCCCCAGCATGCGCTTCAAACATCTCCCCTTCCACAGGTCAGTGCATTTTCTAGGCGCATAAACGCTCCCACTTATACACCAGGGCACCACAGGGTCCTCGGAAAATCACAACCCAGCCCCCAACACACCTGGTCCTCACATGGGCAGATCTTCCTCCAAAGCCCAGCTCCTCCGCCGAGTTTTGCTCTCCAGAACAGGATATCTCTGTTTCCACTTTAGAGTTGGAGGCTGAAAGAGACAAAAAAATTAAAATTGGAGGTCACCACACAGAGGTCAGTGCCTCTGTGTGGTGACTGGAAGAGCTGCTCAAAACCCCGCAGCCCCATAGTTCTCCTTCCTACAGCAACTCCTCAGCTTGAAACCTAGAATCAGGCACTGTCTTCAACAAGACCCCTTTTAAAAATTCCCCCTTGTAAATTCTTTTTCTTTCTTTTCTTTTCTTTCTTTCGTTCTTTTCTTTCTTTCTTTCTTTTTCTTTTCTTTTTAATCTTTTCAAGACAGGGTTTCATGCAGTTCAGGCTGGTCTTCAACTCACTTTGTAGCCCAAGTTGACCTTAAATTTACAGCAATCCTCCTGCCTCCACCTTCTGAGTGCTGAAGGTTGCAGCCATGCACCACCATACCCAGCCCATAATATTTTGAAACAAGTGAAGTTAATAAATCAAGGGGGGGGGAGAGTAAAAATTTAAAAGAGGAGCTGAGGATTTAGCTCAGTGGCATAAGTGCCTGCCTTGTGCGTGCGGGATTGTGAATTCGATCCCCAGTATCAAAAAAAATTAAATTAAAAGACAGATGTTCCTATGGGATGAGCAGCACCCTGGGAAACCACACTGTTGCCATCCCATCCTGACTCTCAGTGGAGAGACCTCATCCCAGCTAGGAGCCAGAGGCAGAGCTAGAACTGACGGCTGGGGATTTATGTGGAGACCATTACTTACCATCACCTCTGGGAAGGTGCCCATATAACACGCAAGTCCAACGAAAAGCATCCAGCCAAGCACTATCATGATCAAAAGTAAAACAATTTCTAAGACAATGTCAGGATGAAAGACCATTCACCGATATCTTGGCAAAGGAGTATGCTCATGAACTCCTCAGTTGACGGAAGTCTCACATGTCAGTTCCATTCCTTGGCTCCAAAGGATCTACAGCTCCCTGATGGAGAAGTTGGAGTCTAGAGGGGTATTGTGACATCATCAGTTAGATGGTGCAGACTCGCCATGTGGTTTCGCGTTGCTGAGCAGCAAGTGCAGCTCTTTGAGTACCTTATCTTTGTGCAACACCTTGAGACAAGGAGATTATTAATCCCGTTTTGCCAATGAGAAAACTGAGGCCCAGAGCCTGAGTGTCTTGCATGAGGACACACAGCAGATTCTTGACATTAGGTCAAAATTTTGGCTCAGTTGCCTTTTTAAAATTAGAGACAGGAGCTAACCATGTTGGTGTACGCCTGAAATTCCAGCATTCGGGAGGCTGAGGCAGGTTGACTGCCTCAAGTTTAAAGCTAGCTGGGCTATACAGTAAGTTTGAGCTTAGCCTGCACTACAAAGTGAGATTCTGTCTCAATAAATAAACTTAAAAGTTAATTAGAGACAGGGATTTGGAAAGGTGTTGCTAGGTCTATGGCAGCTGTGAATGAAACAAATTAAATTCTGAGGAAGTGATACATCTTTTTTTTTGGTACTGGGATTGAACTCACAATGAGTTTATAACCCCAGCTCCTGAAGGCTTTCTTACTACTATTTGTTACCCACGTTCTTGAACATCTTTGGCCAGTTTCTCTTCATTGGTTCTCTTCGCCATCAAAAAGCCATAGGAATTCCTGTCCTTTCCTCAAAAAACCCTCCAAGGGCTGCACATGGTATTGCATGCCTGGAATCCAAGATTCTTAGTGGCCTGAGGTGGGAGGATTACAAATTTAAGGTGAGCACAGGTAACTTAGGGAGACCTTGTCTCTAATGAAAGGACTGGGATATATGTAGCTCAGTGGTAGATCACTTGCCTAACATGCATGAGGCCCTGAGTTCAATCTTCAGTGCTAGGAGGTGGTGGTGGGCATTGTTTCCAATTGCTCGGTGACTCACTCCCTAACTGTACTGTTTACAGATTTCCCTTTATGATCAAGATTCCTAAACAAGTGGGCCCCACTCAGAGCCCTTCCTTCCAATCTGCACCTGTTTTCCGTGCACTGCATTCTAGTTTCTAGTCCCTGCCCCACTACAAGAATGGCCATTCAGATGTCATGTAAGATTTTTTTCCTTTTGTAAAGTCTAACAATTGTACCTTGTTCCCTTTAATTTCCTTGCAGTCACCAGGCTGATTCTTCCTTCTGCAGAGTTCTTCCCACAGACACATCTGCATATATATTATTCTTGTTTCCCTTTTATTTTTACTATTTTTAATTGTGAAAATAATAGTGTTCATTGGAAAACATCCAGGGACATATAGGGAAAAATGTAATACTTTTTCCCTCAATTTCGGCCCCCTCAGTGTGACCCACATTACCAGCCTGGAGTGTATCCTTCTGCCAAAGACTTCCAGAACTTGCAAACATCGTTCCACACAAAGATCAAGAAGGTTTTCCTCCACTGTGGTGGTATCAAAGGTGATCATATTCTGCTTGTTACCAAACAACTTGTTTTTCTCCTATAACAATATCTCATAGAGATCCCTCTGGGTGAACTGATTACATGTGCTGGATGCAGTGGCTCATGTATATAATCCCAGCAGTTGGGACGCTGAAGCCGGAGGATCACTGCAAATTTGAATCCAGCCTGGGTTACTTAATGAGTTGAAGGCCAGACGGGAATACATAGTGAAACCCTGTCTCAAAAAGACACACACACACACACACACACACACACACACACACACACACACACCGGGGTGCACACCTGTAATCCCAGCATTCAGGAGGCTGAGGCAAGAGGATCATTTTGAATTTGAGACCAGCCTGGGCTACAAAATGAGCTCCAGCCCAGCCTGAACTGCATAGCAAGACTCTGTCTCAAAACGATAAAAAAAAAGACCGTCCCCCAAAAAAGATAAAAACAAAACAATCCTACACATTTTTTAATTAATAATCTTTATTGAAGTATAATTTACATAAAATTCTAATATAATCCATGTCTAGTTTAAGTTCTCAAAAAGTTCAAGAGTTTGAGAACTATATTAATCTTCTAACCATCACCACCATCACAATCAGTGTGGAAAAAATTTGATTATCTCAGAAAAGTCCTTGTTGGGGCCACAAATTTGGCTCAGTGGCATAAGCACCTGCCTGAGAAGTACAAGGTCATGAGTTTGATTCCCTCCTACCAAAAAAGAAAAGAAAAGAAAAGAAAAAGAACATAACCTGTGGGCCAGGGTTTAGCTCAGGGGCGTAAGTGCCTGCTTGACAAACACAAAGTTGTGAGTTCAATCCCCAGTATAAAAAAAAAAAAAAAAGGAAGAAAAAGAAAAAGAATACAACTTGCTTGGAGAAGAGTGAACATTACAGATTCTTTAGATGCCAGGATCTAACAGCACCAATTTCAGGAGAGCAGCCAGGGTGGAAGTTGGGGAAGAGTGGAGGGAAGCTTAAAAAAACCAACACCTGGGGGCTGGGGATTTAGCTCAGCTACATAAGCGCCTGCCTTACAAGCAGGCAGTCACGAGTTCGATCCCTGGTACCAATGAAAAGGAAAAAGACCAAAAAAAAAAAAAAAACAAAAACAAAAAACAAACAAACAAAAAAAAAACAATACCTGAGGCTGGGAATTTAGCTCAGTGGCATAAATGCCTGCCTGGCAAGTGCAAGGCCATGAGTTTAATTCTTGGTACCAAAAAAAAAAAAAAAAAAAAAAAAAAAACAGACCAAAAATCAAAAATCAAAAAAATAATACCTGCAGTACACACCTTCATTTTGTAATGAAATACCAATGGGTACAAAAGTCCTAAATTATTACTATCACTAGTGATGCTGCAGATTGAATCCCAGGGCCTCATGCATGCTAGGCAAGTGCTCACAAAGATTCACCACAGTTATCATAGATAGGGAGAGGAGATATCATGCATAAAGAATACGGTTTCTGACATCCCCTCGCATACTTTCACCTGCCTGAGATTCTGGTTCCCATGTCTGTAAAGTGGAGCCAGCTATATGACATATCCTTTATTTTAAGGTCTACACTTTTTCACACATAAATTTTTTTGAAATTGATGTGCATGTTCAAGTCAGTACACATATTTAATTTTGTAATCTTTTTACCCCTTTCATCCAAAAGCAATCACTAATCTAATACATCTTTATTTTTATGATGCCTATGCTGGTTTTGAACTAGTGACAATCTTCCTGCTTTAGCCTTCTGAGTGCTGGGATTACAGATGTGTGCCACCACTAATACACCTTTATTCAACAGGATTTTAGAAACCATACAATAAGTAATACCATACTAACCCTCAGTTTCTTCATCAGTAAAGCTGAGGTTAAAAGCCCTATCCAGATCATAAACCTTTGTAAAGATTAAGATAAAGCACATAAAACTCTTTTTTGTGGACTGGGGATTTAGCTCAGTGGCATAAGTGCTTACCTGGCAAGCTCAAGGTCCTGAGTTTGATCCCTGGTACCACAAAAAAACTTTTTTATTTTAGGGCTCTTTTTTTCTTCCTGAGACAGGGTCTCACTGTGTAGTGCAAGCTGGCCTTGAACTTGCTTATGTAGCCCAGGCTGGCCTTGAGCTCATGGTGATCTTCCTAGTCCAGCCTCCCAAATGCTAGGATTACAATGTGCCACCATGCCTGTCTAGCACATAAAACTCTTAGCAAAGTATCTTCCACCCAGGAAATGAAGTGCATGTATGCACATATACAGATATGCAAAAAAATGTCCATGGTTACTACCCCAGAAGAGAACTGGTGGTTTGGTTTGAATGAAAGGTCTCTTCTGTAAAAGGCTCTTAAGTAAAAAAATGGAAGAAATTTTTTCAGTCCTCACTGCTAACTTGCTACCTTTTCCCTGGTTAATAAATTTCTGGTAGGATGTTTGATCTTGGATCTCCTGGAAATCTTAACTGTTTCTAAGGTTTGTCAGATCTAGTTGAGGAGCGTTTAATAGGTCTCTTTTACTATGCCATATCTTATCCTTCACCTCTCATCTTCCTCCTACACTGCCTCCTGGCTTCCACCCTTGCCCCAGTCTAAGCCCGAGCTATTGACCCTTCCCTGATCAGCAGTCAGTTATTCTGAAACCCAATCAGAAGGGCCAGGAGGTAGCACAGTGGTATGGATAAGGCCCTGAGTTCTATTCCAACACCACAAAAAGAAAAAAAAAAAAACACCTCAGTCAGGTCATCACTCTTCTGTTCAAAACCTTCCAGTGGCTCATCTTGCAGAGCAAAAGGCTGAGAAAGAAAAAAGCAGCCCTGACATGAGGAGCTGGTCTGACACTGCTGGGCCTTGGTGTTGTCAGAAACGGGCCTGGCATTCACAGCTAAGCCAGGTTATCCTTCTGTTGGCTACAAACAATCTCAACACCGGCAGCAGACATGTCCACTCAGACCACGAGAAAGTGGAACACAAGAGGGCCGCTTCATAATTCTATCTAAACAAGATAAGGACAGTCACTGTGCTTGACAAAATACCAAGTATCCTCCTCTTTCTGCTAATACAAGCGACTGCTGCTTCTTTACCAGTTATAGCTTTTGCCTCACTCATATATGTCCCTCTCAAAAGGTTCATTGACATATTCCAGTCACAGAAATGTCCTTGCTTTCTGAAGGCACAAGATCCAGAATGAGGACTTGTTTCCTTAAAGTTTCCCCCAAACTGTCCAAACCTTAAAGTCTACTGAGACGTCCCCATGGTTCTCCCTGGTGCTTGCTTTCTTATTAGGAGTAATAAACTCATTTTTCTGTCTTTTTGTGACAGGGCCTTGCTATGCAGTTCAGGCTGGCCTTGAGTTCACTTTATAGCCCAAGCTTGTCTTGAACTCACAACAATCCTCCTGCCCCAGTCTCCTGACCGCTGGGATTACAGGTATGCACCACTATACCTGGTTCCTCTCTCGTTTTTTGAAAGAGGGATTTCACTATGTAGTCCAGGCTGTCCTGGAACTCACTGTGTAACCCAGGATGGTTCTGAACTCACAATCCTCCTGCCTTAGCTTCCCAGTATTGGGATTACAGGTATGCACCACTATACCTGGTTCCTCTCTCGTTTTTTGAAAGAGGGATTCACTATGTAGTCCAGGCTGTCCTGGAACTCACTGTGTAACCCAGGATGGTTCTGAACTCACAATCCTCCTGCCTTAGCTTCCCAGTATTGGGATTACAGGCCTGCATTACCATTTCGTTTCAAGCTACAAACAGGTATGTTCTGGTCTCTGGCTGGAAGGCACTCACAAACTAAGGTTCCTAAATTATTTTTTTCTTTTTCTCTTTTTATTGGTAGCGGGAATCGAACTCACGACCGCCTGCTTGTAAGGCAGGTGCTTATGCCGCTGAGCTAAATCCCCAGTCCCGGTTCCTAAATTATTTACAAAGCTCCTCAGTGATTCTTTAACTTTCTCACTTCAGTTACCTGGAAGGCTGGTTAAAATAGATGGCTTGCTTTTTTTAAAAATTGGTACCAGGGATTGAACTCACAACCCTGAGCTTGTAAGACAGGTGCTTATACCACTGAGCTAAATCCCTAGTCCCTAAAATAGATTGCTAAGGGTTGAGGTACATTTCAGTGGTAGAGCATTGGCCTAGCATGCTTGAGGCCTAGCACCACAAAGACAGATTGCTGGGCCTAACTCTAGAATCTGATTGAATGTGTCTTAGAATCTACATTTCTCATTTTAATTAGCTTTATTTAGCCATTCCGCCAGTGTGTGCATATTTCAAAATATGTTATAAACAATAAGTATATATGATTTTGTCAATAAAATTAACTTAAAAACCCCCTGTAACTCATCCTCCCACCCCCACAACTGTGGACTGAGCCCAGGACCTTTGCACTGAGCTATATTCCCAATCTTTTTTTAAATTTTGAGACAGGGCCTTGTTAAATTGCCCACGATGGACTCAAACTTGTGATCTTGCTTCAATTTCCCCGAGTGCAGGGATTGTAGGATTGTGTGACCAGGTCCTGCTTAAGAATCTACATTTCTGGGGCTGGGGATTTAGCTCAGCAGCATAAGCACCTGCCTTGCAAGCAGGCAGTCGTGAGTTCGATCCCTTGGACCGATAAAAACAAAAAAAGAAAAAAAAATCTGCATTTCTAACATGTTTCAAGTGATGCTGAGGTTGCATGTGTAGGGAGCCCACTGGAAGGCTCACTTTTTTTTTTTTTTTCTTTTTTCATTTTTATTGGTACCAGGTATTGAACTCATGACTGCCTGCTTGCAAGGCAGGCGCTTATGCCGCTGAGCTAAATCCCAGCCCCGGAAGGCTCACTTCTCTACACCTGTGTCTTTCTCTGATTTACTTCGGTTTCTGCTTGCCCACTTCATTCAGCTCCAGCCACCACAGTCTCCTTGCTGTATTGAGCCTCTTTATAAACATTTGCTTTTCTTAGAACTTTGCTTTGGTTGCTCTTAAATTTGAATACTTACTCAGGCCTCTCACAGAGACTTATCCTGGTCCCCTTATCCTTCTTTAAAAAATCTATTCTCTATAACAATCACTTTCAACCATGCTGCATACATTTGCTTATTACAGTTATTTTTTCTCTCCCTTTTGCAATAAAAAGACAACCTTAGAACAGCTGGTATTTTTTCTACTTTGTTCAATGCTGTATCCTCGGCCTTAGAAAAACAGCTCAGCTCGCAAAAAGCAGCTCAGAAAGTTTTCAAATGAATGCTCCTTCCAGCTTCTCACTTTCTCCCAGTTGAGTGCAGCATCCTTGTCTTTGGTTCTTCCTGTAAATATAAACCATCTTCCTGCCTGACCTTCCTAAGAACCTTCGTGCCAGTCCTTCCTAAGTCACCTTCCTGTCTGGCCTCTTGATGATTCAGTAATCAGGCCTGCGACGTTTTGGCCGAGTGCCCCAAGCTCAGGACACAGGGTAGGTAAACAACCTCACAAACCCAGCAGAATCAACAGTGCCAGAATACTGCGTCCTCCATCTCTCCCTCATCTTTCTTCTCCAGCTGACTTTATCCACCAATCTCCTTTCTCTGGTTTCCAAATGTTTTCCGTTTTTCCATTCGGGTTTTATCTCAGGTTCCCACGACATGCAGGTTACAGCGACTCTGCCGGAGGTCCCCTTCCACGCTGACCACTCCACTACTGTCCTACGTCGCGGTTAAGTGGCAAGGCTCCTCCTGACTCTATTCCCTTTGCATTTGCCTAAAAGTTGCTTTCGAAATTCCACTACCTCGTCTTCCCCAAATTCAGCAAAGGGGCCTGATCTTTTCAAAGGCTCTGCACATCTTCCCCGAAGCTCGCGTGTTGTTTCCATCTCCTTTCCTGCTTCTACACTGGTCCTTTCTACTCCTCTCTTCACAGCTGTCCCCAACTCTTCTCGGGCGAAGTGGATAGCGCTCTAGTCACGGTCACCTCGGGCTTCAAGAGCGAGACTCTTCTGCAGCTGCGCAGAGCCCGCTGCGCGGACCAACGCTGGAATCCAGCAGTAGGAATTTTGAGCGTGGGAAGAGGCGGGGCCCTGGCGCTCGGGAGTTTTGGTCCTCGGCGGCTTTCGTCCAGGAGCGCACCCGGAAGACGGTGTGTGGTTTGGGATCCTGGAATCCGGCTCCGGGACCTGGGGGAAGATGGAGTTCGACTGCGAGGGTGTGAGGCGGATCCTTGGCAAGGTGTGAACTGCCGGCCGGGACAGCCGGGGTCTCCGGGGTCCGTGGTGTCTCTTCTTCTAGTCGGGCTGCCGCGTCGTAGCGTTTCTGTTGCTGCTAAGCAGCGGCCTCGGCTGGCGGGGGGTCGGAGGCCACCCCGGGGCTGTCGTGGCGCCCCCTCCCCGCTCCCGCTCGCGCCAGTTCTTCCTAAGTTACCTTCCTGTCTGGCCTCTCGCAGCTACTGGCCCCCGCTGACCCTGCGACCGCGCCTTTTCGCTCCTGGCTCTGGTCCTCTGTGAGCCCAGATTCTGTGTCAGTCCCTAGGACACGGAGTCACTAGCACGATACTTGTTTTCAGAAATACCGATTATCACATCGTGGAACAGTTGTTTACAAACCTTCCTCCTGCCGTGAGCTCTTTTGAAGGCAGGACTGTGATTTTATCTTTGCTTATGATTTTTGCCTGCAGCTGTGTCTGGCAATTACCTAGGTACTAAGTAAGTGGGTGAAAGACCAAGGTGGAGTTGGGAGTGAAGACAGGGCTTGAGAGTCGTGCAGAGAACTTCCCGGTGTTGGAAGGTTGAAGAATAAAAGGGTGACCCTTGTATTTCTGGGCCCTGACCAGAGTGTGTTTCTAGATCAGAAATCTGAAGACTCTTTTGGCTTCTTGGTGCAGGCTCTTTGAATTTCCACCAGTAAGCAATCAGAGGAAATCCTCTTTTCACAAGTTTCCTCAAATTTTTTTTTTTAGTGTTTCTTAAGATTGCTCTGTGCAGAAACCATACATTTGGTTATATTTGTTGGAGTTGCCTGTGTCTCCCAATGCGGGGGCAGTTTACATCTATGGGAGTTTTTGTTTTGTTTTGTCTTTTTGAGGCAGAGCTATGCAGTTTAGGCAGGCCTTGGGCTCACTTTCAAAATCCTCCCACCTCAGCTCTCCCAAGTGCTGGGATTATAGGAGTGTGCCACTATGCCAGGCCTATGGGAGGTTTTGGTATTAGAGATCCAACTCACAACCTCGCACTTCGTCAGGCATATGGGAGATTTTGAAGCCCAAGATTGAAAATGTGTAATTATTTGAATGATTTTATCTACTATGAGAGGTGTAGATCTTGTACAAAAAGAGTATTACTGCATTAAGATTACTGCAGGGCTGGGTAGCTCAGTGGCACATTGCCTGCCTGGCAAGTTCAAAGTCTTGAGTTTGCTTCCTGGTTTAAAAAAAAAAAATGAATTGTCCAATGGGAAGACTTGTTAAAGTTTTGGTAGAACTGGAATGAAAGGAAAAATAAATAATTTTTTTTCTTTTATTTTTGGTACCAGGGATCGAACTCAAAACTGCGCACTTGCAAGACAGGCTCTTATGCCGATAAGCTAAATAAATCCCCTGCCCATGAATTGTTTTCTGAGTGGAAGTACAATAACAGAGAAAATTTGAAATTACTATCAGTGCATAGCATACTGTCTAGCTCATAGAAGCTTTTCTTGTTTTTTGGTCTGAATTGAACCTGGGACCTTCTAAGCACATGTTTTACCACCACTGAGCTATACCCCCTTATAAGTTGTATAAATTAATTAATGAAACTTATCAGGAACAAATCAGCCCAGCAATTTTGGGGAGGAGGTCTTTTTGAGACAGGATCTTGTTATGCAGTTTAGGTTGGTCTTGAGCTCACTTTGTAGCCCAGGCTGGTCTTGAACTTACAACTATCCTTTTCAGCCTCCCAACTGCTGGACTTACAGGTCTGTGCCACCACACCCGACTTCCAGCATTTATTTCTGAGGTTTCTTAGCCCCTACACTAGGCAAATATTATAATAACTTTGCATCTAGGAATAATTTTAGTGCAGAAAAATCTATGAAGTGGACAGTACTGAACCAAAGAACTGTATGGAGAAGTTGAAAAATCTTATTGAACACAAATAAAGGAAAACCTAAATAGATACCCCAGCTTCATGTGAAAGTACCAGTTCTCTCCAGATTGACCTACAGAGTCAATACATTACTAGTCAAAATTCTCACCAGGTATTCTGGCAACTTTTCAAACTGATTCTACAATTCATTGGAAAGACAGATGACCAAGAATAATTTTGACATTCTTGCAGATGAATTGGGATGGGGAATTGCTATAGTAACCAGTTACTGTTTAATACTTTTACTATAGTAACTAAGATTTAGGGTTTTAGCCAGGGTTAGTGGTACATTATAATCTCAACCACTCAGAAGGGTGAGGCAAGAGGTTTGCAAATTCAGGGCTAGCTTGGGCACCATAGTCAACCCCACCTTAAAAAAGAAAAGGTTCAGGGATATAGCTCATGGGAGAGTTCCCCTGGGTTCAATCTCCAGTACTGTACTGAAAAAAATATAGTGTCTTAGATTTATACATAGTATAGGACTGACAAATGGGATGTTGCTGGAAAGATTTGAGGTCTGTGCTATCCAGTTTGGTAGCTATTTCAGTGCTACAGCTAGCCTTGTTTTTTTTTTTTTTTTTTTTTTTTTAACATGTATTCATTGATTTATTTGGAATAAACTCTCATATATGCTTTACAGCCTTTCTACCACTGAGCTATATCCCCATCTCCTTTCTGTTTTTGACAAGAAATGCTTTAGAGTTACGGTTGTGGTAAATTGCCACGCGGGCCTCTAGTTCGTAATCTTTTGCCTCAGCCTCGCTAGTAGCTGGGACTACTAGCACCACCAAGCCTGGTTTAAAATTTAAGTTTCTTAGTTCTGCTTGGCTCTCCCATTTCCTCTTTTCCTTTTATTTAATCCTCATCATAAGTCTAGGGAGTAAGTATTATTTCTTTGAAAGAGTTTAGAAAGTAAGTTCAAAGAAATGAAATGATTTTGCCAACTTGGCAATCAAGGTGATGTTTCTGGAAGAACATTGGGAGAGAAGAGGCAACTTCACTTGGCAGTGGACACTTAACCTGTGCTTTTATTTCCTTTTCAAGAGCAGGATGGGGGACCCAGAGGGTGGGGGAAAGTCCAGGTGTCTCCCATAAATGAGACATTCAGAACACAATTAGACCTTGAATGGCGGTGAGAAAGGTCTCACCATCCTGACCTGGGTCTTAAACCTGCCTGAAAAAAAAAAAAAAATGCTGGGCATGGCTGAGGCAGGAGGATCATTGGGAGTTCGAGACCAACCTGGGCTACAGTGTGAACTCAAGGCCAGCCTAAACTGCATAGTGAGACCCTGTCTCAAAAAAAAAAAAAAAAAAAAAAACACCAAACCCTGCCAGAGATGTTTGGATACCTTCAGGAAGTTTGATTTAGTAATTATAGGCCCAGGTTCCTACTTTCAGCTCTGACTTCCCTACTTGCTTTCTGACTCAGCAAATTACTTTCTCTAGCATTTATTTTCTTTTAAAAAAAGAACAGTTGTAAACTACCTACCTCTTAGGGGCATGGTGTAGCCCTTGGAGCATAAAACTAATTTTATCATCAAGGCGTAGAATATTTCTACCCCTTGATGAATTATTAATTTTATGAGTTTATTAAACAATGAAAAGCTAACAGGAAAAAAGATCACAAAAATAAAATGTTTTTAATATTTACTAAGTATAAAATAAGCAAAATTTCAAGATCGACTGGTTTTGGTGTACAAAGCCTGAAAAAAACCATCAGAAATAAATTCCTATATGAACTAAAATGAAAATACCAATAGCACCCCCCCTCAAATAATCTGTACTTCAATTATCACACTTAAGGCAGTCTGCACACATGGTAAAAGCATGTTGCAGACACACGCAGCACACTGACAGCACATCTTTCCTGGCCTTTTGTAGAACATACTTGACATTTTAATGGTCTTGCTGTTTTGGTGCAAGGTTCTTATTATACAGTGTGTAGTTAACTGGAACATAAAATATCAATGAAATTGTTAAATTCTTAATATGTATTGAACATTTAGAATAGATTTTCACTTTCTCATATCAGCGATGAACTTGCTTACAAAACCTGTAAGGTAACAACAGAAATAAATTCCTAGTGAACTACAGTGAAAATACCAATAGAACTGTGGCACAAAAATAAGCTTTGCTTCAGCTGTCACACCCAAGGCAGCCTTCACACGTGACAGCTGCATGCTCCATGCACACATCTCGCTTACACTGACTGCTGACACCGACTGCTGGTGTACTTGGCTTTCCTTTCCTGTGTAGCAGTCTGGGCACCTCTCTCTTCTTCCTGTTTTGTCACAAGCTAGCTTCCTACTATCTGTACAACATGCATTTAGCAGGGAAATTAGATGCTAAACAGCATCAAATATGTAATGAGTGCTTAGAAGAGACATCAACATTTTCACATCAAGTGTTTGCTTGTTTACAAAACCTAAAAGATAACATCAAAAATAAAGACCTATGTAAACTACAGTGTAAACACAAATGAAAGTTTGCCATAGACAGAAATAAGCTTTGCTTCCTCTGTCGCACCCAAGGCAGTCTCCAGGTGTCATCTGCAAGTTCCATGCACAGGTGTTACACATACTGCTAACACATATGTTTTGTTTTCCTGTACTTTCTAGTATAGCACAGTTAATATCCTTTTATGTTTTCCTGTTGTAGTAGGTCCGTGTGATGCTGTTTACCTGTTAGCTCAGCAGTATGCTCCACAGGTTTTTTTTTTGTCTTTTTTGTTTTTATCCGTACCAGGGATCGAACTCATGACTGCCTGCATGCAAGGCAGGCGCTTATGCCACTGAGCTAAATCCCCAACCCCCGCTCCACAGTTTTTTTGTGTGTAGTTCCCTGGCAGAGAAATTTTGTTTTTCCTTTGCTGTAAATGATGTCTTAGGAGCTACAGTTTCAATCCTCTTAAGAAAATTTGTCCATGTAATTTCGTTCTTGTTATTTTCTTTGTAAGCCATCAAACTTTGCCATACATGTTTAGGGTTGAGTAAAACATGATTGGCCATTGTGTGTAAAGTGACATCATACTTACTGCCTAACTCATCAACAGTGTCTGCTTTACATTGAATTTTGTGTTCAAAGTTTCCATCTCAGGCTTCTGTCTTGGTGAGGTTTCCCTATTAGTAGTATTTCCATCATGGTGAAATGTTGGCATCAGCAGCACCAGTTTGCTTTTCTTTGTCATAAATGCGGCCAATGTTCTATCTTTCTGAAATCCAAAGATTGTATTATACCTTTGCTGTTTTGAAATTGCAACATTTCATTTGCAGTTCCTGTGCTAGTCAACTTGTACTCTGTTAGCAGATGTTACATGGATTGGAAACTGGTAAATTGAATGTCACCAGTGTTCACAACATGTTTCAGTTTGTTACTGTATGAATAAGGACCTGATGGCCGAGTTCCAGGATAAATGTCTAAACTGAAAGCATAGGAAGTCTTTTCATCTATAAGGACATAAATATGGCAAACTGCCGTATTTTGACTCATGGCTTTTTGAAAAGTCTTTTACATTCCTGAGCTGACCAGGAGAAATCTGTGCCAAGTGTGGCAAACCTATGAATTCAGTTTAGCTAGTGAGGTATCACTTTTGAATATGACTGTTGGTGTTTACAGAACATTTTACCTGCATTTCAGCCTTTGTGTATTTCACAGCATCTTGTAGCATTTCATCTGCTACAATTTCCAACATTGAATGGCAGAGCTGGCATTCTGTCCAATGCTTTGCTCTTCCCAAGGCCTTGATTGTATTTTTGGACCTGTTCTAACATTGGGTCATCCATTTGGTTGTGTAGCCATTTTTCAATGAGTCAAGTATTTACTCAGGTTGCTGTTTTCTTCCTCGTCTTGAGTCAAGGAAGCCTGCATTCTCTGTGTCTGTGCCAGTCGATTCTTGCTCCATTTCACTGTCACAGGAACACTGGCCCACAAGGCCAGCATCAAAGTGGTTGTCATTATCATCAGCATCAGCACCCACCCACACCACTCTCCTGTTACAAATATGTATGTTTTACGATAATGATCATTTCATCATCCATGCATGAGTAATCTGGTGATTCACTTTTGATCGCCTCTAAAACTTGCAGACCTGGATTTCATGTGCCATTGTACTGGGCTAATTTTACCAGAAGAATCAAAAGAATACTTTTTTAAAAACACAAATCCTGGAGTATCGTAGGTCTGTTGAACCCTCTGTGATGCCTGAGTAGACATATGCAAAACTAGTTAGCCGGAATGTAGAGGTGGATCCAAATCCTGTTTAGCCTCTCTTATAGACATGCACAGTCCTTGCTATTCATTGTACCAAGAGGGTAAACACAAAGATTGCTTCACGTATCTCTCAGGGAAAGGTACTGCAGGGCACAGCCAGCTATTACACTAATGTGCACATTTACAGTAGAAAAATAAGAAATCGGCCCACTAAACTTATGTTCTAATTAAAATATTAAGTCACATGCTTTTTACATCTGTAAAGCTCTAAAGCCTGCCACCTGGCAAATGTGAAAGTGTTAACTATAATGGTTGTGTTGCTTATAGCTTTATTTTTATTCTTTATTTTTATTCATTTTTGTCTTTTCAGTACAAGTTCAGGGATTTAACTATAGAAGAACTCAAGAATGTAAATATGTGTTTCCCACATTTCAGATATTCCATGGATACCTATGGTAAGAATAATATCCTTTAGTTTTGTTGCATTATTTCAACTATTAGTTATTTGGTCCTAGAGAGCTACAAAATCATAATTTCTCATTTCTTTTCTTTTTCTTCTTCTTCTTTTTTTTTTTTTTTTTTTTTGGTATTGGGAATCCAACTTAAACCCTTGTGCTTGCCGGGCAGGTACTTGTGCCACTGAGCCAAATCCCTGGCCCCTCATTTCTTATTTATTTCCTGATTTTTAGCTATTGATGACTTAGGGTTTCTGAAGAAATTTAAGTTGGTATATTACAACTGATTTTTCTGATAATTTTTCTGATAATTTTTTATTGTCACAGTAACAAATTACCACAAACTTAGTTTAAAAACATGCACATTTTGGGCCAGGGATTTAACTCAGTGGTCTAGGTGCATACCTAACAAGTATGAGGTAATGAGTTCAATCCCTGGTATAAAAAAAAAAAGAAAGAAAAGAAAGAAAGAAAGAAAGAAAGAAAAAAAAGAACATTTGACTTGGGCTAAAATCAAGGTATTAGTAGGTCTTTGTTCTTTCCTGGCAGTTTTAGAGGAGAATCTTTTTTCTCTTCCATTTTTTTCCCTTTTTTTTGAGACGAGTCTCACTATGTAGTTTAGGCTCTTCTTTGAACTCACTGGTTTGCCCAGGCTGGCTTCCAACTCACAGTGATCCTCCTGCCTCAGCCTCCAGAGTGCTAGGATTACAAGCATCAAACCCTCTTTTCCTCTTTTTTAAGTTTGTAGAAGTCACCATAAATCCTTAGCTCTTGATCTCCTTTTTCTTCAAAGCCAGCATATTGCATGTCTGTAATGATTCTGTAGTCAGATCTCCCTCTGATTATAGCTGAAAAGTTTCTCTGCTTTTAAGGTCCAGTGTCGTTAGGTTAGAGCAACACTACTAATATAATTTTCCAATCCTGGGGTCTTTATTTTAATTACATCTGTGTAGTCCCTTTGCCAGGTAAGCTAACATAGTCATAATTACCAAGGATTACGATATGGGCATTGTAGGAAGACCTGTATTCTGCTATCACCTATATGATTGGTTCTAAATAAGATTTTGGTTATCAAAAAAAAAAAAAGATTTTGATATTCTTGTTTCCTTAACAGAGAGGATCTTGTTGTCTAAGATTTTACTTTACTATCTTTCAAAAATTTTTTTACCTCAAACTACAATCAGAAGAGTATTTTAGGGTGGGGCATGGTGGCACACTCCTGTAGTCCCAGCACTTGAGAGGCTGAGGCAGGAGGATTGTTATAAGCTCTAGACCAACCTGAAGTGAGCCCAAGGCCAGCCTGAACCACATAGCGAGACCCTGTCTTAAAAAGAAGAGTATTTTATATCATGATCCTGTATATACACAACTAACATACTCTGTCTGCTGCTGTATCTTCTCTTTTATCCCATTTAAAAACAAATGCTGGGGCCAGATGTGGTGGCACAGGCCTGTAATTCCAGCACTTGGGAGGCTGAGGATCACTGTGAGTTTGAAGACAGCCTGGGCTACAAAGTGAGCTCAAGGCCAGCCTGAACTGCACTATGAAACCCTGTCTCAAAAAGACAAAAACAAACAAACAAACAAACAAACAAACCCTCCCCAGCCCCGATTGTTAAACAAAATAAAATGCTGTTTATATTCAATGAATTGATTTTAGATTACATAGATTAGTCAAGCTGGGTTGGTGGCCTCTGGTTGTAATCCTAGCATTTAGGAGGCTGAGGCAGGAGTACAACAAGGTGGAGGCCAGTTAGCATTACATAGTAAAACCTTGTTGAAAAAAATGTTTTTTAAAAATTCAGAAATCAGTGAACTGTAGTTTTGAAAACATTTTTTAAATTTGAATTATTTGAGTTAAGATATCTATTTAGATTTATATGTTAGATATTCTCAGGCCTTTTTTTGGTTCATTTTGTTTTTGTGTGGTTTTTTTTTTTTTTCCTTCTTTTTTTTTTTTAGTTTTTTATTACAGGGTCCTGCTGTGTTGTTAATGCAGGCTGATCTTGAACTCAGTGGTAGTACAGGTGTGTGCGCCTTCACCTGGCTCCTGAGGTGCTGCTTTGAAATGGCTGATTGTTTATGGGGGGGGAAATTACTAGATTCTGATTCATCTGCAACTGCTCCCCCTTTTTTTTTCTCCCCAGTGTTGGGAATCAAAACCAAGGTCTTCACTATGGTAGCAAGTGTTGTATGACTACCCCAAACCCCTACCTCTTGGGCCCTTTTGATATTTTTGGTGCTATAAAAATATCTGGAATGAGAAATATCATAACTACTATTTATTGAATGTCAGATATACTCCTAAATGTTTTACCTACTTTAATGTACTTTTTTTTTTTTTTTTTTTTGGTACTAGGGATCGAATTTACGACCTCACACTTGCCAGGCAGGCGCTCACACCACTGAGCTAAATCCCTGGCCCTAATTTGCATTTTTTCAAGGATCAAAACTGTTAGATGTTCTCATCTTCATTTTGGAGGTAGACAGGGTTCCAAGAGTTTAAACAATTTGTTTAAGATTGTATAGCTAGTGAGGGATGGAGTCGGGTTTGTTCCCATGTCTGCCTTGCTCCCTTCCTGAGTATTGCTTCCTCTTACACAGCGTCTTTCCTCATTACGTGGATGTGAAGCTTTATCTTACCAGTTCTTTCTCTAATTTCCCCCATTTGGAGAAAGCTTTGTGCTATTAAACTTTGAACTACAGGATTTCTCTTGTCAGTGTGCATTCTGTTACTAGAGACAGTGATTGTCATGCATTACTCTTCCTTCCATTTTGGCTGGCTGGCTGGCTGGCTGGCTTCTTTCTTTCTTTCACCCAAGGCTTTACACATGCTAAACACGCACTCCACCACTGAGTCACACCCTGAGCCCCTGTTTTGGTTTTTTTTTTTAACAGTCTGGTTGGGAAGTGAATAATCCCCTTGTTGCTCCTCTAATACATTTCTAGGTTATTCTCTGTCCCTGAGTAAGAAGCCGAGTTCCATTTCTCTTTCCATGTTAATTTTTGGCCAGGAATAGACAGTGGGTGACTGTTTCACCCAGTCAGTGAGTGAAGACCCATTGCTCCTTTCACTTCTGCAGTTTAGGATAAGTATTAGTCCTTATTTACACTTCTGATCTTGAGTTTTCTGTGTCAGCCTGTGCTATAGTCTGACTGTCTGGGTTCCCACGATGAAGTCCCAGTCCACAAGGTGATGGCATTAGGAGATGGAGCCTTTGGGAGGCTCTTGGTGGAGGCCTCCTGAGTGTGACTATTCCTTGCATAAAGAAAGCCTGAGACTCATCCTCCTCCTATGTGAAAAGAATCAGGATATGGGCCTTCCGTGGATACCGACCTTAAGTCTCCCAGCCTGTCAGAACTAAATTTCTGTTGTTTAGACAACTAAGCACCCCGGTTTATGGTATTTTGTTATAGCAGCCTGAAGACGGGGACATCCTGGGTTCCTCTTTTCCCTTTTGAAACAGGTCATCTAGACCTGTCTAGAAATTTTTTTCCCTCATAGTTACTGAGACACCAGAAGGACTGTTTCAATGCATTTTAAAAATCTGTGGTATTGTTTCTTTGTCTTCAGCCTGAGATTAGGACATTGATTTTTATCAAGAGCATCCTACCTATTGATGAGAAAATTGAAATTTCAGGGATGAAAATGTTGAACAAAGGTTGAGAATAATAGAGGAACTAAAGAAGATAAAGCCTTTTTTTGGGGGAGGGGGGTAGTGGGAATCAAACTCAGGACCTTGTGCTTGCCAGGCAGGCACTGTGCCACTGAACAATATCCCCAGCCCAAGAAGATAATTCTAAAAGGTTGCTTGCTGTATGTATGTGGATATATATTTATGTATGTATGTAGGCTTTTTGAGACAGGGTCTTGCTTTGCAGTTCAGGTTGACCTTGAACTCACTGCAGTTCTCCTGCCTCATCTTCCTGAATGTTGGGATTATAGGCACGTGTCATGATGCCCGGTTTAAAAGGTTGCTTTAAAAGGCTAACATTTTTCTTCTGGTTACAAAAGTGATTATAATACTGATTTGTTATCTGTAAAAATGATTTAATAGTATCATATTTTATGAGTTTACTTGTTAAGGGTTTCACATCTTATTTGATCCCTATGATAACCGAGTGAAGCAGTTTTCTTTATTTTATAGATTATGAACTGAAGAGAGATTAAAATAACCAAATCTGGGGCTGGGGATTTAGCTCAGTGGCATAAGCGCCTGCCTTGCAAGTGCGTGGTCATGAGTTCAATCCCTGGTACCGGTAAAAATACAAAAATACAAAAAAAAAAGTAATCAAATCATACCTCTAAGAGGGAAAGTGGACCTAGAATTTGAAATTTCAGTATCAAAGTCTTGTGTTCTATCCATCTAGTCTCAGCTTTCTAAGTAAACAAAACCTCATTTGCCCGTGTTAATATGTGTTCTGACCCTGGGATGTAGAGATTATGGAGTTTGTGTGTGTGTATATGTTGTGTGCTTGTACACATGCATTCACATACTTTAGTACAGTTCTATACCTGATTGCATTTTTTTGGATTTTTTTTTCCCTTCCAGTTTTTAAAGATAGTTCCCAGAAAGACCTGCTGAATTTTAGTGGCACTATTCCTGTGATGTATCATGGTAAGTATGGAAGTTAAGAAAATATGAGTTTTCTAAAAGAGCAGTTCATTAATAATTTAGATTTATTCTATAATACTATCAAAGTATTACCTTCCTGGATCTGGCGGGGTTCTGTCCCACTCGAGGAAGGCCTAGACAAATGCTAGAAAGTGGTGCACTCACCTAATCCCAGCTCTTTGGGAGGCGGAGATAGGAGGATTGAGAGTTTGATGCCAGTTTGGGAAACAGTGAGATTCTGTCTCAAAATAAAATATAAAAATGGCTGGGAATGTAGCTCAGTGTAGAGCACTCCTGGGCTCCTGCCTTCTCCTCTACTGACAAACAATTGGATACTATGTTCCCACTACTCTTGTGGGCCCTGGGGTGCAGAGCAGGACAGACTCAGACTGGTTTTAGGGAGCATTCATTCTCTCTGTTTTCCATAGTAGTGCAGGAGTTCCATCTTTTTCTCCATCACATTCATTTTCCTCCTCCCTTTCCTTCTATCACATGTAACATTATTTCCATTTCATATGTGAAACTGAATCTTAGCCTGGTCGAATGATATACCTGAGCTCACCTAGCTAGTGTTAGGCAGAGACTCCTAACTCCAAATATTTGAAACACAAAGGTATTTCTAGGGTTCCTGCTAGGTTAAAACAGGATTGGCCTAAAAAGGCAAAAAAAAAAATCCCCTATTCTTTTTTTTTTGTCTTTTTGAGACAGGGTCTCTATGCAGTTCAGGCTGGCCTTGAGCTCACTTTGTAGCTTAGGCTGGTCTCGAACTCGCAAGGATCCTCTTGCCTCAGCCTCCCATGTGCTAGGATTACAGGTGTGAGCCACCATGCCCAGCTCAAAATCCCCTATTCTTAAGTCTTCCCATTTATCCAGACATACTTAATCTTCTGTTCAAAATTGACTAACTTGTGTTAGTATTACAGGAGATTGAGCTAGACATGGTGGCATGCGCCTATAACCCCAGCATGTGGCAGGAGGATTGCTATTTCAAGGCCAGTGTATGCTACATAGCAAGATCCTGTATGAAGAAAGAAAAGATTGCTTATATGGTGTGATTTGGAGAACATCAGTGATGTTTTGGTTCTAAAGTATTTTTTTGTAGTATTTTAATTCCACCCTTAAAAATTCATTCTTTCTGCCAAGTTTGGTAGTGCACACCTGTAATTGTAGTGCTACTTGGAAGGCTGAGACAGAAGGATTGTAAAAAGGCACTTTAGTAACTTAGCAAGGACTCTGTCTCAAAATAAATAAAAAATAAAAAGGGCTGGAGATTTAGCTCAGCGGCATAAGTACTTGCCTGGCAAAAGTGAGGTTTGATCCCCAGTACCAAAAACAAAAAAATAATAGTGCAGAGGCCTTAGGTTCAATCCCCAGTATTGCAATCAGTCAGTCTAGGCAAATAATCACAGGAAGGATACCTCCGAATTCGCTAATGTATAGTGCCTTGCTTGTTAAAAATTCTCAGGAGGGGCTGGGGATTTAGCTCAGCGGCATAAGCGCCTGCCTTGCAAGCAGGCAGTCGTGAGTTCGATCCCTGGTACCGATAAAAACGAAAAAAGACCAAAAAAAAAAAAGAAGTTAAAAAAAAAAAAATTCTCAGGAAATATTTGTTGAATGATTGAGTTTATTCAGTTACTGATGGAAGGGCTTAGGAATAAATAAGTTCCTGGGTATTTCTTTCTTTCTTTTTTCTTTTTTTTTTTGGTACTGGGTATTGGACTCACAACCCCACACTTGCCAGGCAGGCGCTTATGCTGTTGAGGTAAATCTCGAGCCTTCCTGGATATTGCAAAGAGGATGTGCACTGCAAAGAAGGCTGAGAAGGATCTGGAAACCAAGAGGGAGAGAACTGTAGAGCCTGCTGTCTCTTAGGGTTCAGCAGGGCATAGTGGGAACACATAGCCCAAAAGACACCAGCACACTGGGGGACTTCGTTCAAGGTAGGCACTTTTTGGTAGTTCTAGACCATCTCAAACCCTCCATAGTTTTTCCTACTCTCCTCTGATAATGTTCCCCTCTGAATATTATTGCCGGAAGTTTCTGCCACTGTGTGTGTCCACCTTGACACCTTCTCTGGCGCTGGGTGAGCGCTCAGGAAGCACAGAATTATTCAGTTGGTTTTCATGTGCAGGAATATGGTGTGGCTGGAGAGGAAAGAACCAACATGGGCTCTGGGCAGAGAGAGGCAGGCAGCACAGGCAGAGGGGGTTTTGCTTTTCCTTCCTTGCTGCTCCCCTTCCATGCTCCCAGGCCCTCTGGCTGCCTAGAGAACTCAGACTTCCTCATTACTTCTTTCCTGGTGCTTTTTTTTTTTGGGGGGGGGAGCACGGTTAGATGTGAGGAAGAAAGGGAAGAGAAAAGGGAAAGTGAGAAGGGAGAGGTAGGAAATGGGTTAAGGCAATTCATTCTGAGCAGAAAAGGGTAATTCCTATCTACTCATTTCAAGGATAGTTGGATATTAACAGAGGAGCTTGTGATTTTAAATGAATCACTGGTTAGTGGCATTTCTGTTTTTAGACTGTGGGGAGGTAACTAGAGGACAAAAAGATTTTTGGTTTTTGTTTTAGTTTGTTTTGCAGTGCTGTGGATTGAACCCAGGGCCTCCTGCATGCTAAACAAGTGCTCTGCCACTGAGCCACCTCCAGAAAGGTTGTCTTAGTTCTGCCAGTAGCTCTGCCAGTCTACAGCCATGGGGTTAACTCCTTGGTTCTTTCTTCCCCAAAGTAGTAATGCTGTTACCAGGTTTTGGGGTGCCAGAGTCTCCTAGTGGTGGTTTCTAGGTTCTTTTTCTGCCGAACAAAGAATTGGTCCAGACAAACACAAAATATAGCAAGGCTTTACATTTATTAAAGGGTGGAAAAGAAACAGGCTCTGGAGAGTAAATTTGGGTGAAGGAAAGAAGTTCACCCTGTAGCATGGAAGTGGACTCCTGAAAGAACACAGTAGCAAGAGCTTGGCGCTGACTTTCCTTCTGTGTCTCCCACGTCTCAGGCTGGCCTCAGGTGTAGCCCCTGTTGAAAACTTGCTCATATTCTTGTGAGAACTGAAGATGGCGCTCTGCTGCTTGGCTGTGTCCTGGAACTTTTCGATTAATAATTTCTGCCTACTTCCCCAGCCAGCCTGCTATGGCCTAATCTCCTGTCTCAATGCCACCTTCTGCCTGCCCCCTTTTTGTATATTTTCTTTTTTCTCTTGCTTTTAACCAGAATTATATCACTTTGGTGTTAATACACATCACTTATTGCAAGCTGAAGACATTGTACCTTTTTCATGTGTAAGGGTCCGTAAGTAGGCCCTGCCTCCTCATGGAGTTGTGAGGCTTCGATGAATTATAGTGAATAAACTCTCAGCATAGTACTTGGTAGGTACATGATAAGTCCTCACTTGATCTTCATTACTATTATTTTTCTACTTTCATTACTATTTTTAACAGGTTTTACTAGTATAATGATAGTATGTGCTCATGCTAAAAAAAATTTAAACAATTACAGTTGAAACAAAATTGGAATAATTTCCTTATATATAATCACTGACATTTTTTGGTTTATTTCTTATGATCCCTCTAAAATTGTGTTAAGGTCATGATGACATTTTTTTCATATACTCATTCTTTTTAAAAATTTTTTTATTATTTTGAAAGTAGTAAAATACAACAGAACAAGACAAAACAAAGCCAATTGAGACACTGTAGTGAAACTCGTACAGAACTTCACAGCAGGTTACCGGGATAACAGTAATAGGTACCATATTATATCTCGTTGTTTTCATAATAGTTGTTCTTTCAATCAGGTATAGCAAAATCAAATGAAATGCAGAACATTATAGAACTTATCAAAACAGAATATTGAATATATCAATACCATTAATCAGAAAAAAGCAAAACAGTCATAAAACTATTTGCCTTCAAAGAGATGATAGAAAGAAATACCCCTTACTTGCTATATTGCATATGGTCAGCCTCCCAAGAGATGCTCAGACCTCTGGCTCCCATTTGCTAAGGGGAGGAATGGGATGTTTGATTCTCAGCCCCCACACCAGTAGGCTCACTGCTGCTTACCAGGGAGGCGAGCTGGTTGCTTGGTTTCCCAGCTCCCTAAGTTCCAACATGGTGTGGATCTAGGGAGATGCTCGGTGCTTCTCTCATATACTCATTCTTTAGAGATGTGTTTTGTCTCAGTAAGATTGTATACATCTAAGCTTTACTTACAATTTTATTTATGTTTAACTTTTTTCTTTTTTAAAAGAAAAAAGGCTTTACACATGCAGGGCCTTACACATGCTTGGCAAGTGCTCTACCACTTAGCCATGCCTTTGGCCCCTGTTCTGATTCCAGATTCTTTGTATAGAATCTGTTTTTTTTACTGCCTCTTTTACTGCTGCTATTTTTACTGTGTGCCTGTGTGCCTGTGTGTGTGTGTGTGTGTGTGTGTGTGTGTGTGTGTGTGTGTGTGTGGCGGGGAGGGGAGCAGTGTATGTATTTTCTCAAATAACAAAACTTCTAATGTCTCTTTTGTTTCTGCTATTCTAATTTTAGCATATGTGCTGAAGTGATTTTGCTATTCTAAAATAGCTGAAAAAAAAATGTGTGATCATTGAGCTACATCCCCAGCCCTTAATTTATATAAAAGAATTTTTTTGTGGTACTGGAGATTGAACTTGGGGCCTTATGCATGCTAGGCAAGCACTTGCCCACTGAGCTACATCTCCAGGCCCCTCTTACATGTATTTTTATGATAGAATTTATTTAAAATCTGAGGACTCTGTACAAATGCTTCTCATTTTGCGAATGAATTCCAATCCTGCAACTAGGTTGTCAAATGAATTGGCTGCTAATTGAGGAATTGTACATAGAACATATGTACTGTATCTAGAACAGAGAAGTGGTCAAAGAAAGCTCCAATTTGGTGACTTTGCTTTTATTTGCGTAACTCTTACATGCAGTACTATAATGTATACCAGAACATAAAACAGCAGTATACTACTGTGCAGTTCAGTCATCAAAAATTACAGTACTGTACCCCCAAAAAGACATTGAGGCTTTATCAACAAGATGTTCAGAAGTGTACAAAAAAAAAATCGTAAGTGTGAACAGTATACCTCAGTAGTAAGTCTGAAAATCATTTAAAAAGTAGATTGTTAAGGAATATCTGCAGGACTTCTGATTTTTTTTTTTTTTTTGGTAAGGGTAGTGAGGCAGGAGATCAGGGTGGGGACAGGTAGCTGAGCAAATGGATGTGATCTGGCAATGGTTGAGATCCAGGACGCTGAAGGCCATGCCCTGTACCACGCCCCAACACTAATCAGAGAGTGCTGTCTTCAGTTCTTTGGTACAAAATCAAGCAGGTTATTTTGAAGATAGCAAGAGGCATTATGGTAGCCATTTTTGATTTCCTAGTGTCTTGTTTTGAAGTCGTGTCTTGTTTTGAAGTCGTGCATCACTTTTTTGTTTTGATTGGCTTTGTTCTGTTTTATTTTGTTTGGCTTTGTTCTTTTTAAAAGGGACTCCCCCCAAAAAATCAAGCAGGTTTTTGATAGGACACCGTGGATCTGACATCAGAATGGAAGATACAAAAGACAGTCACCATTAACTTTGTGATCACTTCCAGCTGTTTCAGTGGCCTCTCCCACCCTGTGGAGTGTACTTCTTTTCCTATTTTAATTGGCGCACAGTCACTCTGCAGAGCGTAGTTCTTTTCCCATTATTAATACCTTCCACATATTCACGAAGGGACCATAATTTGTATGTTTCACTCCTAGGTGGCTCTGAGCTACTTGTGGTATGTGCATGACTGATTCATTGGGTGGCACGGGACAGTCCTGTTTGTTGGGTGGTACAAGCTACCTAATGGGACAGTCATGCATGTACATGAGTGTGCTAATAAATACAGAACCTTGCTACCTTTTGGCTTGATCAGTTCTTTGTTCAGGACAGCAAAACCTGGCTATAGAAGGAGACCCCCTCCGCCCCCCCAACCAGCACCCCATTGTCAGCCATGGTCTGTTGAAATGCATGAATGCTGCTGGGGAGAATCACCAAGGGAGGCAGCAGATTCTATTCTTTTTAATGAATGTTCTTTAAAATCATATTTTTGAGGGAAGGGCATGGCATAGGATCTGACTCTTGCCCATGCTAGTCTTGAACTCATGGGCTTAGATGATTCTCCTGCCTCAGCCTCCTGAGTAGCTGGGACAATATGTATGGGCTGCCATAGCCATCTAAGCAGCAGATTCTTGATCAAGTAGTAGGATATCATCAATCACTTAATATGTAATGATTAACACAGAAAGTAGCTCCAACAGGGTTTGGGCTACCACTCTAGCAAAATTAGGAAATATTTTTTTCTTTTTATTTTTCTAAATCCTTCAGACACCACTGAGCTAAATCCTTGGCTCCAAATCCATTTTATTTCAAGGAGAAAAAGAAAAAAACTAAGACAAAATTTCAAAACATGTCATTCAGGGGCAACAGTGGTGCATGCATTGCACATTGTCATCCCCAAATCATTCACCCAAAATTAGGAAACATTAAAGAAATTTTTTTTCAAATGTTCTTTGACTGTGACTCAAATAGAAAATATTTTTATATAGCTAGCCAGCATATATACATGTACATGTATATATCTGAAATATTGTACTGCTCTGCATTCTGTTTTCTGTTGAATTCTATATAAACTGTTGTTTGCAGTACACTAAGTTAATTTCATGACCATTTATTGTGACTAACAGTTGGAAAACACTGATTAGAATATCTCACCATTAAACAGTTCCTGCATGAATATAATGATGTGTTTTAGTACCTTTTGATCACTTTATAGTGCTATGAATATGATGACTTTATAATCATAGAGTTAGCATGGAACAATAGATACACATATGTTTACACCCAGACTGTAAATATTTAGCCAAAAGCAGAAGGAGTATGGTTTTAGCAAAAGCCAGTGTAAAAACAGTTGACTATAAGATGTTAGAGGCAAGGGGGTTGGGGATTTAGCTCAGCAGCATAAGCGCCTGCCTTGCAAGCAGGCAGTCGTGAGTTCGATGGTACTGATAAAAAGGAAAAAGACAAAAAAAAAAAAAAAAAAAAGATGTTAGAGGCATTCTGTAAATGCGCTGATTTTCAGTCCTGGTGCATATTAGCAGTACTTGGGAAACTTAAACGATGCACAGACCATATTCCATTGAACCTGAAGCTTTGAGGGTAAGCCAAAAGGTCCTTAAGTGTTTTCAGAGTTCTTAAGTATTTATAACACATAGACATAGTTGCATATGCGGTACTTAGTGGAGTGGAATCCAGGTGACAAAAGTTCCTTTCAGTGGAAGGAAGTGCAAAAGAGATCTAATTACTGTTTCTAGGTGGCCTGTTTCCCAAATAGGTTTGAGGTTGCCAGATGTAGCAGCACAAGTCTGTAATTCCAGCACTTGGGAGGCTGAGGCAGGAGGATTGTCATGAGTTCAAATCTAGCCTGGAATACATTGTGAGATCCTGTCTCAAAACCAAAAAGGGCTGGGGATATAGCTCAGTGGTATAGCACCTGTCTGGCAAGTGTGAGGTTGTGAGTTTGAACCCTGGTTAAAAAAACAAAAAGAAAAGTCTTGAGGTTAAAAAAGTATGCTTCAGAGTATCATGCCATGTAGTGTCATGGACATTGTACATACATTGATTTCATGATGGTTCTATGAGATAGAAATATTACTCTCCTTATTTAATAGAGGAAGTAACTTCTTACAGTCATCTAGCTACTAGTTTGTAGCTACTAGGCATTCTTGTCCTACAAGCTTCCTTAAAAACAAAAACATATGCAGTAGGACTGTGAAAGCAGGAATAAGTATTGAGAGATGGGATAGAATCACTAAGGTACTGTTGGATTTCTGATCTAAGTTTAGTTTTCCCTTGTACTGCGAGTTTAGTTTTCCCTTGTACTTCGAGGCTTAGCTTTGGGCTTCCTAGCAACCAAGGGAGAGTTTTTGGCTATTGATTGGCCTGACCCACATGGTTAAAATTAGGAAAGCATACACTACTTCCTATTCTGAAGTAGTTTATGGGGATCAAACCCATGCTAGGTAAACTCTTATTTTTTAAACTCTCCATCTTGAGTAACCCTGAGTGACCCAGAACTGTTAGGTCATTTTTTGACTTCTTGTAGTTACTGTCTACAGAGCCTACTTCCTCCTCTGTAAATACTAAAGTGCTTCTAGGGGTGGAGTTTCTTTTAGTGTTTCCAAAATATGGACACCATTTGCATCAAAATCTTCTGAGGGTGTATGTATGGGAGGCAGTGTGTGGAAGGTTATGTAGAATGCAGATTTGGGGCCTGCATCCCATGTCTACTAAATTACAGTCTCTGGAGATGAGTCTCAGGAATCTGTGTGGTTTTCAGGCTCATGGTAATCTGATGTACAGTAAAATTTAAGAATTACTGGACAAAGTGATAGTTAAAATTATTTTCAGCTGTAAATTCTATGTATTGAACTCAGCTTATGTGTTAGTAGCTGTAACTATTGAGCTCCTTGAATGTGGACATCAAATGTTACTTGATTCATTTTCTTTTTTTTATCTTTTTATCAGTACTGGGGAGCAAACTCACAACCGCCTGCTTGCAAGGCAGGTGCTTATGCCACTGAGCCAAATCCGTAGGCCCCTTGATTCATTTTCTTTTGTTCATTCTTATTCCCATGAGAAACTTTTCTTAAGCAAGCTAGGCACTATCTATGGTGCTGGGGATATAGACAAGAATAAGACATAATCCGCTTTAGAAGTTTATAGGAAAATAGGCTGGTAAGTAAATGACTTTATTGTAGAATAAATACAGCTATAGGGGTATCCATTACCATTTGCTTAGGTTAGGCAGAGAAAGTTGCATAGAAAAGGTGTTGTGTCCCAAACTCCTGGTGCAGCAGACCCTGTAAAAATGTACTGAACTGACTTAGCCAAGCTGGCCAGTGTCTTAATTTCCGCTCATCCACGCTGGTGCTCCTAATAGCCCAGGCTTTACATTAATCCTTTAATGTGTAAATTTGATGTGTAAAAATGCCGCTGAGCTACGTCATGACCATAATGTGTGCTTCCTTGTTTGAAGATGTGCTTATTTGTCTTATTTAGGTAACACGTATAACATACCAGTTCGCTTCTGGATTTTGGATTCTCATCCTTTTGCTCCCCCCATTTGCTTCTTGAAGCCAACTGCAAATATGGGAATCACAGTTGGAAAACACGTGGATGCTCAAGGCAGAATATACTTGCCCTATCTCCAAAACTGGAGCCATGTAAGGTCAATTTGGATTGTTACCAAGAAGTTTTTATTTTTATGAACAAATAATACTGCATTTTCTTTCAATTATGTTCTTCATATGATCTTTCAAAGTGATTTGAAATTAAACTGTGTAGGGTCACCAGGTCCCAGAACCTGCAGATAACAGCTTGTGCAAAGCTGTGGTCTCCAGGTTTGGAGCCAGCTATTGTTTTGCTCCTTGTCTTTTTATAGCCATTTGTCACTTGAGGAAGCATGTGAAAAGCTACAAGACACTGAGGGATTTTTTTTATAGTTCTTCCCTATTAAATATTCTTATGTGAGCCAAGTGTGATGGTGCACGCCTGTAATCCCAGCAGCTGAGTGGCTGATGTAGAAGAGTTGCTGTGAATTTGAGGCCAAACCTGGTCTATATAGTGAATTTAAAAAAATTCTTATGTAATTTATAATTTATATGTTAGTTGAATTAGACAATGCATAGTAGTCTATGATGTGATTTGTTTTGAATAAATGTTAAAGTTTGCAGTGCTAGGGATCAAACTCCAGTTCTTGTTCATGTTAGGCAAGTGTTTAGTCTCAGTAGGAAGTTCGTTCATTTATTTGTTTGTTTGTTTTATTTCTTTAGACAGGGTGTCATTATATAATAAGTTTAGGCTGGCCTTAGAGTCACTACTTACGTATCTTGAATTTGCTGTGCTCCTTCTGCCTCAGCCTTCTGGGATTATAGGTGAGGGATTATAGGTGATGTGTGTCATTGCCCCCCGCCTCAGCATTAAATTTTAAAAATTCATCTTCACTGATATATAACTGCAGTTATTTGTCTTATAGGTCCTTACATTGTGTAATTTTATGTAGAGTTTTCATCATTATATTGAGTATTTCTCCCATATAAAGCTATTTTGAAATGTATGGTTCTTAATGATTCCCTGATGATCCAGGAAAGGGTTATTACATAACATATTTCTCCCATCCAAGTACTGACTGGGCCCGACACTGCTTAGCTTCAGAGATCAGATGAGACCAGGTGCATTCAGGAGGTGCAGCCACAGGCTATGTAATATATTTATTTTTTTGGTACCCGGGATCGAACTCACACACTTGAGCTTGCCAGGCCAGTGCTTAACGCCACTGAGCTAGATTCCTGCCCCATACATATATATTTTGAAAGTGCTCTGTAACATGGATTTTCCTTCAATATAAACATTTGTGTATATCTTATGTATATATATATATTTTTTTTGGTATGACGGCTTGAACTTACGACCTCACACTTGCCAGGCAGGCGCTTATGCTGCTGAGCTAAATTCCCGGCCTGTATCTTTGATAATTTCCTAATGATAAATTCTTGAATCAAAGGTGTTAAAATATTTTTAGGTTTTCATCTGTATTGCCAAACTGGCCTTTGAAAAGATGAACAAACTGTGCCCATTTTTGCCATTAGAAATAAAGCTTTAAAACAAAGCTTTGCTTTAAAACAAAGCTTTGCTTCTCTGTATATTGAAAGAGGTACAGAATGCCATGACTTTTCTAAGTAATTCAAAACTTACCAAAGGATGAGTTAATTGCATTCATATGTGCTCAGAAGGCTGAAGAGCCGGAGCACAGGGAATGCTGAGTTGAGGCTGGCGTAAAAGATGGCACTGGAACATCACCTCTTGGTACACGGATATATTGTCAAGAGATATGCAGTTATGGGCAATTTACTTTGTTTTTATGTTGTTTTGTGTTTTTCTAATATAAATGAAGGAAAAAGAAATACAAAAAGAAAGGATATGCACCATGTTGTCATTGTGAAGCTGACTTCTTATTTTATGACTTGTCCATTATTTCCATTACTCAATGATTGATCAAGGCAGGATTTCACTGTGCAGTTCAGGCCAGCCTCAAACTCACTTTGTAGCTCAGCTTGGTTTCAAACTCATCAGTCCTCTTGCCTCAGCCTCCCAAGTACTAGGATTATAGGCATGCACTACCACATCCAGCTTGATGATTTAAATAAGATTGTCACAAGTATAAGTGTAGCAGAATAAAAATTTCTCAGTTGAAAGAATGAAAATGGTGTCTCAGTCTGTTTGTTGTTGATTGAGACAGGGTCTCACTATGTACTTGAGGTTGGCCTTAAACTCACTACGAAGCACAGGCTGGCCTCAAAGTCACAGCCTTCCGAGTGGTGGGATTTATAGCTATGTGTTACCATATCCAAATAAATCTTAATTTTCAGTTATTTGATTATTTGAGAAGTTGAAATCTTTTTCATGTATGTTTCTTCTTTTATGAATTATCCATCCTCTTATCCATTATCAATCTCCTCCTCCTCCTCCTCTCTTTTTCTCCTTCTCCTCCTTTTTTTGGCAGTGCTGGGGATTAAACCAGGGTCTCATGTTAGGCAAGTGCTATACTTCTCAGCTACATCCTCAAACTACATTCTGATGTCTGTGTCCTTTGCAGAAATTCATGTAACCGATTTCTTTTCTCTGGTTTTCTTTGGCATGTCTTTTCTTTTTTTCTGATACCAGGGATCGAACTCACGACCTTGAGCAGGTGGGCAGGTGGGCGCTTATGCCACTGAGCCAAATTCCCAGCCCTCTTTGGCATGTCTTTTCATCATTTTGTTTGTTTAATAAATACTCAGTGATAGTCCTATAATTTAGTTGAGGTATGTTTGTTTTAAATGTAGACAGTACTGATTTCATTTTACTATTCTGAGGCTGTTTATTATAAGCTAAAACTAGTCTTTAAAAGACATTATGTGATTTAGGCTTCCTATTGCAGTACCTTTCAGGTTTCTGACGCAGCTGTAATTATAGAATGTAATTATAGAGTGTAATTGCATAGAATTTTGCAGATAGAAAGAATCCAGAGGTCATGTAGGCCAGGAATGGTGTTTCCTGAGGGATTCAGTGAGCTGTATTAGGTCTGTAGGATTTAGTGTGAAGAGCAGGGTGGTGGTGTTTTACTTTGTTTCATTTGGAATATAAATGAATGCCTGTAAGCATGCTCATTCCAGTTTGCCCCAGTTACCAGCTCTCCCGATTTTCTTATTGGTAGCTTCACCCATTTCATATTATCTGCTTGGTCCTGGAAGGTATTTTAGTTTTTGACCAGTGGCATCTTCTTAATTTTTACATAATGAAACCCAAACTTGAAATTAACCATTTTTTTTTTCTTTCTGAGACAGGGTCTTTTTTTTTTAAGATTTTTTTTTTTTTTGGTACCGGGATTGAACTCACGACTATGCACTTGCAAGGCAGGCACTTATGCCGCTGAGCTAAATCCCCGGCCCTTTGAGACAGGGTCTTGCTGCGCAGTTCGGGTTGGCCTTGAGCTCACTTTGTAGCCCAGAGTGGTTTTGAATTCACAGTGAATCCTTCTGTTGCAACCTCCTGAGTGCCAGAATTACAGGCATGTGTCACCATACCCAGCTTAACCACTTTATTTATTTTTGTTACTGGGAATTGAATTAACAACCTTGCCCTTGCAAGGTAATTATGTCACTGAGCTAAATCCTTGGCCCCTTAACCATTTTTTAAATGAGTGTACTACTAAATATTCCTAATAGTAATAATAATAATAATAATAATTATAATCATCTATTTACTCTCATATCTTGTAGTTTCCCTGCATTAGCTCATTTGTATTTCCTAATAGCCATTGGGATTCAATATTCACATTGTATTATTGATTATTTATTAATGACAGTTGAGAAAGATTAAGTGAATTTCATCAGGGTTGCTTAACCAGTTAAAAGAAAACACTACCAAGTTGATTGTTATTATTATTTTTTTTCAGGAAATATATACTATAGGTTTGAGAAATAAAGGAAATCAAGTCCACAGTTTATTTCTTCTTGACTAAAAAAAAGAAACTAACAAAGCATATGTGATAAAATGTTAACATTTGAGCAACCTAGGTGAAGAATACATGTACTGTTTTTGCAATTAGTTCATAAATCTGAAATTATTTCAAAATAAAAAGTTTAAAAATATATAGTTCCTGGTCCGAAGGTATAGCCAGTGGCATAAAGGCCTGCCTGGTAAGTGCAAGGTCCTAAGCTTGATTCCTGGTACAAAAAAAAGAAAAAAAATCTGCTGCTGAGTGTATGCATGCTATTTTCCTTTTTTTTTTTTTCTTTTTGAGGCAATGTCTCACTATGCAGTTCAGGATGGCTTTGAGCTCACTTTGTAGCCCAGACTGGTCTTGAATTTGCAAAGATGTCTCCAGCCTCAGCCTCCCAAGTGCTGGGATTACAGGTGTGTGCCACCGCACCCAGCTGTTTTCCACATTTTAAAGGATGTTAACTTATCATTTTTGCCTTTTATTTTATAGGCTTGTGTTGTGAAGTATTTTCCATAAGATCTCTAGGAGAGAATAGTGTACACTAATTGAATTTTATTATATTTTTCAGATAAAGTATTAAAACAACTAATGGTGTTATTTGTGTAGTAATTTTGGAAGTATGAGATTATGGGGGCTGGGGATTTAGCTCAGCGGCATAAGCACCTGCCTTGCAAGCAGGCAGTTGTGAGTTCGATCCCTGGTACCGATAAAAACGAAAATGAAAAAGACAAAAAAAAAAAAAAAGAGAATATGATACAAGACCTTTGTATTAATTATTTCCTCATGATTGGGGCAAAATACCTGATAGCCACAATTTATTTTTTTATTTTTTATGTTTTATTTTCTCGTACTGGGGGGGGTTGAACTCGACCTAGTGCTTGCCAGGCAGGCACTTATGTCACTGAGCTAAATCCCCGGCCCAGATCCTCACAATTTAAAAGAAGAAAGGTCTATTTTGGCTGATGGTTTCTGAGAATTCAATCTATGGTTGGTTGCTAGAGGGCAAAAACAACATGGTGAAAGGGCTTGGTTGAGGACAGCTGCTCATCCCGTGGTAGTCATGACCATGACGCAGAAAGAGAAGGGAGTTAGTTATCTGAGGACAGGAATACACCCTTCAGGCCATACCCCAGGGACCACTCCTCAACTCAGGTTCACCCCACAGCAGCACGTTCAGCTATAAAAATCCTCTGATGAGTACGGTGCACTTAAGACACCCTTACCTTCTAAATGCTTCTCCTCTGAACACACAAGACTTCAGGGGGACATTTTAGATCTAAAGCATAACAACCCTGGAACAACAGGTTTGAATTGCAAATGTGTACTCATAGGTGGAAGTTTTATTTAGTTGTTTATTTATATTTTGATGGCAGAAATTAAACTCAGGGTCTCACACTTGCCAGGCAGGCACTGTGCTGCTGAGCTATATCTCTGGCTCTATAGGTTGATTTTTAAAAAATGTTTGTGACAATTTAGAAAAACTTTCAGATGAACCATATAAAACTAGAAATGTTGAAAAAATAAGAAAATGATGTGTCAAATGCACAAAATATATATGGATAATTTATTTTGTCATTTATTATCATAAAATATATGTATATCTATTATAAAAATTAAAATGTATCCAAATTTACCCAAACTTACAGACCTTAATACATGGTACATTTGCATGTAGTGAGAAACAATGTAAACAAATACAAAGATGTGATATTAAGTCACAACTGTATAAAGTTCACTCTAGTACACAGTGTATGTATTACTGTAATATCTTAGCTACCTCCTATTGCTATTGAAATGAGTGCATGTTTTGATGATCTGATTATCCATTAAAACACCCAGTAACACTAATCTCAGTTTGTCTGTCCAATAAGTTGCACATTGCAATGAAAAGGGCTGTCATGTATTTCTCACTATATATGGTACATATAACATAGAAAATCCATATTGACTGTTACTGGTAAGGATACTGGTGAAGAGAAGGCTGTTAGCAGGTACAAAAGTTATATTCCACTGTGCATGGTTTACCCCCTCACATTGTTCAAGGGTCAACTGTACTTTCTTTTAGCTAACCATATTAGCAATGTGCATATTTTTCATTGTTTTTTAATTAAATTTTTTTTTCCGATACCAGGGATTGAACTCACAACCTTGAACTTGCCAGACAGACGCTTATGCCGCTGAGCTAAACCCCCAGCACTTTAATTAAATTTTTACTGCAGAATAGTTGCAAGTTTTATTTAGTGATACAATTTAGAGGCACACAATGTTCACATTCATCATAGGGAGTTTGTCCTTGTACATCTTGATTCCTCTTGTCCCCCTCACCCTTTTCCCTTCCCTTGAGTCCCTTTTCCCCTCCTTGTTTACAAAGCTTTTTAGCCATTTTATCTTCTTTTTTCACAGTATATAGATGTAAAAGGTAGTGTGCGTTAGCAAAATTTTTGTCTAACTTTTCCCTTTGTATCATGCAGCCTAAATCTGTCATTGTTGGATTAATTAAAGAAATGATTGCCAAATTTCAAGAAGAACTTCCCCTCTATTCTTTCCCATCGTCTGATGAGGCTCGGCAGGTAGACTTGCTGGCCTATATCGCAAAAATCACTGAAGGTTTGTATTTTTGTTGATCAGATTGCCTTAACAGTTATGAATTTACAATTTCTCACTAATATTCTTTACTCCTTGCTCCTTCATTTCTGTAAATACGTGTACATATGTGTATATATGTGTGTGTGTGTATTTGCATTTAATCAAAAATTCCTATACATCTACCATAAGGTGTTACCACACAGTTCCAATGAATACAATTTCCTAAAATGTGACAACTTACTTTATACTGATATAAAGTATAAAGTATAAAATCAAATAAAATGATTCTTGTTTTTGTTACTATTTTGAGGCAGAGTCTCGATAGGTAGTTCAGGCTGGCCTAGAACTCACAACAGTCCTCCTACCTCCAAGTGCTAGGATTACAGGCCTGGCCACAATACCTGACCATAATTCTTGTTTTATTCAAAACTACCTCATACATATTAATGATCACGAATCTTTTTCATTATATGCTGTTTGGCTTATTCAGTACACTGGACCACATATAATTCTTACTGTGTCTCACTGAGAATAAAGACCAACACTCATGCTTAGAAAATTTCAGCAGGGTGTAGACCAAAGCAGTAAGAACCAGAATGTCTTTCACAACTTTGGAAACCTGATTTTTTTAAGAGTCTTCTATGATATTTTTTAGAAGTTTGAAAAGACTATTTTCTTTTTAAAGGGATTCTGTATATTTAGGGGAATATTTAATATAAGACTCCTGTCTGAGTACTGAGTTTTGTTGCATTTTTTTTCAACAAGCATTTTTTTTTTTTACACTTTTTTTTTCTTTTTTCTTTTTATCAGTACCGGAGGTCCAACTCAAGGCAGGTGCTTATGCCGCTGAGCTAAATCCCCAGCCCCCAACAAGTATTTTTTTAAGTGCGTATTATGGACTACCACCATGTTTCTGTCTGAGTTATTAAAACTTGGTATGTTTTTAAAAGATGCTGAACAGATTTTTGGCATTATTCTCAGAATAACCTACTTTTCTTTAAAGGTGTCTCAGATATAAGTTCAAAGAGTTGGATGAGTCATGAGAACAAATCAGCCAATAAAGTTACTGTGGTTGGCGGTGGAGAGCTGAGCGTTGCCTGCACGTTAGCAGTTTCAGCAAAGGTACGTGAGCACAGGGGTGTAAACACTTCTGTCACAGCGCCACACTTCTAGACAGTTTAAGTGTGAAATCCAAAAAATTAAAGCTTAATTTTGTATTGGGAAAATCTTATTTTGCCTTAAAATATGTTAGGTTAACAAACCTAAAAAGAAAGAGCTGTCATCATTGACGTTGCCTCTTAATTATTGTTAGACATCGATGAGGCTTTGAAAAATAATTTGGACACTGGGTTTATCCTAATTGAAGGGAAGATTCAACTTGACATTCATCTGACTTAGTCATAAATTCTTTTATGTTTTCTGAGTCATGAACTTGAAATAAACTTATTTAATGTAATATTTAATTTTCCTTCTTTCTAAAATTAGCATTTTTAAAAAAAGAATTGCCTTATCTGATTATTTTCTTTGGGTTATAGTTTCTAAACTAATATTTTACATTAAGTTTATGATCATTTTTTGTCAGTCTCCTAAATCTTTCCCAAAGACATTGATTATAGGAAGGTTTAAAACTGCTTCCAGGGAGGTAAAAGACCTGCCCACTTCATCCAGAGCCTCTGTCCTGGGAACAGCATGTCCTATGTCATTTGAGAGATGGAGCCCAGAGCAGAGTGTCATGCTCTACATTCACTTGGTGGCTTACATTAGTTTTTCTTTTTCTACTCAGATATGATTATTTTGCCAGCTAAATTTTTCCTTTTCCACTTAAGACTCATATTCTGGAAGTAGGTTGTCCTTCAGCAAATAATGAAATTATGTTAAAGAAGAGCTACAGAAATTTTAAAGCTGGCTAAGATGTTAATTTTTGGCATTTAGTAGTTTTATTTTCTTTACCCTCCCTCTGAGTACACTGCTGTTTTTTGAATTTTATTTTATTTTTTGAGGGGGTACTGGGGATTGAATTCACAACCTTGTGTTTGCCAGGCAGGCACTGGGTGATGCCACTGAGCTAAATCCCCAGCCCTATACTGCTGTGTTTTAATTGGAATTTGAGTTGTGTTCGGATCTTGATTATTAAATGCTTCTGTAAACATTACTGTGTATGTTACTTATTTTCCTATCTCTGTTAATTTCTTTGGGATATACACCATCTCAGAACAGCACCAGTGTGCCTGAGAACACAGCTTATTTCATGGCAAGACTGCTTTTTAGAAAGGCAGAACTCATATGCTTCTAATAATAATGTGGATGGCAGCCCCATTATTGATGTCCTCAATAGTACTGAGTTTTGTTAATTTTATTTGTAATTATGTCTGTCTGTGTGTGTGTGTGTGTGTGTATGTACATGAGAAGGCACATCAAAGACTTTGTGTGTGTGTGTGTGTGTGTCTTTGAGTCAGGGTCTTGGTATGCAGATCAGGTTGGTCTTGAGCTCACTTGGTAGTTCAGGCTGGTCTTGAACTTACAAGGATCCTCCTGCCTCAGCCCCCTGAGTGTTGAGATTATAGGCATGTGCCACACCTGGCACTCAAAGTCATTTCTGGTTTTTTCTGGGCGGGGGGATACTGGGGATGAAACTCAAAATCTCATGTTTGCCAAGCAGGCACTTATGACTTATGCCACTGAGCTAAATCTCTGGCCTCAAAGTCATTTCTTTTACAATTAGATAACCCTCACTGTCATTATTTGGTTGTAAATTGTTTTGGTGAAAATATTTTTTATTTTGTTTTTAAAATTTTTTTAGTACTACTAGGGACTTAACCTGGCCAGAGACGGAGGCGACCATTGAGCTACATCCCTATCCCTTTTAAAAATTATTTCAAATGGTTCCTTTTTTTTTTTTAAACATTAGTAGTTTGAACCTAATGCAGCAATAATAGTGGCAGTAGTAGCAGCAGTAGTAATGGAAGGGGCAACAGTAACTGACTCTTACTAAATGCCAGCTAGGTGCCAGGCACTTGTCCAAACATTTGACTCATTTTTTTGCAACATCCTCATTGCCTAGGCAGTGTTGTTGGCACCATTTTAAAATGAAGAAACCAGGGCAGGGGGTGGGTTACCCAGCTTGCCCAGAGTTACCCGTTGATAACTGGTGGGGCTGGGCTGGCAGACAGGCAGTCTGCTTGCTGGACCCTGTGTTCCTGATCCTTACACTCTGTGGCTTTCAGACTGGCAATACTGCATATGCTGAGATTGTGTTAGAAATGTATAATCTTATTCTAAATCTGCATTTTATTGAAACCCTGGTGATCCATATACCTCACTGATGCCCCTAAGCCTGAGCAGCTCCTCTCTAAGCCACCATAAGTCACTGCTTCATGATGGATATTTTGGTGGTTGCTAACTTTTTGAATATCCTTATACATACTGTGTTATTTTTCACATGTACTAACAAACTTGCGGGATAATTTCTATAAATGAAATGATGGATTTAAGGAGTTGTTAAATTTAGATTTTAAAATGTTTTAAATTGGAAATTGTCAAATTATCACCTATATCCATTGTACCAGTTTATTCTCACACCTAAAATGTGTGTGATACCTGTTTTCTCACAATTACTATTACTAAACATTTGAATCTTTGTGTGTCTTGAGAAATAAAATGGAAGCTCATAGTTTTCTTTGCATTTCCATTGTGAATGTGGTTAACAATAAAGTTAACAGCTCAGATTCAGAGAGGTCTGCTATATGTCAGTCCTGTGTTCATACAGTTAATCTCACAACGACATGAGTAAGGCCGCTAACCCAAGGCACAGGGGGCTTCTCTTCACGGTCCTTAGGCTTTCTGCCTGTAGTCATCTGGCAGATCCCTGAGTACTTTTAGCTCAGCATGCTTAGGTCTTGCACTGCTTTCGAGAAGACCTACAAACTCTGGGAGCTTTGTACTGTTACTTACAGTCAGTCCACCCTTCTACCCAGGGAGCTGTTAGTAGGATTGTGGAATGTGTTCCATGAACTCTCCAGAGATCGCACCGCATGGCAATGGAATATGACTCTAGATTTATTAACACCCCCCCCCCACTTTTGACTTTTATGCCAGGAATGAGATATTTAAATGGACTCCAAAACCACTCTAAACTGGATCAGAATGAAAGTATGGTTTCAAAAGTAAAACACAAGGTCAGGAACAATAGCAGACTTCTTAAGACACATTGAGTTCACAATTCCTTGCTCGTATGGCACTTTTATAGTTGTGGTGTTACTTTTCCTTCTTAAGGAGGTGCATGAGGACTTTGTTAGCTCTCATTTCTCCCCTACCCCTCAGTACTGGAATGAACCTGGGGAGTGCTTAGTTTTACTCCCACTCTTTTTTTCCCCCCTTCAGGACAAGTTCTGACTAAGTTTGCCTAGGCTGAACTCAAACCGGTAATCCTCCTATTTCTAATAGAATTACAGGTGTGTGATGCTGTGTTTGACTAGCCATCCCTCCTTAATGAATTTAAATTGAGTAGCTGTCTTGTGTAATGCTCTTCATTTTCTTACTGTATTGTGCAGGGCATTGCAGAGAAGCTGGTCCTTCTAGACTTCTCAGAAGGGACCAAAGGAGGGACAATGGACCTTGACATCTTCAGTCTGCCTAATGTGGAAATCAGCAAAGGTTTGCATATTCTACTTAAAAATGTTTGCTTTGCTTGCTCTCATATTTGAGCCTGAGATTTTTTGGGGAGGGGCATTGTGCTAGGGATTGATTTCTATAATTTTAATGCTGAAAAGTGTCTTAATAATCCCTGAGTTTTTTAGTCTCTGGGAAGAGTACTATAGTTGCTTTGATGATCCTTTTGTCTGTTTTATGAAGAGCATCCCTTTGGGAGCTGGGTATTCTCTTGTGACTGTCATTTCCAGGCACTGAAATTCTTTTTTTTTTTTTTTTTTTTTGGTCTTTTTGAGACAGGGTCTCACTATGTAGTTCAGGCTGGTCTTGAACTCACTTTGTTAGCCCAGGCTGGTCTTGAACTCACAACAAAGTCCTACCTCAGTCTTCCGAGTGCTGGGATTACAAGTGTGTGCCACCACACCTAGCTTCATTTGGATTTTTAAAATAGCTCCTATTGTGTTTTGGGGAGAGATTTACATCTGATCTTGCAAATACATGTACATATATACATACAGTTACACTTGTGTGGGATAAACTGAATGTGGAATGAATAATTATTCAGAATAGTTGCTTTAGGAGTGAGAATGAGGGATCTAGCTGTGTTTTTTTTTTTTTTTGCATGTAATTACATACTGTACTTATCTAAATCCCTTTCTTTGTTGTGTTATACACATAATATAAAATTACCATTAATAGAGCTGCATGTGGTGGTGCATGACTGTAATCCCAGCCCTTGGGAGGCCGAGGCAAGATGATGGCAGCAGGCCAATTTGGGCTACATTGTGAGTTCAAGGCCAGGCAGAACTACATAGTGAGAGCTTGTCTCAAAAGTAAAAAAGGATAAAATTACCTTTAATAAATTTTAGGGGCCAGGCATACAGCTTACTGGCAAGTGCGAGATTGTAAGTTTGATTCTTGGTACCAAAAAAAAAAAATCCTTTAGTACTAATTCATAATGTATATTGGGTACATTCAGGTGTTGTAGGATCATCACCATTATCTACTTTCTAGAACATTTTTCTCACCTCCAAAGAAACTGTAGACATGTTAAGCAAATGCTCCCTATTTTCCCTTCCCTCATTGTTAAGTTGCTTTCTATCCCTGTGGATTTGCCTCTTCTGGATATTTTATATACAGTTGTATCTCAGTAACCATTAGGGATTGGTTCCAGGATCCCCACAGATACCAAAATCTGCACATGTTCAAATCCTTTATATAAAATGTTGTAGTATTAATGCAAGGGATATAGCTCAGTGTCATAGCACTTGCCTGGCAAAATGCAAGGTCCTGAGTTCAATTCCTGGTACCAAAACCAAAATGAGACAAATAAAATGGAGTAGTATTTGCATCTAACATATCTACATCCTCTTCATGCTTTAATTCATCTCTAGATTACTTGGAGTACCTATTATAGTAAATCATTGTTATACTTTTTTGTTTAGAGAATACTGACAAGAGGGAAAAGTCTGTATGTGTTACAGTACAATTTTTTTTCTCTTGTCAGTGCTGGGGATTTTTTTTCCAAATATTTTTAATCTACAGTTGATTGAATCCATGAATCCTCCATCTATCAAAGATATAGGAGACCTACTGAAAATGCAGTAAAGCAATACGTGGGCTTTTGTGTGTAGTATCTTTCACTTAGCACAATGTTTCCAAGGTTCACTTATAATACAGCATGTGTCAGGACATCCTCTCATTGATGGCTGAGGACTGCTCCATGTTATGGATATAGATAAAGTGCATTTGATTTACCCCTGGATCAGTGGGTGCACATTTGAGTCAGACCTTTTCACTGTGGTAAATAGTACTGCTGTGAACATTCAGTTATTTTTAAAAATTTTTTGTCTTTTTTGAGATAGGGTCTCACTATGCAGTTCAGGCTGGTCTTAAACTCACTTTATACCCCAGGCTGGTTTCAGACTCACAAAGATCCTTCTGCCTCAGCCTCCTACGTGCTGGCTGTGTAGGTGTGCACTGCCACGCCCAGCTCCTGTACACTTCAAAACAAACAAACAAACCTGTTTTCATTCTTTTAGGCAAATATACTCAAAAGTAGAACTGCCAGATGTTCTGGCAATTCTAAGACTTTTTAAAATATTAGTTATACTTCATAAAGTATTATACTTTTTAAAGCCTTTTTAAAAAATGTTAAATTCGATTAGATTCTAACAGGTTAGATTCTAACTTACTACGTGGCTCAGGCTGACCTCAAATTCATGCTCCTCCCCTCACAATCTTCCTGTCTCAGCTGCCGAGTGTTAGGATAATAGTCCCTGGTAATAGTCTTTATGAATAGTATGTAGAAACCCAAATAGTTTCATGTGTTTCTTTGAATACCTTCATAATATTCCATCACATGGATGACTATCTAATATACCAGAGAAATAAAAATATTTGTACTATTTTTAGTATGCTTGGACTTATACTAACTAGAATACCTCAGCAATTCTTCATGGTATTTAGACATGATTATTGGATACACAGGTGTTTGGTTTTATATAAAACCTATCAGTAATGCTTTAAAATAAACTTTAAGATAAACTTTGTATTTCATAACATCATCCTCATACTCTGAGAACAGTAATAAAGCAGAGCATGAAATAGTCTTTATTGCTCTTCGCCATCTTCCCTCTGGGCTGCCGGCTGTCGCCATGAAGGTCGAGCTGTGCAGCTTTAGTGGGTACATGATCTACCCAGGACACGGGAAGCGCTACGCCAGGACTGACGGGAAGGTTTTCCAGTTTCTTAATGCAAAATGCGAATCTGCATTCCTTTCCAAACGAAATCCTCGGCAGATAAATTGGACTGTCCTCTACAGAAGAAAGTATAAGGGGCTGGGGATTTAGCTCAGCGGCATAAGCGCCTCAAGCAAGCAGTCGTGAGTTCGATCCCTGGTACCGATAAAAACGAAAACCACAAAAAAAAAAAAAAAAAAAAAAAAGAAAGAAAGAAAGCATAAAAAGGGACAGTCGGAAGAAATTCAAATAAAAGAACAAGACGAGCAGTCAAATTCCAGAGGGCCATCACTGGTACATCTCTTGCTGATATAATGACCAAGAAGAATCAGAAACCAGAAGTTAGAAAGGCCCAAAGAGAGCAAGCTTTCAGGGCTGCCAAGGAAGCAAAAAAGGCTAAGCAAGCATCTAAAAAGACTACAATGGCTGCTGCTAAGGCTCCCACAAAGGCAGCACCTAAGCAGAAGATTGTGAAGCCTGTGAAAGTTTCTGCTCCCCGAGTTGGTAGAAAACGCTAAATTGGCAGATCAGATTTTTAAATAAAAGATCTATAACTCTTAAAAAAAAAAAATAATCTTTATTGGGTTTATTGCTACACTTGATATTGGATTTGAGAATCCCTTCTGATGAGTGTGACTGTCACTAGTCTCAGGCCTAGAACTTGAGAACCAATGGCTCAGCAGAAATGATTCAGTTTGTTTTCTGGCTTGTGTCCTGGGCATATGTAATTATAGGAGAAAACTATGTAACAAGTCAGTGGTAAAGTTTGGAACTGAGCCAGGTAGACTCATTCTGAAACCTTCAGTTCTAATCCTTGATATAGATAGGTAGATGGAGAGAGAGGTAGATAGTGTTATGGTTTGTGTTTGGATGCCCCTACCCAAGCCTCATGCAATTATGAACACAGCTGACTCTAGCATTTGTGATTGGTTTGCTGTCTAGCACTGAGATTGGTGGTGTGAGTGCTGTAACTGCCCAGGGGCAGAACCGGCATATAGGGTAAGGGTGGGAAGGAGGTGTGCTTTTCCTCTTTTGCCCTGTTCACTCTTTCTGTTTGTGGCCACCATGAATGGTTGCCCATCAGCCAGGCCACCCTGGTTTGGAGCCAGCTGAGTATGGACTGTGAAACCTTCAAAACTGTAAAATAAATAAACCTTTCCTTGCTTTATTTTGGGCATCAGGTATTTTGTCTCAACAATGAGAAAAGTAACCAAGATAAGAGATAATATCTTGTTCATGTCTAGTAGGATCTGGTACAATTAGCTGTGACTTATTAAGGTTTTATTGAATTAATAATGTCAAATAAATTTTTTTTGTACTGGGGATCACACTCATGACCTTGTGCTCACAAGGCAGGCATTTGTGCTGCTGAGCTAATTCCCTGACCCTTGTCAAATAAAATCTTACTATTATCCTTAATCTTGTAGTTTATACCATAAGTTTACTTCACATGGTTATTGTTTTTTCTGATTCTCTTTACAACTGTATGATCCTACTGTCATTAAATCACCAAGATCTCAGGGAACAGTTAGATAAAAGCTTTTTATGCTTTCTAATCGCAGAGAACTTAGTTGCCTTTAGGACAGTTTACGAAAACCTGGCTGTGCATCAGACTCACTGAAAAGTTGCATTCTTGAAAGCTGTTTCCCCTTGCCTAATTAAATGAAATCTTTAGAATGTGAGATAATTGCATTTTTATTAAACTTCCTCAGTAATCTGTAAATACCCAGGCTACCACATAAGAACTGCACTGGGAGCTGGTAGATACAGAAGGCAGTACGTGGGCAGAAGCTGCTTACGTTTAGATGAAGAGAAGCACAGGCCAGGTGTAAATAGCAATTCATAGCAGAAAAGTAAAGAGGCAGAATGTGGTTAATGACCGACTGTCTTACTTTTCTCATTGCTGAAACACAGTACCCAACACACATGACTCTACAGAGAAAGGGTTATTTGGCTCACTGTTTGTAGAGGTTTCAGTCTGTAGCTGGCTGGCTCCAAGGCAGGGTGGCATGGCAGAGGAGAAACACCTCATGGCAGGCAGAAGGTGGCCAAGCCTCAAAGTAGCAAGCAGCAACAAGTGACAATCCTCTTTCTGTCCTTTATATCCCATCCCGGCTATCTATCTGAAGAGCAGATGGCGCTCATCCAGGATGAGGCAGCCTTTATCCTAACATCACACCATCAGTCAGTCCCAGCAGCGTGTCCTTGATCCCAGTGTCATACATACTAGATCCAGGCACCTCTGGAAAGCCCCACTGATGGCCACATCAGGCTTAAGGAGGACATCTGGATACAAGCCATAGCACCAAGAGAACTGCCCAGACAGTGAGGACCCTTGGAGTTGCGTGGAAACAGAAAGTTACCTTAGTCTGAGGAAGAGGGAGATACATGCCAGGTCTGTGATGAGCGGGGAAGTCAGGCCTAGCAGAGAGGTGGGGAAAGCCTGTCTATTGCTTAGTGCCTGGATCTGAGAGATGAAAAGATAAGACACAAGCAAGCCCTGCTCTCACAGAGTTCATGGTATGTTTTCTGTCATGGTTACACTGATATTTATCTAACATCTGGTAAGTACAGTGAGAAGCAGAATTTGAGCAAAAGCCAACATCGGAAAAATGAGAGAAATAATTTGAGAAATAAATATAGACGAGTTCAGCTTGAGCCAAAGATTTATGTAACAGATTATTTTTTTTAAAAAATACTGGCTTATAAACTCAAAAGAAGAGATTACAAGACTTAGAGCTTGATGGGAAAAATCTTACAGAGGAGGTAGTTCTCCTTATACTTTTGTATTCTTATTAAACCCCTACTGCTCTGCTTACTCATGAGTTAACAATGAGGATAAGAACAGCTTTGTCATTCATGGTAGGGAAAGCTAAAGCTAGAAAAGAAAAATAATTCTGGCAAGAAAGGTTGGGGCCAAACTCTAAAGTTGTACATTGGACTTTTCCATGAGTTTTAATGACATCGACAAGCCACCCAACCTCTCCAGGTACCAGTTCTCTCATCTTTATGAGGTGTGGGACTTAGGTTTAACAGTCTGGAGCCAGACTGCCTGGGCTTGGATTTTGTCTCGTTTTACCAGCAGTATGACTTTGAAGTTACTTCTGTATGTCAGATTCCCCATTGACAAAATGAGGATCTGTGCCCAGCCTGTGTTTGAGATAGATTAATAGTTAACTATTCAGAAAGCTCTCAGGACAGTTCCTGGTATCAGTTAATGGCATGAAAATATTAACTATACCCTTTCCAGTTCTTGAGGTTTTTGAGATGGCACCAGGGAACTACTCTGAATCCTGTTACACAGGGGTTACTAAAGAGGTCTCACAAAGAACTATGACTAAAATCAAAGACTTAGTTCACAACTATCAGGACCACAACCATGTCAGAATGTGAGCTAAAGTTGGATGGTACCTTTTCGTGAGGGCACATTGCTCAGATGTTTCCTTGAGACTAGCTTCGAAATATACCCGTAGAGCCTTAATTAAGAATAAAACTGTTAGAGAACATGCTAGTCTTCTGCCTCAGCCTCCCAGAGTGAGGCAGAAGACTTCACATATTCAAAACCAACTTCAGTGACTCAATGAGACTTCATCTCAAAATTTAAAAAGGGCTAGAGATGCAGCTCAGTTTGAAGGCTCTGGGTTTAATATCCCCAGGACTAAAAAAGACTAAGAGCACTGGAATCTGCTTACTGTCCCCTCGGACTGAGGAATGTTAACTATGATGCCTTCCTTGTTACTTTATTATTTTTCTGAAGCTGATAGCATCTGGGCACTGTTTGGGTGTGTGCTTACTATAGAAACACAGTGGAGCAGGGAATGATACAGCTGTACAGTAGCCTGCTTGTGCCTGAGTTTGGAAGGGAGAACAGCACAGCCCAGCGTTCCGTAATCTGGAACAGCTGATTACCTGTAGGAACCACTGAAAGAAATTGTAATCGACTGGGATAGCTGATAGCATATCACTTGTTTTCCCTTAAAAACTTAGGATCATATAGAAAACTCAGTCCTTGTATTTTGTGTCCTGTGATTTGTTTTGTTTGCATTTTTGTTATCAACTGCTTCTGGATATACAGTACTCTTGCTCTAACCCTGCGTATTTTATATACTCCTGTACAGAGAGGATTGATCTAGGGGCAGGTATGCCTAGAAGTTCTCCATTTGTTGAAAAGAAAAACCTTTTTATCATGAACTAGAACTGGATTCAAATCTGTATCTTGAGCTCTGACTGTTTCTTTTCATTCATTAGATTTGTCTGCCTCTGCTCATTCCAAGGTGGTGGTCTTCACAGTCAACTCTCTGGGTCACTCCGAGTCCTACCTCGACGTGGTGCAGGGCAATGTGGATATGTTCCGAGCCCTCGTTCCCGCTCTGGCACATTACAGTCCAGACGGCGTCCTGATTGTTGCATCTCAGCCAGGTAAAAGGCTCTATTTTAAATTAACGTGATGTTCCAGAATGGTAGGATGGTCATTACTGACAAAAGCTGTAAAACTTGAGTATAGACAATGGTATCTTCAGTAACACTGCTGTCATCCTGAGCAGTATGGTATTTCCATGTCCTGTCAGCCAGTTACTTCGTTCGACTGTTAATAAAAAAAGATTTAAGTTATAATTTCTTTGAAATGTGGTGTCATGTTCTAGTTGTTAGCCATACTTTCTGTAGTAAAAAAGTAGTTAAATCCCCAAAGAAAAATTCGGTCATTTATATGAAAGATTTTTGGACAACTAAGGAATATTATAACATGTTAGTGAATAGGCTAGGCTATATTTCTAGCATTTTATATTTTGTCAATTGTTTTGAAACTTCTATTTTAAAAAGAAATGTTTTTAAAGAATTAGATAGTATTTGACTCAGTTGACTCAAATAGGTGAACAGATTTTTAAAAACCGTTCCCAATATAATGTCAGGCTCTGCATTTCATTTGTTTGTCTGTAGTACCACGTTCGGTTGAGTACACTAATTGGTCCCTTTTAACCCTGACACCCATTGGCATGAAAGAAAAAAGTTAATTTTTGTTAAAAAAAACTATACTTCATAATGATGATGTATCAATCCATATTTTTGTTTACTTTTGCTATATTGGAGATGAAACTCAGGGGCTGTCTGCCACTGAGCTCCATCCCCAGCCTTTTTTATTTTTTATTTTGGGACACGGTCTTTCTGTTGCCCACCTTGGACTCAAACTTGGGATTCTTCTGCGTCACCTCTCAGGTAGCTGGGCTTGCAGATGTGCACCTCCCTGCCTGCCAGTATTTAGTTTAAAAACAGAAACTCAGCTTATAGTTACATAGTTTAGAAAATAGTAGAATTCATCCATAAAATGTGATTATTTTCTAGCTTTCTGTACCCAGTTCTTACCTTCCTGTTCTAGAAAAGTATCTGTTTTCATTCTTAACAATTTATTTATAAACAACAAAATCATGTAAAATTTCTTGAAGCCTGTTTAGTGTATTTAATATACATTAAAAGTGTGTCTCAGTGTATGAGGGACCAAAACAAGTGTACAAAAGCTCTAATATACTTTGCTTATTAAAATAAATATTTTATTTGTGAACTAGGCTCGAAGTATATATATTTTTTTTCCTTGACTTCACTATAGATAGAAGTATATTTTTAAAATCTTTATATTTTCACCTTTTATGCAACGTTTAGTGGAAATCATGACTTACGTGACATGGAAACTGAGTACATTTCCGGCAAATCAAGTGATTGGAATTGGATGTAATCTGGATTCACAGAGATTACAATATATTATCACAAATGTTTTGAATGCACAAACTGGAGGCAAAGAAGTATGGGTTATTGGTGAACAGGGAGAAGACAAAGGTAAGAAGTACATTCTGATTAGTTACACTGATAGATCACCAGTGGTCATGGGATTAGAAATATCTGGGGACCTTAGGATGTGCACTTAGGTGGCTTTTGTTTCACATTTGATGCCTTCTGCATAACAGGTGCTGTATTGTACATAGGGCCTTCCTCTGTGTCCTTCTCACTGTATCACTGTTCCTTCAGTTTAGGGTTTCACAGGACTCCTTAGTCAGATTTTATATTTTTTTAAAACTGAATTAGAGGGGCTGGGGATTTAGCTCAGCGGCATAAGCGCCTGCCTTGCAAGCCTGTGGTCTTGAGTTCGATCCCTGGTACCGGTAAAAATACAAAAACTGATATAAAAATACAAAAACGAAAAAACAAAAACTGAATTAGAGTCCAAGAACAATGTAAAGGTTTAGCTTTCCAGAAAGAAATATTTAAATATACCTAGAGCATTTACAGAACTTTTCCAATTACTCATTTACCTTTCAACTTCGCTTATCTTTCCTAAATTCAGCCCTCTTCCCTAGATACATGCCTTTTGTTTCTTACTTTTGTAGACTGAATTTTCACTTTATTTATCCTTATACTCTTTTTAATCAAGTGTTGCTGTCTTTCTACCATAAAAAGCATTGTTTCAGTTCCCATGGTGTGGTGCTGCTCAGCTGTAATCTCAGCAGTTGGGAGGCTGAGGAAGGATTTCCACAGGGTCAAGGCCAGTTGAGACTATGTAGCATGATCCTGTCTAAAAAAGATAAAAACAAAAGCAAAAGATTATAATAATATAACACTAATTTAGGAATCTCCATGCAGTGAACATTACCAGAACCACTGACCCTGTATACCTCTGCGGTCCGTCTTCCTGCTTGCTATCTACAAGATAGATTACTTCACCCCAGTACTTTGCAATGCTGGGGACCACAGGATCCTAGGGTCTTCTGCATGCTGGGCAGGGACCTCACTGCTGAGCTACACCCTTAGGCCTCAGATCACTTTTTTCTTTTTTGAGACAGGGTCTTGCTATGTAGTTCAGGCTAGCCTTGAACTCGTGGCAGTCCTGCCTCAGTTGCCTGAGTCCTAGGACCATAGGGGTCTGCCACTGCATGCAGACTCAGATCATTTTTCATCCTGTCTTCAGTTCACACTTCACAGACAGTTCATCCATAGGTGGCTTCACTAAGCCAGCAGTGGTTTAGAGGCTCCCCCTGCTGACTTCTTGTGTACCCACCAGCTGTTGACATCATTTGCCTAAGTGGTATCACAGTAATTATTTGATGAGGCTGGGGATTTAGCTCAGCAGCATAAGTGCCTGCCTTGCAAGCAGGCAGTCGTGAGTTCGATCCCTGGTACCGGTAAAAACGAAAAAGACAAAAAAAAAAAAAAAAAAAGTAATTATTTGATATAATTAATAATCAGAATTATTTTTTATTAAATGCCAACTAAATATATTAAATGTTTGACAGGCAGGTCCTCTGCATCTCATTTAATTTTACAGATACCTTGTAGAGGAGGTGTTTCTCCAGGTTTATAGGTGGACACTCACGGCTCAACGAGGCTAAGTGCCACGCCTGAGGTCACATATTTAGTTTAGTGCACTGAGCACTAAACCTTGGCCTCACTAACACTGTGCTGTTTCTTGCTGTCTTAATTAGGTAATTTTATTTCAAGCCTTTAATACAGCATCTGGCACTGACGAAGCACTCAGAAAATGGTAGTTTTTATTACAGGGTTGACAAAATGGTGATGAATAGAAAATTAGCACAAGGACCTGTACAGCCGTCCTTTGAATGAAAGTAACATTAGGATTTGGAAACAGTTGTGACTAGACGTTGTATAAGTAAAATCATTGCTTTCACGTTGTCAGAGACAAACAGTAGCTACAGCCGAGGCACGAATTCTATGGCACGAAAGAAACTTAGGGTCTATTTCCTGCTCCCCCTCGGCTCCATCTCTTGCCTCCACCAGGCATTCTGTGCTAGTCAGAGGGTAAGCTAGCAAATGTTGTAGCAAATGCTAAGCCATCATCACACATCAGTGGAAAAATAAGTATTACCAGAAGAGGAAAAACTTCTGTAAAAAGAGTAATACAGGTAACCTTGACTGTGAAAGATCATTTATTGCATCTTAATCCTAAAAGAATCATAGGCAAACTATAAGTAATTCTTCATTTCTTTTTTTAGTGGCAACATGGGGTGGCCAAGAAGTAATGAATCACTCTCAGGCACAGCTGTCCAGCAGGTAACAGTACAAATCTGCACGTATTCAACTAAAAGTCAGGTAGTTTATAGCTAACGTTCCCACTGTTTACATCCCGAGTACTTATCAGGTTTTGGAAAACAAAACTAGCTGGAAAAAAGTGTAAGAACACAGTGTTTTATAATCTTGATTTTTTTTTGAGACAGGGTCAGGCTGCCCCTGAACTTACTATGTGGCCCAGGCTGGCCTTGAACTTGCAGCAGTCCTCCTGCCACAGCCTCTTGAGTGTTAGGATTACAGGCATGCACCACCATACCCGGCATACTCTCTGATTTCTTATATGAAAATAAATCCAGGAGTGCTTTGCAAACTCCTCCAGAAAATACAGTTGACATTTGAAGGACAGAACATACTCCTTACTTATAGACAGTGATTTCCTTCTCCTGTTTCTAACCTTCTGAAGATACTATTTTCCTATGTAGAAGAGAATTTGTCAATACCACTTAAAAATTAAGGGTTATTCATCACACATAAACATAGGATTTGGAAATGAGTGTAGCCGGGCGTGGTGGCACACTCTTATAATCCCTGCAACTTGGGAGGCTGAGGTAGGAGGATCGTTGCAAGTTCGAGACCAGCCTGGGCTACAAAGTGAGCTCAAGGCCAGTGAACTGCATAGTGAGACCTTGCCTCAAAAAAGAACAACAACAAAAAAAGGAAACCAGTGAGGTGTAAGTGAAATGACATATCATAACAGGTGAAAAGGTCTAATTCCCACTTCCTTGAATCTTTGGTTATTTCGAGGCCTTCCAGAGGTCTAGGCACTTCATATGCTGTCTATTTTTATGCTGTGTTGTTTCACCATTACAGATTTTCTGCAGTCTGAGTAGGGGTGACTTACAGGTTTTTAAACAGCTAACGTATGGTTCTTACCATATAACAACTGGAAAGAATGTTCTCTTTTATGGAGAAGTGTGTGATATAATTTATCCCAGTCTGATTATATAATCTTGCATTTATTGGTTTTGTTTATTCGGGATTAAACCTTGGACTTCAAGTGTGTTATGCACACACACTGCCTCCAAGCTATATTCCCTGTAGTTTCTACAGGGAATAAATTTTTAAAATATTTTCAGATTTTACTGAAAAAAACCAAAATTTTATAACAAAATATTAGGAGAATAACAATAGTTAATATTTAAAGTAGTTAATCAGAGAATAAGGGACAAGGAATAAATTTAAGTAATTGTTTATATTATTTTTTATAACAAGGTATGCTTATTATAAAACTTAAAATACTATAGATACTTATAAAGTAGAAAGTAAAAATTTAGGGAAATTCCATTTTCCAGAGACAAGCACGGTGTAGCATCTATATGTTCCCAAAGGGTTTTATTTATTATTTTTTCCAATGTTATTATATTTACAGTAGATTTACATTATGCATACTGTCTTGCAACTTGATTTTTTAATGATAAGTTTTGGACATCTTTCTATACTGTGCGTTTATTTAATCTACTTCTCTCCCCCAAGAAATATTCCTGTGGATTGAACCCAGGACTGTGGCGCTGAGCTACTCTCCAAACCTGCCCTGTCTTCCTCTGTGCACCTGGCCCTCCCCTCTCACCCTTCCTTTCCTACTCTCTTCCTCCCCCACCCCCTTTCTTTCTTGTCAACAGGTCTTACTAAGTCACTGAGTTACCCAGGCTATGCTCTTACTTGTGATCTTTCTGCCTCAGCTTCCCGGAGCTAGGATTACAGCAGGCACCATCATGCCCAGGTCCTTTGCTTTGAGGAGTTATATGGTACTACATATGGTAGTGATTAATTTAATCAGTTCCCTTTTCAGATACAGCATACTTATTTGTATAACTTTGCATACTTGAACATATTGCTGCTCTAGGATAGATTCCTGGAAAAAGGAATTTCTAGATTGGATATTGCCAGGCTTCCTGAAAAGTTAAATTGCTTTATGCTCTCAATAGCAGTTATGGGGATGCCTGTTTATAGTTTTCCCTAAATGATTTATAGTACCAGTTTTTTTCATCTTTGCCTGTGTTGGTAAGCAAAATTGGTATTTATTGCTTTAAGTCATTTTTAGTTAAATATTCAGGATGGTAAATGTCTTGCTTATTTTTCTTATTGCTGAGATAAAATACCTGATACCCACAAGTTGAAGAAGGAAAGGTTTATTTCAGTTCAGTTTGTAGAGGTTCATTCTATAATCAGCTGGCTCCTGGCATGGCAGAGGGGACTCACAGGGGAGAAACAGCCATGGCATGGTAGGCAGAAGGCTGCAAAGCAGATTTCTCCTTTATCTCAGCCAGGCTTCAAGCCTTTTGAGTGGTTCCCACCACATTCAGGGTGGGCCAGATCTATTCTATTTTTTTCTTTTTTCTTTTTTCCGGTACCAGTGATCGAACTCACAACCTCGTGCTTGTCAGGCAGGCACTTGCTGAGCTAAATCCCCAGCCCCCAACCAGATCTATTCTAAATCAATCAGAGGACTAATTGAGTACCACACACCAGTAATCCCAGTATCATATCCCCTAGCTCCAGTCACCTCCAAAAAGCCCCTGCTCTAGGTGTACAAGGCGAGCATCTTTTTATGTTTCTAGGGCATTCGTATTTTCTCTCTGTGAACCACATATCTGACATTTTAAAAAAAGCTTAAATAGTACTCACTTGGCAGCACATACTAAGAAAAGCTTATTAATCATTGTAAGCATTCGTGATAATTGCTGTATAACTCATTTCTTTCATAAAAATAATCTTACACACTTATGTGAACATGGTCTATAAACCTAGCACTCAGGTGGCTCAGGCAGGAGGATCCTCTCTAATTCAAAGTGGCCTGGACTACCTAGTGAGTTCCACGCCAGCCTGAAGTACACAAGACCTTGTCTCCTGGTGGGAGAAAAAAGGAGAAAAAGAATAAAAGAAAAAAAAAAAAACAAGATGTGAAACTAAGTGGTGTATGTTTTGTGCATTTTCTGAGATTATGGTTTTTGTACCTAGAGCCATGGAACTGCTAAGAGTAAAAGGTCAGAGATCCTGGTCTGTGGGACTGTCAGTAGCTGACCTGGTCGATAGTATCATAAACAATAAAAAGAAAGTGCATTCCATATCCACTTTAGCAAAGGTAAGTGTTGTTGTCATTCTCTAGTATGAATATAAAACTAGTGAAACTGCTGTTTACACTGTAAAGTAGGCATCTTCAGCTTTTTTTTTTTTTTTTTTTTTTTTGGTCTGTTTCCTTTTTATCAGTTAGGGGGATCGAACTCACGACTGCCTGCTTGCAAGGCAGGTGCTTGTGCCGCTGAGCTAAATCCCCAGCCCCTATCTTCAGCTTTTAGAGTAAGATAGGGAGGAAGCACTGTAAATCCAGTCCCTGACCTGCTTAGCTTCAGGAAATCTGGCCTTTGCCTTCCCTTAGGTGGTTTTTGAAGTGTTTCCAAGAAGTGTTGCTATGGGGGGCTGGGGATTAAGCTCAGCTGCATAAGCACCTGCCTTGCAAGCAGACAGTGGTGAGTTCAGTCCCCGGTACCGATTAAAAGGAAAAAGACAAAAAAAAAAAAGAAGTGTTGCTATGTCCCATAAACTGCTTCTGGTTGTCATTTATCACCTCAGCCAGCCACGTCACCCCAGCCCAATGTGCTAACTGGTCTCAGCTGGTCATCAGTCTGCTTCAGCAGTTGTCTCTCATCATTCTGCCCAGACTATAAATTCCCTGAAGCGCATCTAAGATGAGGTACAAATGCTCATCAAGTTTCCTGAATACTTAGACTGTGGAGGGAGATACAGCATGAAAGGAGAATGTCAAAAGAGGTCGCTATATTTGACCCAGGCAGTGCGCCTCCCAAGGAATCCAGTCCATCATTTTTTCGTAGTCCCAACCTATTTTTCCCATTTCAGCAGCTAGCTTGCCTCCCTGCAAAGGGAGTGTCTTTGAGTGAGTTCTGGCCATCTCTCAGAATGTTGGGAAATACTGATTCGAGTTTAGAAAATGAAAACAAAAAATTAGGAAAGCAAGAGAGCAAGCCTTTTTATGATTTAACTTTGTACAGTGATTCAGCTCTATTTTATTGTCTTTTTAATTTCAGGGGTATTATGATATAAATAATGAAGTGTTTTTAAGTTTGCCTTGCATCCTTGGAACCGGCGGAGTATCTGAAGTCATCAAAACTGCAGTGAAAGAAGTTACAGTGACTGAGAAACTCCAGAGCAGTGCATCCTTCATCCACGGTCTCCAGCAACAGTTAAAACTTTGATTTTTAAACATAGTTACCTGAAAGGAGAAGTAATTTCATCAACATATATAGGTTTGAAAATGTCCATGTCTTTTAATTATATTTACAAACCTTTTGGTTAAAGTAGATGGTTTCTTTGTTAGTTTTATAATTGGAATCCTTAAAGAGTTATATAAGGAAGGGAAAAAAGTCTATTTAGGGTGAGGTCCTTGACAAATCTGTAATTTTTAAACCTACAGCTGGGATAAATATTCACCTGCTATGTGCATTATTTTAAATTGTGTATCCTAAACTTAAAGCACTTTCAGCACTTTGGAAATATCCTGAAACAAAATACATTTATAATAAATGTGGTAGGTTAAAGGCTCAGGATGGGCCTTACAAAATTCAGAAGATCCATAGTGAAGGGCATTTATTATTTTTGCAAAATACAATTAGTGGAGTAGTAAAGCATTTTGTTTTTCTTCTCCAAATTCATTAGCTATCAAAAAGTAAAAAAGAATTTTATATGTGTTTTAAAATTATAAAAGGGAAAGTAAAACATTTTAATATATAAAGAAAAAAGTATATATATTTTCATTTCCATGGAATTTCCTTTCTAAATTTTTTTTCCTCAGCAATGTGAGATCCCTACATATCATAAATTTATTGTGCCATTAGTAAAGCATAGATAAATGTGTATTTTGTTTTGAATAAAAATCAAACAGTTTATTTTGAAGCCAAAATAAGGCTTTCATAAAAACCAGTGGTCTTAAGGGAGAGAGGTTGAATGGACTGATGGTTCTGAGCAAACCCTCTGTCATTCCAGAAGAAAGGCACAGAACATACAGGCTTTGGTGATGGGTCAGTAGCAGTATTTTCACCAGGTGCTGGTGGGCAGTATGCTTTGACTAGCCCTCCATTTACTGTGGGAAACATAGTAATCAAGTCTCACAAATAAGTGTACTAAGAGTTGTGATGAAACCAGGTGTGGCAAGCACAGGCTTATAATCCCAGCACTCAGGAAGCTGAGGCAGGAGGATCATTGCGAGTTTGAGACCAATTTGGACCACAAAGTGAACTCAGGCCAGCCTCAACTAACTGCATAATGAGACTTTGTCTCAAAAAGAGACCTTATCTCAAAAAGACCAAAAAAAAAAAAAAAAAAAAAGAAAAAGAAAAAAAAAGAAAGAAAGAAGGAAAGATACAATAAAAATGAATTGTGAAGAAATCCAGTAATAGGTAAAACAATCTGGTCAGGAAGAGATGAGACAAATAAGGGCAGACATAGCTAGAGGAGATATAGACACAGTAATAGTCAGTGTAATAATGGATAGTTGTCATGAACTTACACTAAGTGGAAAGTGAAATTCAGTATCCCATGTTTAAGGAAGTATAAAAGTAATATGTTTGCAAAGAGTCACACAAATTAACCTGTATAAAAACATTTGGGGTGGGGTGGGGTGGGGTGGAGCTCACAGAGCAGTTTCCTTACATGTGCAGGGCTCTGGGTTCAGTCTTGGCACTGCAGAATGAGCGGACTGTGCCTATTTGAAGAGATAAGCATTAGTTCTCTAGAATATTTTGGTGTTACCAAGACTTCCTTTAATCCTAATGTTACCTCCTGTATCACCTCTCTTGTTACTCTAACAATGTATATTTGTATGAAATAGGAAAGTAAAACTAAAAGAATAATTTTTAGCCTTTTCTATTAATGTATAACTAGAAATTTGACAATTCCTAAAATCAAATTTCTAATATAATCTTAAACTATAATCTAACTAAAATATTATAGTATAATAGATTCACTACATTAATTATAAAGGGAACATGTCAATAAAACAAATATTGAGCACCTACTGTTATTCCAGATACTATGTTAGAATCTGAGTATTCAGAGATGAATATTAGTCCTTACTCTCCAGAAGGCCACAATGTGGAAGTAATTCTCTGTATCAAGTGTTTACTTGAGTGTTAAGTATTAACAGTTATATTGTGAGTTCCACATAGAAGTCAAGAAGTTATATCACTTTACTGTCAGTGATAATTTAACACAATGCTTCTGTTAACTTTGACTTTTTCATCTTTCCAAAATCATGCAATGCCTGTTGATATGTTTTTTAGTGGGCCTTGAATTAAATTTTTTCAATACTGCAGAAGATAATTTTTTTATTTTGCAACTTGCATTGTTTTTCTTAAATATCAAAAATAATGAATAAAATAAACTTTGATTTTAAAATACCAGATGCCTGACTTATTAAATGAAATTTAATACCGATTGAGACTTTTTTCATATAATTTACAGAAAACCAAACCAAAGATATTTAATTATTTCATTTTAAGTGCTGTGCAGAATTAAGAGACTGGATTTTATTATTCATTTCCAAGCTTTAAAAGTTACTTTAGCAAAAAAACATTTAAGCCATGTATTACCTGATGCACCTCCCGATTTAAAGCAGTTACTCTAATTAAAAGTACTTCTGAGTAAAATGTGGCTTCAAGATTATTTGAAGCCAGAGCACACCTGTAAACCCACACTGGAGGCAGGAAGCAGGAGGATCGCTGTGAAGTCAAGACCAGCCTGGGGTACAGAGTGAGTTAAAAAGCCTGAACTCCGTAGTAAAACTCTGTCTCAAGCCCCTCCACTCCAACAAACAAAAACAACTAGATTATTTTGAAGTTTGCTTTGTAAAAGAAAAAACCAATATAAAATACCAGGTGTAGGGGAAGGATAGACTGACCTTTTGGTTTGACTGAAACTAATATTCGGCTATTCAAGAATAATGGCTAGTGGAAAAGTTTTATTTGTGTGTGAGCCATAGTTTATAATGAGAACTTCCACATGTCCTCAGTTCTTCCCCTCTGTGGCTTCTCTTAGATGTCTGTTTAGAAAGGAATCAATACCAGGTCTGTTCTCATTAGGCTATACTAATTATCCAGACTTCACATCTGAAAATCTACTCTAGAATTCATCAATGTTCTGCTTATAAAACTGGTGGCATAGAATAGTGATAAGTAATAAAATCCCCTCCGTGACCTTTTATTGAAAATTGAAATTCAATTGAACACATGTCTTAGAAAAAAAAAAGAAAATTGAAGTTCTGATTCAGGGAAAGGTATCCTGCGGAGGACATTTGTCTGGCTTCCTGAGAAACAAGAGATTTCTATACTTTGACCTTACAAATTAGGATGGACTTTTAAACTTTAAAACGAAACAAAATCATGTGACTACCAAGGAAACCTTGGGCATCTTTCCAATGGAAGCGTCTTTAGAGATGGGGAAGTTTTAAGCTCGGGCTAGAAGTGCACCTGTCTCCTATTTTCACAAGCGCAAGAGGGAGGTAGGCGGTTCCCCAGAGCGCAGGGTTCCGCCGCTGCTTCCCGCAGTAGTGAGGCTCGGAAGCCTTCACCTTCTTCCTGAGTACTGAGTGATTGTGAAAAAACAGCTGGCATCCCGGCCCAGAATTGCGACCTCTGGAACAAGCCTGCCTTATCTTTGGAACCCAACTAGTTCCAGCACACCGTTAGCTGGTTGGTTTAAATCCACTTCCCGCCCAGCCTGGGTTGCTCGCGGTGTCCACCTGTCTCCTTCAGACCACGGCCTCGGAAATGACGTACCGGAAGCGGAAGTGCTGTGATACCGACTTCCTGTTATAGGTGGGGGGTGGGGGGCTAGCCATTCGGTGTGCGATTGTCTGGGGCGGCCTGGGGCTGCCCGGAGCGGCTGACCCTCTGCCAGCGGGGACGGGAGTCGCCAGGAGGCCGTCATGGCGGTGTCGGAGAGCCAGCTCAAGAAGATGGTGTCTAAGGTGAGGCTGCGACCTGCTCGCCGTCCCGCGGGCGCCCACCGCTCCCTTCCGCGCCTTCCCTCGCCGGCCCGGCCCCTCGAGCCTCGCGGACGGGCCGGAACTCCGGCACCGGGCTGGCCGCTGAGGCCCCCAGTCCGCGCCCGTGGCATTCGCACTGCGATACCCTGCGGGGAATGTCGGGGGGGGGGCGGCGACCGTCTACAAAGGCGCCCAGCAGAGGCCGCCTGCCACCTGCCGCCCGCCCCCTTTTCTCTGTGGGAGAGTTTGGAGCTGTCTGGGGCGGTGGAGTTTGGGTCTTGAATGTTCTAAACAAAAAGAGTCACACTGAGTTCCTGACTGCGGCAGTCCACGACGGTCCCGGCCGGGGGAGCCGTCAGCCTTCGCCCGCCCTTCGCTGGCCGCAGAGCCCGCGGCCCTTTTAGTTCTGTTCTCTCGCCGCGCCGTCGGCCGCGGGAGGCTGGAAACTGGCGGCTGAATTGTCTCGATTCCGTGAAACGACGGAGAATCCAAAACGCCCGACCCTCACTACCACGGTAGAATTAGTGCAATTCATCGAGGGTAATGGTAACTCTTTACTAACACTGCTATTAGTTGCGTGCTTCTTGTAACACCTATTTACTCTGAGCCTACTTTACAGTTCACAGCTCGACTGCCGCGTGATTTCACCCTTTTGTAAAAAAAAAAAAAAAAAAGGCGTTTTGTATATTAAAGCCATGACTTAATTTACTAATTAAGATGTGGCACCCAACACCATAGTGGAATGGCTCTCCTTTTGTTTGTTGTAACTTACCAGATCTACTTGGAATGAGGATGTGTAGGCGGTAAGAGCTGAGTCTTTTAAAACGGGCTAGATTGGGATACTTTGGTCAAAACAAGAATGATTCAAATTACCAGTTTAAGTGGGTTTCAACTTATGCACAGTTACTATGTAGAGAAAATTTTTTTAAATAGACTTTTTCTAGTAAAATCGTCCCTTTGGTTCTTGTTGAAGATCTGTTAACCTCTAAATGGCAGGTTTCAAAAGAAAGCGTCTTCTGGTTGTCCTTCCTGTCTCCTAGGCTGCATTGTTTGGTGCCGAGAATTGACGATGTCAGGGATGCAGAGTATGTGCTTTAGCACCTACCCTGTTTTGTTTTGTTTTTAAAGAAGTTATCTTAATTTTTTGTTTGTTTGTTTGTACTGGGAATTGAACTTAGGACTTTGTGCCTGTCAGGCAAGCCTGTGTCGCTGAGCTACATCCCCGGCCCTATCTTTAATTTAGAGGAGGTTTGGGAACTCCTTAGATTGTGGCCCAGGTAAAGGTCTGTGCTGTAACATCTAAATATTACTTTTTGAAAAACAGAATTATTGTTTTAGGTACCTTGTAACTGAAGAGGAACTGATCCATAATGTGTTTGATATTAAAATGATTGTATAACCATTAAAAAGCTTAGTCCTTAATGTATGTGTTGTAATGTAAAATAAAATATTGGTTTATTTTTAAAACCCCTAAATGAGCTTTCTCTAGAGTAGTGGAACGTGCCATAGATCACTTTACGCTATATGTAATATCGCTACACCCCTCAGATATTCTGGGCCCTTTCCTTGGTTTATGTTTTTAGAAATATTATTACAGATCATTGTTTTCTCTAAGTAGTCCCTTAGTGCTCTTTAACATAAAATTTAGTTAAAATCCAGGTCATCGGGGCTGGGGATTTAGCTCAGCGGCATAAGCGTCTGCCTTGTAAGCAGGCAGTTGTGAGTTCGATCCCTCGTACTGATGAAAAATGAAAAAAAAAAATCCAGGTCATCATTTGTCAGTTAACGGAAATAAATGTATACATATATGTGTATATATGTGTGTGTGTGTGTGTGTGTGTGTGTATAGTTTGTTTTTGGAGACAGGATCTCGCTGTGTAGTTCAGGCTGGCCTTGAGTTCACTATGTAGCCCTGCTTGGCCTCAAACTCACAGTGATCCTCCAACCTCAGCCTTCTGAGAGCTGGGGTTCAGGTGTGCAGCACCATGCCTGGGTAGTTAACAGAAGTATATACTGTGAGTCTGTCTTGCTTTACACAAGTTACAGTTTTGATTGTTCATACAACTACCTGTGTTTTTGCGTATCTACAGCATTCCTAGAGGTTGTGTCATAACCAAATGGGTGGAGGAGAGCAGATGCATTAAAGACAGCTATGTATTTCACTCTGTTTTAGGTACAGAGATACAACAGCACACGGCCAGACAAACCCTACACTTGGGGAATTTAAATTCACAAAAAAGGCAGTAAACAACTAAAAAGGCACATTTAAATACTATGTTGGAGATTGATAAGAGTGTTAGAGAAAAATAAAACAGGAAAGAGAAATAGAATAGTAAAAGGAAGTGAGAATGGCCTGGATTGCAGCCTGTAGCGGACAGAAAAGGAAGGCCTTTCTGAGAAAAGCTCTTTGAGGAAAGACCTGAAAGAGATGGGAAAATAAGCTGGGATGGTTCAGAGCAAGGCCATTCTAGGAAGAAGGAAAAAAGGGTAGAGGCTCTGGGGCAGAAGTCTGTCATGCCTTTGTTGTAGAGGAACAACAAAGGGTAGTGCACAGGTGAGCAAGGGAAGGGGTGGATTGTAGAGGTTTAGGCCCTGAGCATCTGTGGGAGATTTTGGAGGGCCTTGCAGACCTATGGGAAGGCTTTGGCATTTAGTTAATTACAAGGAAAGCCATTTAGCTCTTACCAGCACTAGTATAGCTGTTGGGTCGGACTAGACTGTCCAAAGGTGTAAGACTGGAGGCAACGAATACCTGTGAAGAGATTTTTGAAATAATCTAGGCAAGTGGTGCTAGTAGTTTAGACCAGGATTATAGCTATGGGGATAGTGAGAGGTGATATATTTGGAAGGTACATTTGCTATGGATGTGAAAGAAAGAGAAGTATCAAAAATAACTTTCACAATCCTTTTCCTGAACAGCTTGAAGGATATAGACAGACAGTAAATTTGGGGGGAAGATATAGAGTTTGGTTTTGGTCATACTCAATTTGATATTCGTTAGATGCCCATTGGTGATATAGGACTGCTAACTGGATATAGAGCATTCATCTGCAGGGCTTACATCTCAAAACCCACAGTGAATGTCTGAAGCTAGGTAATACACATAATTCAAAATGCACATCAAGAAATTAATAATAACAATATAAAAAATGGCCAACATCCTACTATTGTGCTTTTGGGGCCATTATTAAGTAAAACAGTTACTTAAACACAAGCACTAGAACAGCTGGTCATACAACTAAGGTGAATTCCAAGAATTCTGGAATTCCAAGTCACTAACAGGTGGTTAGCTTACCCAGCGTGGATGTGCTGGAGAAAGGAACGATTCACTTCCTGGTGGGACAGAATGGAAGAGCAAAAGATTTCATCCTGTTATCCCACTACTCAGCTGCATGTAGTGAAAACATACAGATTGTTTATTTGTGGGATTTTTTCATTTAATATCAGATCAAAAATTTCAGGGGAACTGAAATTGTGAAAAGTGAAGGACTACTATACAAGTCTGGAGTTAATGAAAGGCTCACTAGAAAAGTTTAGTCTAGACTTAGTTTTCAGTGTATAAATGATGCTTAAGACCAAGCGGGAAACCACCAAAAGAGTTTAGGTAAGGTTTAGGTAAGAGGACTCTTCCCTGGGCCCAGTGTGAGTTGATTAGAAGAAAAGAAAGACCCAGCAAAGAGCTGTAACCACAGAGAGGAGGAAGGCAAACACTGTGTTTTGGGAATTGAAGGGAGAATTTTTTTTTTTATTGTCTTTTTCCTTTTTATCGGTACCGGAGATCAAACTCACGACTGCCTGCTTGCAAGGCAGGCGCTAATGCCACTGAGCTAAACCTCCAGCCCCCGGAGAATGTATTTTTAAGAGAACAAATCAACTCCTGCTGCTGATAGGTTATGGCAAAGGCAGTTGACTGTTCCATACCATGTAGCAGGTCTTGGTGACCTGGAACAGTTTTAGTGAAATGGTAGATACAAAAGGTATATACACACTTCCTGCTGCTCAGACTAAAAACCTGATGTTTGATGCTTCATTCTCCTTTATGTCCATAGTAAGGCTGTCAGAAAATCGTACTAGCTCTACCTTCACAGTATCACCACAATCTGATCACATCTCATTTGTCTCCATAGCTGCAGAGGGTCCAGATTTGGAGTGGGTTTGAAAAGAATGGGTCTAGACTTTGTGCATTAGTGGCTGCTAACATAGAAATCTCTAGATATCACGTGCTCCTGATGGAAAATCATCATCTGTGAAATGATCTTGCGAAAGAGAGAGAAGAGGAAAAATAACTTCTGCACTCGAATAATAATTCAAATGTTAAAGTATACCAACAGAAAACAATTAGCAAATTCCAAACTATAGGAGCCACTTAGGATAAATGAACAGGCTTCTTCCACAAATAAATTCCTACAAGTAAAGATAGAGATGAGCCTATTGGCTGAAAATCTACTGAACAATAGATAAAAATATGGTGTGTCCATATAGTAAATATTGCTCAGCACTAGGAAAGAGTGACATACTGCTATATGCCACGATAGGATGAGCCTTGGAAACATGTAAAATCATTAAAGTTCATGATTTTATTTATATGCAGTGTCCAAAAAAGATAAACCTATAGAGACAGAATGTGAGTGGTTGTCTAGGGTTACAACGAAGAAAATGAGAAGAGTTATTACTAAAAATGGAACATGGAAAGTTATTGCTAAAAGGCATTGGTTCTTTTTGAGGATAATGATAATGTTCTAAAATTGATGTAATTGTAGTACTATGCTAAAAGCCACTGAAATACACAGTTTAAAAGTAAATTTTATAATATGTGCATTATATCAATTCTATAAAATAGAGATGGGCATTGTCTACTTTGGGATATATTTTAATTTTTGCATAATAAAGTTTTTGCAAGAAAGCATAGAAAGCAATTAGGACAGCAAATGTATGAAGTTCTTTGTGTGAAGGTTTTTGTTTTTGTTTTTCCTATAAAGAACTGAGATTAGAGTTACAGCAAGGGAAGGAATGGCTTTGTATGGATAAGATGGGACAAATAAGAATGTTTGTGTGACAGAACTGATCTTGTAGATGGAAAAATGAATGCTACAGGACAAAGGATAAGAAATGTCTTTGATTAGACTTGAATGTGTTACTTACTTTTTGTATTATCTTATTGTAGTGATATAGCTATACTATGAGAGTTGGTTTATATTCTTTTTTATTTATTTTTGAGACAGGGCTTCACTACACAGTTCAGGCTGGCCTTGAACTTGCCTCAGCCTCTGAAGTGCTGGAGTTGGCTTGTGCCACCATGCCCGGCTTTGACTATATTCTAATTTTTCTATTGAATGTTTTGGTTTTACTCTCGCATTTTTTGTATCTAACAGTTCTTACTCATTGAGTGTTCTTATTTCAAGGGTACAATATCACTTTTCAAAGTTACTTTGTCTTTGAAGTTTTGTTCTGCTTGCATAAGTCCTTACTGATACCTAGTTCCTTGTTTTCTGTTTGTTTTGATCCTGACTTGCTTATTAGTATCTTACTGATCCAGCTTATTGTTCTTCTTAAGAAAGAAGCCTTAAAAGCTTTATGTGCAAGGGGGGAGCTTTGAGCTTCAGTTCTGTGGAGTGAAAGGCCCTGATTTCCTTATGTCCCGCAAGTAGTCTCCAGGCCAGGTTGCTAGTTCCTCTGGAGTAGAATGGAACAGATGGAATGAAAACAATACAGCAAATGATACAGTGCAAAACTGATGTTGGTAATTCACGATAGATGTTGACATTGGCAGTGAATGCTGCAGTTTGAGAAGAAAGGGGGATTATGGATTAAAGGAAAGTCGAAAAGGATTCATTGATGGTAGTGTGTAAACTATACCTACATGGTAGGTCTTAGAGAATGATTAAGATTTAATTTGGTGGGTTCTTTCAAGTTGATCAGAAGAACTAACATAAATGTAACTTGCAAGCTGAGGTCAAGTAAAGGATTCAAACAGGTGACAGAAAAATAAAACTACTGAGGTCCTTCAGGCTGTAATTAATGATTAATGAAAATCATACTTTTAAAAGGAGCACGTAAAGAAAATAAGATTTTAAGACAATGAAGCAGTGAGATAATGAGCATTGGTTTTAAACTAAATTCTGTGATTTTTGCTTTTCAGTACAAATACAGAGACCTAACTGTACGTGAAACTGTCAATGTTATTACTCTATACAAAGATCTCAAACCTGTATTGGATTCATATGGTGAGTTTATGTGACAAGAACACTGATTACTATGAACATACTCTTCTTATTAATTGTGGTTTGCTTATTTTACTTTTAAACTTGCTAGTTTTTTCAACTGTAGGATTGAACCTCTATCTAATATAAGTATCGGGGTATAAGAAATTATAACATCTAATAGTAACATATTCGTTCAGCTCTTTAAAGTTGTCTTTTTTAAGGTGCTGGGGATTTAGCTCAGCGGCATAAGCGCCTGTCTTGCAAGCAGGCAGTCATGAGTTCGATCCCTGGTACCGATAAAAACGAAAAAGACCAAAAAAAAAAAAAAAGTTGTCTTTTTTAACAACCTAGAACTATCCAAAGTTAGACCTTGGAGGAATTTCCAACCACCACTACTACCCACCCCTCAGTAGGGGTTGAACCCAGGGCCTCATATCTGTTGGGCAAGTACTCTACCATTGAGCTGCAAGCCCTTTTTATTTTGAGACAGTCTTGCTATATTGCCCAGGCTGGCCTTGGATTTGTGATCCTTTTGCCTCAGCTTCCTGAGTAACTGGGACCTGACCATAAGGCAGTTTGTGTGTGAGCACATGTGCGTGTGTGTGTATGTGTGTGTGTGTGTGTGTTGCTGTGCTGAGGGAGGGCAAGCATTTATCACTGAGTTACCCTCCGAGGCTACAGGAGGGAATTTTAAAGGTAGTTTATAGTCCATCATTTCCCAAAGTGGTAACTGAAGAATGTTGCAGGGAGAAGGCTATAGATATTACAGAGCGAGGATTAAAGGGAGATTTCTGTCAAAAAGTTTGAGCAGTCGTCAGTTAAATAAAATCAAGTGGGTTTCAGCCAGGTACAGTGGCATATGCATATATTCCCAGCTATGCAGGAAGCTGAAGCAGGAAGGATCACTTGAGTCCAGGAATTCCAAGTCTGACCTGGGCAACAAAGCAAGACTCTCATCTCTTAGAAAAAAGTTAAATGCTTTTCACTGTGAAGGATTTCTCAGAACATTTCATATGCTAAGGAGGAACAAGAATACATTGTACAGTGTATCCTAAAGTTACTTAACTACTGGTCCTTCCTTTTTTCTCCCCCCATAGCATTTCTCTATATTCTCAGTAACACATTTTGCAAAACTATACTTTCAGCTGTCCCTTACGTTTTATAGATGCATATTTTTCAGTTTGGTATTTAATTCTGTATAGCAGGTAAACTGAATTTGTCTTTACTTTTAGGGTTTATGTCAAAGGTGACAGCACCTGGAGTTTTTCTTTTTTAAAAAACATACATTATTTTCTGTCCCCATTGAGTCCTAACACAATCTCTTCAACCCTAAATCCTTGAAAACAGTTAGCATACCAGAGCCAAGAGAAAACCTGTGCTGCCTCATATCAATTAATGAAGCCCTTGGCTTTGCAGGCAGGGAACTAGCTGAGAAATTCTGAATTCTACTCAGCCCTAGGCTTTGAAAATAGTAGGCTGAGGTGCAGAGGGGTGTGCCACTGAGGCTGAGGGGCAATCAGTTCTGTCTCTTCCGAGTTGCAGAGAGAGACGAGAGGTAGAAGTCCTCTTCCACACCTAGGGCACAGCTGCCCCTTCTTCCAGTCTCCCTTATTTCTGTATATAGACTGCCCATTTTTGATCTGCAAAAATGCTCATATTACCAAAATTAAAGTTAGTCATTTTAAGACTGAAATGCCCTCAGTGTGGAGAAAATGATTGAGGCTAGACTTTATTGTGAGTGTATAGTTTTTACTGCATACTAAAAGACTAAATACATTGATCAAACAATAGCTTCATATGGGCAGACCAAATGTAAACCATTATTATCAAAATACTTTCAGAGTAAATAAAGCCCTAAATTTAAATGATGTTTTTCTTTTACTTTAAAATACACAAAATCAGGCTAGTAGTTTAGCTCAGTGGCACATTTGCCTGCCTTGCAAGTGCCAGGTCATGAGTTCAATCCCCAGTACCCAAAAAATCAGAATAACCCCCCCACAAAAACAGAATAAGTTGCAACATGTTTTGCAGTTGTCAGCAGTAAGTAAAAGAACTGATTTCTCCAGGGAGGTGGTATAGGCCTATAATACCAGCACTTAGGAGGCTGAGGCAGGAGGATCATCATGAGAGTTTGAGGCCTGCCTGAACTACACAGTGAGTTCAAGATCAGCCTGGACTATAAAAAAACCCTGTCTCAAAAAAACCAAACCAAACCAAACAAAACCTGAGATTAACAGTATAGTTATGTGTATTTGTATTGTGCAGTATAGCATTTTCCTAATGTGGTATGATGTTCATTTATGATTAAAATTATAGTGGTTTACATAACACATTTTGTGTCCTGATTAATCAGTTAATGGTAGAAAGATGCAGATCATATGAGAAATACATGCTGAAAGAAGCTGTCTGTATTTATTAACTGTGTGAACTTTTTAAAATCTTTAATACTGTGTTTTAATACTTGGTTGAGATTGAGGGTAGTAGTAGGGATAAGTGCTGGGGGATTGCTAAACATAGTGACACTAGGTTAACAGGTAGGATGGTGACATTCAATGGGGTTTTTGTTATGGTTCAGGGAATCATACCATGGCCAAACACAGGTATTCTAACAGTGAGCTACACACCCAGCCCTGATGGTGATTTGTTAATAGTTTTAAAAGCATGTTAAAGATTGCAGCTGTAGCACTCACATCCTGTGTGTGTGTGTGTGTGTGTGTGTGTGTGTGTGTGTGTGTGTGTGTTTGAAGCAGGGTTTCACTGTGCAGTTCAGGCTGGCCTTGATCTCACTTGGTAGCCCAGGCTTATCTCAGACTCACAGTGATCTTCCTGCTTCGGCCTCCCACATGCTTGGGGTTAGAGGTGTGTACCACTATACTTGGCCTCACATTCATTTCCTCAAGTAATTCAAAGTATTTTTTCTTTACTGGTTGAAGAGCTGATTCCATTCAGTGAATGAACAAAGGACCTTTTGTTATTGAACAGAATGGATGATACATTAACAAGTTAGCCCCTTTTAAAAATGAATTTTGAGTAAGGTAGAGAGTCTCTACAGAAATGTTCATGAATCAAAAAACTTAAAAATGCTCATGCTTAAATCTTTGTTCTCTCCTTTCAGTTTTTAATGATGGCAGTTCTAGGGAACTAATGAACCTCACTGGAACGATTCCTGTGCCTTACAGAGGTAACCGTGTTACATTTTTTATGTTTTCACTATAGCCATGTTTGATGACATGATATGTTGCCAAAGAGTTAGAAGGAACTTGTATCTGGTTACTCATGGCTTTCATTATGATAAAGAGGGTTTAACTTCTGTTCTAATTGAACTTTATTTGGTAGCAGCACCTCACATTTTCAGCTTTTAAAAATTTTCTTGCCAAGAGATAAAAATACATATGTGCTTGGTTGTACTGGCAGGACTTAATGTCTCCTAGAATCAGAATGTTAGAACTGATCTGACACCTGTGTCCCCAGAACTCACCATTGATTTCATGTAGTACCTGCTATACATGAGGCAGTGGGGATGGGACACTAGATGCAAAAGAGAATGAAGTGTGTAACATTTCTGGGACAGTTCACAGTAGTGGGAACAACAGGGAATAAATAGGTATTTATGCTACTCTACAATGGGTGCAGAATAGTAAAATGTAAAGATGCTGTGAGATGACAGAAGAGAACCAAACTACATGGGAGGGTCATACGGGTGGTGGCATCTGAGCTTACTGCTATTTAACAGATGCTTCTTCCAGGCAGAAGGAACATGTGACTGAGCCTCTTGGTGTCACATCAAGCCTGTAGGATGACCTTAGGGAAGGCGAGTGAAATCAGGATTACTAACCTTGCTGCTGTGCTTTTCTAAGAGAATAAAGTCTAAGCTAGGGAGTGGGTTATTAGGTATGTGAGATGCGGTGAGAGTATAAATTTTAATCTAAACCAAACCACTATCCCTCTTTTTTTTTTTTTTAAATTCAATACTGGGGATTGAACACAGCCTTATGCATGCTGGGTGTGTGCTTTACCACTGATCTACATCCCCAGGCTCCCTCTGCCATTCTTTACATGGCACAAGTTTACAGGCCTAATTGTTCTGGAAAAGTCTTCATTGTTACAAAGCAGAGAATTCTGGATGGTGGAAATAGACTTAAGTTTTATATATTAGTGCAGCCACTCTGGGGACCGGTTTCATGACAGAGTTTCATGACAGGTATTTGTGACCCCTGCATGGTGCCAGTTATCAGGGACCCCTGCAGTGAGTTCCAAATCTCTTGGAGATATGGGGCATGGTGGGAAGAAAGCAGAAATGAAATAGGAGCCAGATTGGTAGTGCACACCTTTAATCCCGGCATTCTAGGGAGCTGACGTGGGAGGATTGTTGCAAATGTGAAATCAGCCTGGGCTACAAAGTGAGTTCAAGGCCATCCTGAACTGAATAGTGAGACCCTGTCTCAAAAAGATAAAAGAAAAAAGCAATAAAGGTGTGGGCAGGAATCTGGGGTGACCAGTTGTTCACAGGAACAAAAGGCCAGTTGGCACCCAGATTTTTGGTATTTACTCATTGTCATGGACAGTGGGTGAAGGGCAGTGGCGTGTGTCTGGGAATAGTAATGGTGACTAAGGTGGGTTGGTAAGAACAACAAAGCATTCTCCAAAGGACAAGGACAGGGTCAGGACTGGAGTTGGGGAGGAGGCTGCAGTTTCCCCAGATGCCTGTCATCTCTGGCAGGTCTTACCTTGCTCTGTGAGTGCCACCACAATCATCAGCCTTTAGACTTAGAGCTGTGACTAGAAAAGAGCGAGCCATGTCTCCATTCCAATCTGGCTCAAGGGCATGACAAGAACAAGTGTGGACAACCCTTAAACTCAGTTTATAACTCGTGGTCCCCAACAGAGTGGATCATGAATGGACCTAGATACCTTACATGTGCAGCGCACAATAGGGTTCAAGGTCCTGTGCGTATCCAGTGTTGCTGGGTGCTGCTGTGTGTGACAGCGGAACTCGGTCAGTAATGCCAACGCCAGCAGAACTGTGAGTGCAGGCAAAGCTTCACTGGCTTCTCCGGGGCTTGCCACCTGCTGCACAGCCTGGTTCCTGACATGCCATGGACCTGTGGGTTGGGGATCCCATATTAGCTTATCCTGTTGGAGCTTTTCCTTATTGTTCAGTGTACAAGTAATTTGGGATTAAAAAAATAAATCCAAAGTCTCTCAACTGTCTGATCTGCATCTAAATTTGTTAAAGTGACTCAAATGGTTTCTTGGGACTTTGAGCATAAAAAGAAAAAAACTATGATTTGTGTTTAATATATTAACTGTTGGATCCTTTGAGAAGGAAAAACTTCACTATTTCGTCTTAACTATGTATAGTCAAGTGTCTCAGCTGAGCCAGATTTCTGTTTCTTAAAACAAGGAGAAAGGGATGATATCATTGACTGAATAATTAACACTGAAAATGCCTATATATTGGTGAAGCTGATGACACCAGTTAGCATTTGTTTGACTGTTGGATTGTATTTTATAATCTGGCTTTTGGCAAGAGAATTTCAAGTCTGTTTTCTGTATCTCTTTCTGTTATAGTGCCTTAATTTCTGTTTGTTCTTCCATTTCCCTTCTCACCAAGCCTTAGTAACTGAAATGGTTACAGTCACGTAGCAAAGAAGAGATTGGCTGGCCTATTCTTGAAGATTGTTTTATAGCAGCAGGCTGATACTGACAAAGTAGTGATCAGTTGGTTCCTTCATCCTGATGGTGTGTTTTATGAACTGAAAATTTTGAGAAACTGATCTTAAATAGAATTTTGAAAGAAAATATTTGTGGTTTTATGTGTATGTATATGTCTTGTAATTGTAGCTTTTTCATCCTATCTATTAAGGTACAATTGAAAAATAGTAAACATAGAGCACCTGAAATTTCTCTTTCTCTCTCAGGTAATACATATAATATTCCAATATGCCTGTGGCTGCTGGACACATACCCGTATAACCCCCCTATCTGTTTTGTTAAGCCTACTAGTTCAATGACTATTAAAACAGGAAAGCATGTTGATGCAAATGGGAAAATATATCTCCCTTACCTGCATGAATGGAAACATGTAAGTATTCATAGGATTCTGTGAATTCACTGTATTTTATGTTTTGCTTACTAACATCTGCTTTCTAAGTAACAGTATGATTCCAGGAAGACTAGACAAGTTCAGATAATGGACTAAACACTGAGCTTGAGCAGATGTTAAAAACTCTTAAGAGCAATGCATTTTTATTTGTATAAAGCTTTCAGATTTATAAAATATTATTTTATTTGATCAGGTTTAAAAATAGACTGTGTTTATATTATAGAAAATGAATTCAAAGGGGCTGGGGATTTAGCTCAGTGGCATAAACGCCTGCCTTGCAAGTGTGCAGTCATGAGTTCGATCCCTAGTACCGATAAAAAAGAAAAAGACAAAAAAAAAAAGAAAAAATTTTTTGAATTTAAAAATATGCTGGTAGAATGTATTTGTGGAACTTAGGTATTATTATTCAGAGCAGTCCTGTCAAGAATAATAGTTGGGAACTTCCATTACTGCTTCTGATGGTCTAACCAGCAAACCAGTGATCCTGCCAGAATACCTAGAAAAGCCAAGTAGAACACAAACAACCAAACAAGAGTTGGGATGCTCTGAAAAGCTGTTGAGGCAATTAAGACTTGAAGGGTTGGGCTGGGGATGTAGCTCAGTAGCTTGAGCACCTGTCTGGCAAGCATAAGGTCCTGAGTTTGATTCCCAGTACCAAAAAAAGATTTGAAGGGTAGGATTCTATAGGAAGGGAACTGTCAGGAGACGAGCTAACATCATGCTGTTTACTGACTCTTGGTACAAGTTGAGAGCCTGAGAATCTGGATAGAGGACTTTAGCTAAGAGGCTGAGAAGCTGGCAGCATTTTGAGCACTTAAAATGACTGATGCTGTCCTCCTTACCAAGGTATCCAGAACTTTAGCATCCCAGATTTGGAGGAAAAGGGGGCCAGAGAACTGAGTCCAATCCTCTTAGTTTCCTCCCTTGAGACACATACTAAATTCCGAAGCTTCAGATACAAGATGCTAAAAAAGCTCAGCAGAAAGCCTCTGAAAAAGCTAAATTCTGAGTAGCTTCTGGTCAAGAAGGCTGTTGGAATTCAGATGCTTACCAAGAAGAAAGAATCCAAGGAGGCTCTTTGTGGGCCTCACTGAAAAACATGTCTTTGGAAGAGCACCCCAGGTACACAAGCCTAACAAAAAGTGCACCGAGAAAGAACCAGAAGGAACAAAGAAACAAAAACATCATAACTCCCTGTCCCCGGGCTCAGCACTTACATGCACAAATAAACACAGGAGAAAAATAAGTAAAGGTATTAGAATAGTGAGAATGAGCACATTTTTGCAGGAAGCTTTGAGAAGTATTATTTATCATCATCATCCACAAGATGGGTCAAAATTGAACAAATATGATGAGTTTGGTTCTTGTTGGCAATTATAAACTGCTACTAACTCTTACATCAGAAAGTGAAAGAGGTTGTGAAGATGGTTAGCTGAGTAAAATGATTAGTGCCCTTCAGAAACTGATGAGTTCATCGAAGAAGTAGTTAGGATGAGGTCTACAGAAAATAAGTGAAAACAGAACCATCATAAGCCAGTTTCAACAATTTTACCTAATATAGCATGTTTTAAATTGGTGGTAATAAATATTTAAGAGAAAAAATTCAGCAACCTATATGTCAAAATAGGTACCTGGTCTATAACTGCTACTGGAAGGAGAGATCCTTCAACAATTTCTATCTTTTGAATGGTAATCCAGCATTCTCTAAGCTAGTCTATCTATAATTTTAATTCATAACACTATCCTTAATAGAAATTAACACGTGTTTCCAAGATAATTCTGTTGTTTTTTTTTTTTTTTTTTAATTTTTTTGTCTTTTTGATACAGTCTCAGTATACAGTTCAGAGGGTCCTTGAGTTCACTTTGAAACCCAGGCTGGCCTGGAACTTGCAGCCATCCTCCTGCCTCAGCCTCCTGAGTGCTGGGATTACAGGCCTGGGCCAGCACACCCAGCTGTTTATTTTTTAAAGCCATAAGTAATATTGTGACTGGGTTTATATCCATCCTTGAGTTTATATTAACATACTTGTCCTTTGAAAATCAGGTAGATTTTGCTTGGCTTTGTGGAAAATCAGATGAAGAATTTTGTAATATACTGTTTTACCTGATGCCCTTCTTGTACACCTGAAGCAGGAACCTTGCCACAGATACACAGATAACTATTGAAAACCACAGACTTTATTACAATAAATTAATTGTAATGGTACTTTCATGATTGGAGTTCTACAAAGAAAATTGTCAAATTGATTGAAAGTTGATGAGAAATGGCCAGACTTCCTTTTCACTAGAAAATGGTTCTACAGTTGACAAGAGTTTGTTTTGCTTTTTAGCCTCAGTCAGACTTGCTGGGGCTTATTCAGGTCATGATTGTAGTGTTCGGAGATGAACCTCCTGTCTTCTCTCGTCCTACTGTCTCAGCATCCTACCCACCATACCAGGCAACAGGGCCACCAAATAGTAAGTAAAATAGAAATCTGATTGTAAAACTTGAACAAAAGTCAACGGCCTTCTAAAATTTTGGTAACTTTGCCTTTTAGCTTGTCAAACTAATGGAGTTTTTGGAAGTATTCTGAGGCCCCACATCTGCATGTACAGATTCCTATCGAAGCTGGAGTTTGGGCTCCCATTTGTGGGTAGAAGTCTAAGTATGTGTGTGCTGGATTCCAAAATGGAGGAGAAAGTGCTGGAATAGAGCTAGAATTTTTGAAATAATGCATGCCGTGGAATAGCCTTATGTGATCCTCTTGAAAGTGGATATAATTTAAAATGTAGTCTGACCTCACCTTTCACTTTGCAACTGCAGATTAGTGTTGTGGGTAAGAACTAAGTATGAGGTCAACCAGTCATTCACATCTGGCTACTCCAGGTATACAGAATTGGGCATCTAGTTTCAGCTTTCTTCTCTTTAGTACAGCCAACTCATGATTTTATCTTGTGCAATAGGGGAGATGGTAACCAATTCTCCTCGATTGTTAAGTATTACCTCTATTATCTTTAAAAACAAACAAACAAAACCTTACTGATACTTTAAAATTACCCTGAATAATTTTGGAGTTGGCTGTACTTGATTGATTTGACTTTACTGAAACTGTATTGATTTTATTGTCTCTTCAGCTGTGATTTTTTAAAAATAAATTTGAGTGTAGTTAACTGAACTTACTTGTTTTTTAAAGTAGATTATATGAGCTTTCTTTTTTTCAGCGCTGAAAATCACCCTGTTCTTAATCCATTCTTTCCTGAGGACCTTCTTGAGTTTCAAGCAAATGGCAATCTAACAGAAAGAACTTTTTGAGCTCTTTCCCCAACTTCCAGAATCAGATTGGTTTTAGGCTTACTCTCTCTCTCATTAAAGATATCAGTGATTCTTTTGGATCAGAAATTGTTTTTGTCTTATTAAGCACTGTGTCTCTGGTGCCCAAGAGAGGAGAATATTGCTTGCTGGAGTTTGAGATGTCAAGTATTATATTTTCAAGTTTTACCACTCTTTGTTATCTGCTCAAAACATAGTCCATGGCTACTTAAGACAAAGTTAAGCTTTTCATAAAGCTTGGTAGTCTCCTAACAAGAGTTTTTTCCCCCTTTGAGTTTTACATTGACATTGGAAAACAGACCACAGTATGGTGTCTATTGAAGTTTTTATACTCACTGTAATAAGTCACATAATTGCCCATCCAGGCCAGCTTTAATACATTTTGGCAACATATTGTTAGGCACCCTAAAGAAACAGAAGTCTGAATTCCACCCCTAGACACACACATACATGTAGATCTACAAATGAATAGACAAGAAATTTGAACATATACTTCAGTATTACAGTTGAGAAATTATATACTTATTATCATCTCAGAACATTTTAAAATTTCTTTTAAGATGACTAATGAGCTAGGTACAAGTAACATTAATAAACATTGTTAGTAGTGGCATGTTTCTATGTTCCCAGGTACTTGGGAGGCTGAGGCAGGAGGATCTCTTGAGACCCAGAGTGCAGGGCCAGCCTGGACAGCCTAGCATGACTATTAAAACATGAATAAATAAATCAGTGAGTCAGTCAATCAGCTGACTATTACAGTAAAAGCTCCTGTTTGACAATAATTAACATTTACTGAGCAGTAGTTATGAATCATAGTTAAGTACAATAAGAATCCAACTTCTTTTGTAGGAGTGTGTTTGTAAATTGAATTTGTGCATGAGTCTTACACACTTTGGACACAAAAGCATAAAAAACCCAAACACACAAAAATAGTATAAACGATTGCTATTTTTACCGTTACCTTAGAATGGTGGTATAGTATAGTGCAACTGTAAATAAACTCAGTTCAATATCATTGTCACTTCTGTTTGCATGGTTACTGCCCTGCACTTCCTACCAGTCCCTCCACATCACCTCTGCATTTCCTCTGCTTTGGACCTCCTGGTTCTGATTGAGCACTGCACAGTAAACATGCAGCAGCACGACTGTGACAGTGTCCAGCAGACATGATCCACCTCCTAGATTGGTTGCTGTCTAGGAATATTTGTAATGTGAGGTCCATTCATATCTGTGAAAGCCTGTGACCCAGATGTTTGTAAGTCAAGGCCTCGTGTACATCATGTAACATTCTCACGTAGTCACCAGACCTTCCCCCTTACATAAAGTACATTAGTGCTCCATTTGAAGCTGGTGCCACTATCACTTCACTCTGCTGTCTGCTTGCTGCCAGCTGTGGATCCAAATGGTACTTCTTGTTTCCCAGAGTTGAGACTTTAAAACTTTGGTGAAATTATTAGCTTTTTAGGATGTTAGGAAAGGAAAATTGCTCACTGTTATTCATCCTAGCAATATGACTGTTAACACTGATCAGCAGCTGTAGGGAAGGCTTGTCACAGGCGGGGACAGCGTGCCCTGCCATTCCCAGCTCCCCAGAGAGACTGGCTCCCTTCCTAAAAGATCCTGTATGCAGCACTCTGCACTTCTGTGGCCCAGTGGACATGGGATACACCCCTACTGTAGTGAGTGTCGCTTGGTCTTTGATTGTTTTATCTCCCCCATGAAACTGCAGGCAACTTCAGGCCAGGGAGTCTTTCTTCTTCCCTCCTCATCCCTCTTCCCCATCTTATCACACAGAAGACACTAAAATATTTATCAGTTTAAAAGCTAATTCATCATTGTATTCAATGAGAGAAGTTTCACTAAGAAAAAAATTAATTCTCTGCACATGCCATTGCCACTTATGACCAAAATTACCTTTTATTTTCCTTCTGTGATGATTAAGACTCTTGGCATCACTGACCTTAGTTCTGTGTTATTATTGAAAGATAATATGTAAAGCATTCTTGTAAAATGGTATGACTTTAATGTTGGTCCCTAGTATTCCCAAGCTTTTGTTTTTAATCAAGCTAGATAAACATGAACGTAAATTTTGAGCTGTACGGGATTTAATTTTGAGCTGTGGGGATTTAGCTCAGTGGCGTAAGTGTCTGCCTTACAAGCAGGCAGTTGTGAGTTTGATCCCCGGTACCGGTAAAAATGAAAAAGACAAAAAAAAAAAAAAAAAAAAAAAAATGAGTTGTACTTCTTGTAGTAAGTTGAAGTCTTAAAGTTCTCAAACAAGCCAACATAAAAACTAGCTGTGCTCACTGGTCAACACCAGACTTCAAAAAAAAAAAAAAAAAAAAAAATCAAGTAATTTCTTATATATAATATAGAGGTCACTTTCTAAGAAACTGATCTTGGACCAAATGAGGCCAAAATTACTTTCTTCTAAATTATAAATTGAGTCAGGTGTGGTGGTGCAAGGCTGAGGCAGGAAGATTGCCATAAGTTCAAGGCCAGCCTGGACTACACAGCAAGACCCTGTCTCAAAAAGCAAAAATAAAATAAACGAAGAAAGTAGACTTGATTACCACATTAAAGAAAAAAAATTATAAATTGAATTACCTCTTGTCTTAAATTATAGCTCCTAAAGAGCTAATCGAGCTGACCAAGTTGACCTGTTTGCCAGTTATTTCTTGTTTGAGTTTTCATGAGTATTGTAACTCATGTTTAACGACCTGAAAATTATTCTTGAAGTAAAAAAAAAAAAATACAGATGGGATGTTTGTTTTGTTTTGAAGCTGGGATTTGGATTCTCTGTATGAAATTTTGCTATTTGACACTGATGTATATCTGATGTGATATCCTTCATATTCAAGACTGTGTGTATTACTTTAAAATGTTAAAATTGTTTTTAGCCTCCTACATGCCAGGCATGCCCAGTGGAATTTCTGCATACCCATCTGGATACCCTCCCAATCCCAGGTAACGAAAGATTATGCTTTGCGTAAATGTATATGAAATTCTGTTGGATTTTTAAATAAAAATAATATTCACCAACAAAAGTGTTAAAATCAGTTTAGTTGTGTTCCATACAAGATAAAACTTGGAAGCGTTTTGTGACATGGGTATATAGTTTTGGAGTTTTTTTTTTGTCTTAAGAAATGGAGCTGCATTTTATTTAGAGAAAAAGGGTAGACTGGTAAGGACCATGATTCTTTTTTTTTTGTACCAGGGATTAAACTCATGACTGTGCACTTGCAAGGCAGGCAGTTATGCTGCTGAGCTAAATCCCCAGCCCCTAAGGATTCTAATTGATTTTGGACCTTAGAAGTCCTTGCTAGTTTCCAGACTTTCACAAACTATGTATCTAGTGTACAAGTTGAATGATTAATGGAACACAAAATGCACTGAATTCATCCAGGGAAGAGAATATCTTAATGTTCTTTAAAAAAATTTTTTTTGTATAAACTACAGAAAAACAATTAATGGTTAATATGATTAGATCAGACATGTCCTGGGATATTATTTTTTCATTTAGTTCATAGACTACATTAATTATCAACTTTTGTTAGCCACTTGACAGGAACATAACATAGATAAATGAAATTAATAGTGAAATCAGTTTATGAATAACGCTAGAAAAAGTCAAGGAGAAAATATTAACTTGTGTTTTAAATGTGTACTTGCTCCCCTGGTGATTCAGGAGTACTTCCCAAAGGTAGTCTTTGTTACTTAAAATGTAAAACTGATCCCTAAATGAGATTTCTAGATTAGCTTTATATAAGCAAATATGAAACTTCACATAGATAAATGCAGTCAGATTTCCTGAACACTTGTCATAGATAAATGTATTTAGCAAACATGTAACATTTAGGATCTTGAAAGTTGAAGTTACTAAACATGTATCATTTCTTGGTTTTTCTTAATTTCAGGGACCAGCTTTATAAATCAGTAAGCATTCATGACTTCAGATAGTTAAGCAGACACCAGAAGATTCCTGTAGTATAATGCATAGGATATAAGTTTTAGACTTCTTGAAACCTCACATTTCCTGATTAAGTTCTAGAAATGGGATTCTGACCAAAGCCTTTATAAATAACAGTTGATAATTTAAAAAAAAAAAAGTAACTTGGACTCCAAGGGAATAGTTGTTGGAGGCATAATAAGGAAATAAACTTCTGAACAGTAATTTAAAAGAAACTTATAGAGAAAAATGACACTACTGACAAAAATGTAAATTATATTTGTTGTCTTACATAACCATAAAAAGTCCTTTGAGGTTACTTGTAAGAAATTTCTATTTGAAGGAACTGTTTTTCAGAGATTTAATTTTTTTCCCCGGAAATCTCAAAACATAACATATTACCAAGTTATGGTAACTATTTAAATTATTACTTGCATCTTTTTGTATGTAAATGGTCTTGGCAGAACAGCCTCAGAACCTTTTTCCTCTGCTTTTGTTCTAAAGAATTAATAAATAATTGACTCAACCAGATTCTTCATATAGAGGATCTCTGTGGTTTCTTCTAACTCTTAGTTTTTGAAGGTTCTGTTTAGAACCTGCAGCATGTACACAAGGAAGCTAAATGTTGTATCAAGGACACCTTCCAGACAGCCATAGTTGCACACACCTGTAATCCCAGCGCTGAGGAAGTTGAGGCAGGAGGATCACAGGTTTGATCCCAGCTTGAGCAACTCAGTGAGACTCTGTCTCAAAACTAAAACTAAAAAAAAATTAACATGCTGGGGATGAAGCTCAGTAGTAGAGCATCTTTGGGTTTGATCACCAGTACTATTTAAAAAAAGAAAACTGGGTCTTCCAGTTTTGGCATCTGCTCTAGCAAGCATGCATTAAGATTATAGAAAACAGTTTCTGATAAAAGAAAAGTTAGAAAACGGTAATTGCTGTGTTCAGTACAGCTTTACGTAAATCTGGTTTGGAGGTGAGAGATTAAAGAGGAACATTAGATATTTACAGGTAAGTGGAGGAGAAAGAGCCATAACAGTTTATAACAAAAGAATCAGGAATTCTCATGCTGCAGATACAGCATTATAAGCAGGAGAATCGAGGGAGGTACAGCTTTCACAGATACTGTAGATCTCCTGGCCCTCCTTTCATCTTTAGTTAGCACTGGTTTCCCACTGTCTAATTTTCTGGAATTTATTTGACATTCATTTCTTTTTTCCTTGTGTCAGGATTGTTTACAGGGCTCTTGCCTTATTTGACTGTTAGCATCTCAGGCAGAGATAGATTGGTGTCTTGTATCTTAACTCCAACATCAAGTGTTTACAAAGGGTGCCTGGAATATAATAAACAGTAATTTTTTTTTTGTCTTTTTGGTTTTTATCAGTACCAGGGATCGAACTCACGACTGCCTGCTTGCAAGGCAGGCGCTTATGCCGCTGAGCTAAATCCCCAGCCCCTTAAACAGTAAATTTTGAATGAGTACATAAAGAAAAGGAAGCTGAGTGTTGGAAAAATTTACATTTAAAAACACTTGAAAAGGACTTGAAAATCTTAAAAAAGATGTGCTTCCTAGGGCAAATTGTTTAATAATCTACAAAGATAGAAAACAGTATTTTTCAAGAATATGTATTAACTCTAAATATGGAGAATATTCATGAAGGGAAAATTGAGCAAACTAAGGAAAGAGCCTGGGAGTTCTCTAAAGTTAGTATCTATAGAACTAGAAGAGTTTTGTACCAAGTTACTAAAACATTCAGTAATATCACAGATTATCTTTGAGAAAGTATGCAAAATGGGAGAAATATCAGAAAAAAGAAAGTTTATTTCAATAAGACTGACATTGTTTCCTTTGTAACACAGATTACTAAAGAAACTAGAAACAAAAGTACTATTCAGTAGTCTGCAGAATGTATCTACTAGGAACAAAAATACTTAATTTTTTCCACTTTGATTTTGCTTTACACTGGTAAATACAGTACTGTGATCACATTGAACCTTCAACAAGTCATATGCAGAATTTTTGGTGCAGACAAATTACAAAGTATGAGCACAAATAGAATCTCTGAGTCCCTGCTGAATAAAGATTATTGACAGTGAACTAGAAAGAGCTCTTGCTCCGTAGCTCTGAGCTGGCTCTTTTAAACCAGTAATTATAATGGACTGGTACAGGGCTTCCTGAATTGCAGATGTCATACACCTGATTATTGTAGCCAAAACAGGGATAATCAAAATTTAGTGCCCAATTATCTGATAGTAATCATGCTTAATTTGTCCTCTACAAGGGAAACACTGACAAACTAGTGCACATTCAGAGTAAAGAGGTTAGATCTGAAAATCATGTCCTATAAAGGAAAACTGAGGGAATTAAGAATGTTTAAAGAGGGCTGGGAGTTTAGTTCAGTGGCATAAGCTGCCCGGTAAGCGCAAGGTCATGAGTTCGATCCCCGGTACCAAAAAAAAAAAAAGTTTTAAAGATTGAGGAAGAAAAATAAAAATATTAATGTGTTAGGAGTTTAGGACCATCATTCAGATGTATGTAGAACTCATACTTAGTGTTCAATATAGAAAGATGATCATTTGTTAAGAATACTGTACTGTAATGATGTTTTATTTTTTATTTTGAGATAGGGTCTTGCTAAGTCACTGAGTTGCCCAGATGATGCTTGAACTTGGGATTCTCTTGCCTCAGCTTCCCAAGAGTTCTCAGATTATAGCCATGCACCACCAAGCCAACTAGTTACTGTTGGAATTTTGGCCTAAGAAATAAATTGACTATTTTTTGCTGCTGTGAAAGTGACCTTTAGATAATAAGGGCCACACAAGAGCATTTGACCATTTACTTTAAAACTAGTGTCATTAATGGAATTTCCATAGAATGTTACTTGAATAAACACCTTTTACTCAGAAACTGTAAAGTCATTACCTGGTAAGATAATATGTCAAATTAATTTTCCTAGTGGGGTTCTTAAAAATACTCAGCACTTGGGAGATAGAGGCAGAAGAATCACAAGTTTGATGTCACCCCAGGCTACAGTGTGTGTTCAAGACCAGCCTGGTCTACATACTGAGAACCTGTCTCAAAAACAAACAAAAAGCATTTAGTGTTAGCTTTTCATAACATTTACTGGTTTTTGTTCTTTAGTGGTTACCCAGGGTGTCCTTACCCACCTGGTGGTCCATACCCTGCCACAACAAGCTCCCAGTACCCTTCTCAGCCTCCTGTAACCACTGTTGGTAAGTACTTTTGAACACTCACATTTCTCTATATAAGCAAAGTCAGGGTTTCCTTGAAAAATGCATTTCACTTTTAGATGTAAAGTTTTAGAATACTCTTCCTTCCTAGAGGAAAAATTCTAATGGTGAATGTTCTTAATCTACAATGTGAAGTATGTGATTTATCGACATTATAAAGGAGGCTTCAAACAGAACATAATGTATCTGATTATCTTTTTTCAAGTTTTTTTTTTTCCTTTTCTTCTCTTTTTATCCGTACCAGGGATCGAACTCACGACCGCCTGCTTGCAAGGCAGGTGCTTATGCCACTGAGCTAAATCCCCAGGCCCTTACTTCTTTTTTTTTTTTTCAAATTTCTTTATCTGATTATCTTTTATCACACGTTCCTGTTTGTTACGTATTTTTATTGGTTAAACTTGTACGTGTTGTATGGCTAGCAAATAACTCAGTGGCTACACGACCTGGTTCTGTGTAAGCAGGTAAGACAGTTATTGCAGACCAGTAGTTTTTGGTTTTTTGTGTTGCATGTTAAGAGTTGGCTGAAATATTTTCTTTCCGAGTCTTTTTGGGTTTTTTTTTTTGGTTGGTACCAGGGGTCAAACTCATGACTTCATGTTTTCCAGGCAGCCATATGTGCCACTGAACTAAATTCCCAACCCTTGAAATATTTTTTTAATCAAGAAAATTAAAGCACTAAGAGAACCTCTATTGAAGGCCACCCCTAAATGTGCCACCTGTCACCACCACATCTGTCTTCATTCTGGGCACCATAGCTCAGTTATCTTTGTTTCTGCCTAAAGTTGTGTTCTCCACCAGAACTTTCTCCCTCTCTCACTCAGGGGCATCATTTCAGCAGTTTTCCCCTCTTGCTATCAGTTTTGGTTCTCTACTGGATCGCTTTCATCAGCACACAAAACATGTCCTCAAATAACTGTTAAAAATCTTCCTTTCAATGTCGCTTTCCCTGCTACCACTACTCCAAAATACCTTATTCTCTTTGCAGTGAACTTGTGTCTTGGAACTTCTGTCTGTCCCTTGTTATCTTTCATTCCTTCTTTCTCTCTCAAATCCCCTCCATCCTGTTTACGCTTACACTGTTCATTAAAACTGCTTCTGTCAGGGTCACCAGTGACCTCTGAGAAGTTATATCAGTGACTTGATAGACTCTTGTTTCACTTGTCTTGTCTCTGACGCTTAACATCAGTGGTGACTCCTTCCTTGGTACACTTTCTCATTTTCCAAGACACCACACTTCTTGGGTTGCCTCCCATCTCGTGAATATTCATACATAGTTGTCTTTATAGGTTCCGGAAGAGGAGGATGTTAGGAAAATGTCAGAGCCCAGAGCCCCGCTTAGTCCTTGTCACTCTACCCTCACTGTGCTAGTCACTTCTGCCAGTCTCACAGCTTTAAATGTCATCTCTGGTCACTGTTGCCAAATTTATGTCTCTATGCTATATCTTTCTCTCCAGAACTCCAGCTGTTGTCAGTATCCCCACTTAGATGTTTTTTTAAAAATCCATTTTATTCAAACAGAAAAAGAAAAAAAAGCTACAATAAAATTTCAAAGCCCATCAATCAGAATATATCCATTTAGATGTTTAAGAGATAGCTTAAACTCAGCACAACCAAAACTGAACTCTAAAATTTTCTACACAGCTTTCCTATCTCCACTGGTACCTATTGCAATATTCTGACTTGGGAGTCTTCCTCAATTCTGCATCGAGAAATCCTGTTGTCTTCAAAATGTATCTAGAATTGGATACTACTCAGTGCTGTTACAAGTCACTATTGTCTTTCATCTCAGTTACTTCAAGAGCTTCCTGTAAGGTTTCCCTTCTGCTAACATTGGCCCCCTAAATCTCCATTTTTTAAACACAGCAGCAGTGATCCTATTAAAATATGAATAAATTATGTCACCCTCTGTTTAAAACTTATAGCACTTCCTCATTAACTCAGTTCAGTCCAAAGTTCATAGACCTAGAAAGCCCTGTGTAACCTGCCCCTCCTTTTAACCTGTTTTTTTCCTGCCTTATCTCTTACTATTCTGTTGCAGGATTTGTTCACTACGTACTTCCCCTTTGCATGAATGTCAGAGCCACCCTCACCAATCTGCTACCACATTGCCTCCACCCACTTCCACAAACATACATACATGCTCCCAGCACACTTGTTTTGGTGAATGCCTGAATGTGGGATCCTATGAAGTTTACATTTCTATTACAGTTTCTAGTAACCTAACCATTCTGACACCTGACAGAGATGCATCTCCCTTCTCTTTTTGTCATTGATATCCTCTAGTTCTAGTGGCCTGATTTTGATGTATTAAAAGTAGCTCAGTGGGAGAGTGTTTGCCTAGTCGTGTACAAGGAAGGCCCTATGTTCAATACCAGTACCAGGTGATAAAATTGCGTTCATTCTTACTGTAAGTAGTTCTTTTTACAGTGTAATTTAAATGATTTGAATAAAAACCCAAAGAGAGATCTTTGAGAGATCTTTAATCCATGAACACAGTATACACTAAAGCTTCTTAAACTCCATACTCTGCCTGAAGTATCATTTTAATATAGTTGCAGTTTGTCAATGAGTTGATAGTATAATCCATTTCATCTATAGAGAACTTTGATTTATAAAGATCTTTTGTATGTAAACTTATTTTTAGTACATTAGGTATGAAGCATTTGGTAGCTTAAACTGTTTCCTTATATCAAAAATGGACTTTTATGGAAAATGGTAAAATCAAATCTCTTGTATAGCTTTAAAACAGGTAGTCGAGTCAAATAAACCCTCTTAGTTTTAGCTACCATCATTCAGTGTATACAAACCAAAATCACACTTTTAAAATAGATTTGACATTTACAGACCAAAATAAAAATTTCTGCAAAATCTGAAATCAGATTTCTACAAAACCTGAAATCTGAGGGAGCCTTTTTTTTTTTAAATTTTATTTTGAAAGTAGTAAAATACAACAGAACAAGACAGAAAAAGCCAACTAAGATTGAATAAAATCAAAGTGAACTTCACAGCAGGTTACCGGGATAACATTAATAGGTATCACAGTATATTTCGTATCTTTACAATAGTTGTTCTTTTAGTCATGTATATTAAAATAAAATGAAATACAGAACATTATAGAACTTATCAAAACAGATTACTGAATAGAGCAGTACTATTAATCAGAATAAAGCAAAACAGTAATAAAAATATTTGCCTTCAAAGAGATGGTAGAAGGAAATCCCCCTTACTCGCTATGGTCAGCCTCCCAGAAGATGCTCAGATTTCTGGTGCCCATTTGTTAACGGGGACAGGAGAAGGGGGATAGGGAAAGTGGGATGTTTGACTCTAGGCCGTGCACCAGTAGGTTCACTATTACTTAGCAGGGAGGCAGGCTGGTTGCTTGGTTTCCCAGCCTTGTAAGTTCCAACATGGTGTGGATCTCAGAAGAGACTGGTGGTTCTCCCCCTAGAGAGGCCATAAGCTGGCACGCCGCAGCCACTTACCAGGGAGGGGAGGTGCTTGCTTGGTTTCCCAGTGTCCTAAGTTCCAACATGGCCCTGAGGGAGCTATTTAAGACTTTCCATTGTCTAGACTGTGCTGAGGAGTTACTTACAGGTATATATGACAGTAAATTTGTTAATTCATCCTTACTTTGATGCTTAGTGGTTAATAAAGGAACAAACGTATACACATAACAAAAAAGACAAGAAAATCTAACTGGTAATATGCATTGAAATTTAACACAGATCCTTTTCCTTGTTACAAGAGCAGAAGATAGATAATTTTGTTTGTAACTATAACTTAATGAACTAGTTTCACATACAAGGCCTCCTAAATAATGATGGGTGTGAACATGAGTGAGACATTAAAACATTTCCCTACCAGCACCAGCACTAGCAACACCCTTCCTTTCTCAGAAAGGTTCAGGGCCTGAGGGTTTAGCTCAGCAGCACAAGCTCCTGCCTCAGCAGTACAAGCGTGAGGTCCTGAGTTCGATTCTCGGTACCAAAAAGGAGGTTCAGAAGAGTTTGGCAGTTCCTTAATCTTTTGTTTTGTTTTGTTTTTGGTCTTTTTCGTTTTTATCGGTACCAGGGATTGAACTCACGACTGCCTGCTTGTAAGGCAGGCGCTTATGCCGCTGAGCTAAATCCCCAGCCCCCCAGTTCCTTAATCTTAGCAGAGTGTGCAAGGTCTCTTTGGAAGATTGCCTTATTTGAAGAGACAATGTAGATGATTACAGTTGATTTATAATTCTGATTCCTAGCTCTAGGTCTTTAACAGACATACAGTGTGATTTTGGTCGGCTGCATTTTAACAAGTAACTTCAAAGAAAGACTACTTAGCCCTAGTTTTGTTTGCTACAGACAAAGTCCTGCTATGTAGCTAAGGATGGCCCTGAATTTGCAGTTCTTCTGCCCAGGCTCCTGAGTGTTGGGCTTAGAGATGTGGACTGATTCACCTAGAAACTGGGGCTTTACTATTGACTTTTTTCTTTTTAAAATTTCATTCATTAATATTTTTATTACCATTATTGTTATTATTATTATTTTATCTTCTTTTATAGCTTGAGAGCTATCCAGGCAAGATAGTTAGGTAAATATGTAAATATTTAATTGACAGTGCCCTTCTTGTTACATAACCTGGTATCGTAAATATATGAATATACTTATGTGAGGTATTTTTGAACAAGAATTATACTTTGCCATGGTTTAAAGAAATACATGTAAAAAGAAAACTTAGCACTTGGCCTAGCATGGACAAGGCCCTGGGTTTGATTTCTAGCATTAAAAGATTCAGGAAGGAAGAAAAAAGGAGCAAAAGAAAGAGGCCACGTCTATACAATCTTATGTGGAATGTTAATATATAATAAATGGGATTTGCTTAAAATACCAAAAACCTGCACTCTTAATTATAGATTTGCTAATATAGCAGACACAGCCAACAGCAAACATCCTGGCCTTTAGGCCCGCTAGTTAAAGGTTTTATGCCTAGCAAAGAAAGTT